GCTTTTGGGGTACGCAGGAAGTTTTATGGCCACCCGGCAGACAGCAGGCAGCAGACGCAGTAGAAATTTGCAAGCCGCTTTGGCTTTGGCTTCAGCTTTGGCCTCTTGCCAAGAAATGCTTGGCAAAAAAGTGCGGCTCAAGTGACGTGGAAAAGCGACTACAAGCTCAATTTAACTGGCTGCGAACTCAAAAGCAGGCCGCAAAAAAATAAAGAAAATTAAATTAAAACAAAAAATAACAAATATTTCTCTTAATTTCCAGATTCTGCTGCTGTTGCTGCTGCTGCTTAGCTTTGCGGTAAGATATAAATATTTTTACTAAAGCATTTTCTTTTTCTTCTTTCTTTTCGTTGGCAGTTGTAAATTCTTGAAACAAAATTTGTAGTGATTATTTTAATATCTGGCATCTTTTCGTTGATTGTGCTTAAGCAAGTTCTAAAATAAAAGCCACAAAACAAATGTTATGGCTGTCTTATCTAAATTAATTCTTTCTCGAAAACTTTAAAATTTGCACTCCCATAACGATCCGATCTATATACATATATATATATATATATATATATGTGTGTGTGTGTATATATATAGAACACCATATCACACGCTCTCCCCTCCTCATATCTAGCAGTGACTGTCTCTTTCTCCACATCTCTGTAGAAACACGCGAAAGATATTTAAATATATATGCTAAAGTATCACATAAAGAAAAAAAAACGCGCCAGCTGTCAAGCATTTCGCTTAATCTCACGTAACGTAGAAATAGTAATTATAAAGCGCTATATAGAACATCGTGCTCCCATCCATCGTGCGCCAAAAGACTTTTCGTAGCCCGCAAACAAACAATCAAATGCCAAATCATTCAAACGATTATTGTTAACCTTGAACTTCGAGACATTGGCGCAACAAAGTTAATAATTTACAGCAATCAAATATAATATACAAACAAATATCAAACAGCTGACCGAAACAAGGTGCGATATTTCATAATATTCGCCAGTGCCAAGAATCTATTGATGAATTGAGTAATCAGAGACGCCTCAAGCCGTATCCAATTATAACACATTTCTTTGCCCAAACAAACCAAACAAAAAATTGACTTTAATTTAATGGACAACATGTGGTTTCGTATACAAATGCTACAATTTGAAATTAACACGCCTGTTATCAGACAACAAAAAAGCCAAAAAAAAGCAAAAAAAGAGCAAAAAAAATGGGAAAAAAAAAACAACAGAAAATATGCACAAGCCATGGCTAAAAGGCGGAGACAGCGACGCAAACACACGCGCCGATGTTGGCGGCTTCGTGTGTCACTTTGGCATGACATTTTCTTCTTCTTCTTCTCGCTGTTGTTGTTAATTTTATTGTTTTGTTGTTGTTGCAGTAATAGCTAGCAACAATGCCATTAAGCTCAAAGTTTTATTATCTATCTATTAGGCGGCCTACATGGCTAACAAAAACAAATGAGAACATTGCAGTTGGGCGTAAACGACTCCAGCATACTCTGCCAACAGTTGATAAAGAGGCTTCTGGATGGGTTTGCCTTAAGCATTCAAAAAGACTGTCATATTTATTTATTTAATGTCAACTAAAGACACAGTCGACACAAAATAAAAGAATTACATTAAATTAAAAATAAAATTTAATATTAAATTTATGATTTCTAAAAATTTGGTGAATCCAGGCTTAAAACTGTGCTTGAAGTAGGCGTGACCGAAAAAGTCCTTATATTAATATTTGGAGTCGTTTCCTAGAATATTTTCTTTATAATTGTTGACTCTAGCTATAAATTCCTGAAAGGCTTGAGGAATTTTTCTGGGAAGGGTTTTCTTTTCAATCTTAGGTGGTAACTCTACTTTTAAATTTGTGGGGGATATGTACTTGAGTTGAGGTGGTGGTGTGAGCGTAGTCAAGAATATTTCTCACTAATCTGCCTAATAATTTAACTCCCAATTTTAATAACCTTTTTTTATGTAGCAATTATATTTAAACATTAATCAACCTATTGAAAGGCTATAAAAAATTTATTTGTAGAGGTATGAATGAAAAATAGCAGTGAATTAAAATCTATAACATAAACATGGAACTGGTTTTAGCAGATAATAAATAACATTAAATATTACATTTGTAGCACATTAATTTAACTGCCAATTTTAATAACCTTAGCTCCAAAACTGGGCATATATGGGATTTATATATCTCTATATATGTCGATATTTGAAACAGGTCACCAGCAATATTCCCTGCAAATTTGGTGTCCCTTTGAGTAATAGGTGCTTTTATCGATGTACACTTATCGATGATATCGATTTGTCATCCCAAATTTTAACACTGATGCATACACAAATATATATACCAATTTTGTAGGCTCAACTACGAAACTAATATGCTATTCTGCCTTTGATATTAGAGTATTTAAAAAAGCAACGACTTAATAAAGAAACCAACAAAAAATCAAACAGATCTGCGACAAGTAGCAATGAACCCAGTAAGGTCTTTAAGGCATACATGGATAGATCTATGTACATAAATAATAAATCTCATACATTATTTAATATTAATTTCAAGCACTCACTGACAGATGCTATTGGAGGCAGTCAGCCAGCAACAGGCTATCAAAATTTAATTGAAATTTTGATAATAATTGCTCAGACTCGTCAATTTCAGGTGCGTTTCATGTGTGTCAAGTGTGAGAAAAGGCAAAAACAGACGAAAGCCGACAAATTTTTTGATGTTGTTGACCAGGTTGACACATGGCTGGGTTCAAAGCATTTTCATTGGTTTCAACCAAGTATCGTATTATCACAAATTTCAACGGCTAAGCTGTTGAATTGCAATTAAAAAAATGTTAAATTTAATTTGCAAAGAGAAATGCAATAGCTACAAACACTTTAAATATTTCGAATTCCTTTCAATTTCAGTATCTACAATTTATTTTATACATAACAATAATAATAAATATTTCATAAAAGTAGGGTTTAGAAATTAAAAAGAGCATTACTAAAAATAATTAATGGAAAACAATAAGAAATTAATGTATATTATAAACGGCATAAGATAATTTAATTATAAAAGAAATCCCCAAAAAAAAATACATTTCTTTCCAAATAAATTTGTGTTTATTAAGTTTTTTTAATGTGTTGAAATGCTTGATATATTTAAATTTGCATTAATACTTAAAGCTTCTTTTGTTCGTGTTGTTTATTATTATTTTTAAATTATTTTCATTAGTATTCTATTTTTATTTAATAATAAATGTATTTTTAGTAAACAAATTTAATTGCATTAAATTGAACTTTAATTCCTTAACTTTAAGCACAACAAATGCAAAATGCTGCAGTTGCACAGAAATTTATTAAATAAATTAATAATTACTGCAATTGTATATTTGATACTCCCCAAAAACCCAACTAGACACCCCCTCCCACTGCCCCCGCTGCCTCGCTGGGTCCAAACAATTTATTGTTCAATAATTTCACTCTTGGCAACCAAAATCAACAACTCTGCATTAGTTTTGTTGCTGCTACATTGCTGATATTGTTGTTGTTGTTGTTGTAGTTGCAATACATAATAATTGTCGTGCTGTTTGTTGTTACTAACACACACACACACACACATGCAGCTCATGTATGGGGGGCCATCAAAATATTTCGCGCTTTTTCGTATGGGCTAAAATATTTTCTGATTAACGTACTTAGTTTTTGTTGTTGTTGTTGTTGTTGGTATTGTTGTTGTTGCTGCTGGTCGCTGGTTTGCTCATTGGCTTTAACACGTTTCTTTGCGTTTTCTTTTGCGTTTTATGTGTGTGTGTTTTAGTGCTTTTCCAATTTCTTATTCACTTCATGTCTGCACAACGCGCGCCTTCAACTCACACAAACAAACACACGCACAGAAGCACTCTTTTACACAACAGACAACGATCTAAGCTTGTGATTCTGATTTTGATTTTTCAAGCGCGCCGCCAACGTTGAGCGCTCGAAATCTCGTTACTAACTAAAGTAAACGACGCGAGCCGCGCAACCAAACTGAAAACATCAGCAGCAGCAGCAACAACAACAACAACAACTACAACGTTGTCGCAGCGACGTCGACGTCAGGCGCCTGTGTTTGTATTTGTATTTGTGTTTGTGTTGTTGCTGTCGGTAACTAAAACAGATACTCAGTTCGATACACAGACTAAGTAAGCACGCCGCTCTCACACACTCACACACATGCACATTGAGCGCGACTTTGGCTCGAACGCAAGTTCAAGTCGCAATGTTAGCTTAAGCCGGCTGCGACGCCCTCAACTGCACAGAAAGAGAGAGAGAGAGAGAGAGAGAGTGTGTGTAAGTTTGAGAGAGAGAATTGGAAATGAGTATTCGCATTTTTGTGCAATGATTGTAACGTTTACTGATGACAGGCATTTCCGATTTGCTGAAAGGCCAACTTTTATCTAAGTTATTTCACAACTTAGATTTCTCTTTTGGAATCATTAAATATTTTATGTTTTTTTAATTATTCAATATTAATCATTATAAATAGAGTCTGCACATGGCAAACGTTTGTGGTAAGAGTATTTTAGCTGCGGTGTATTGATGACAGCCGCTCCTCGCCTTGTGCTTGACGACAAGTTCGAAACGAACTTCAAGCCTTGCTCGCACCAACTTAAGCCGCATTTTAAGCTGCTGTTGCATTTGTTGTTGCTGATGCTCAAAAAATTAGCAATGTTGGTGGCTGCGCTGGCAACATGTTGCTTCCGCTCTGTGTTCGCAAATGTAATCAATTTAAATATTCTTTTCAATATGCTGCAACTTTTGCATATTTTATGTGTTGCCTTTGACCATTACAAATTCCATTTGATTATTTTTTTTATTATTTCTAGCTGCGTTTGTAGCTGTCAAAACGTCTGTTATGGATTATTATTTTTTTTAGTTTTGTTGTTGTTGTTGCTGCAACAATGTTGTCGATTGCCCAGCGGCATTTGATGACGTCTAATTTAGATCCGAACTCGTTTGCTTACTCACCACACGAAATTATGTCAGGAATGTTGGCAGGCGTCGACGACGACGGCGACGGCGACGTCGACTGTTGTCTGTCGCAGTTGCTGTTGTTGTTGCTGCTGCTGCTGCTGTTGTTGGCATGCGTTGAAAGTCGGTGATTAATTTTTGTGAGAGCAAAAGCCGGTTAGCTTTTCGGTGGCTCAGACGCGTGCCAAAGTCGAAGTCAAATTCCTGGCTGCCTGCTGGCATTGCTCATTTTAATAAGCTCAGCGTCAGAGCTTTGAGAAGTTTGAGAAGCAGCTTGAAGCGATTTGCACGACCCTTTTGGCTAATTCTTGCTAAAACTTCGATTATCGCATTTATTTCCCCAATTGATTTGCATTGCCCGTTTCCAGTTAAAATCGATCAATTGGGGTTTTTGAACTCCCTTTCACAATGCCATTGACATTTGCTTATATCTGATTTTTTGCGCTAATTGCACTTTTGGTAAATTACATTCTGCATACTCAGCGTCTATTTTTAATTTGGTTTTTTTTTTTTTTTAATTTGCTAACCATGTCATTAGCAGCATTTCGTTGACTAAGCAAAACATTTAAGCCAGCTAAACAGAACATCAATTTTATTCACAGTATTCAGAATTTCATAAATCAGAAGTTTTAGCTTTGTGTTTTTAGCCACGCGCCTCCAGCAATTTCATCAGAATCGACAACTTGAAGCAATAAATGCAATTCAATGATTTCCCTTTGCAGAAACGTCAGCAGTCGTGTAGAAATTAGTTTGTTACAGCTAAAGACACTCTATACCTGTACTACAATCACAATTAAATTAAAAAAATAATAATAATAATGCTTAGCAAATGAAATGCGAGCACACAAAAAGGGATGCAACGATGCAATCAAGTAATGAAAAAAATTGTAAAATATGATATGATTTTGTAATTGCTTTCATGATTTCCAATTCAGACAGCAGGTTAAAGAATAAAAGAAAATGAAATTAAATGAATATAATATAAGCCAACAAAAACATGTCATTGTAGAAATAACATGGAAGTTTTACTTCTTATTTCCCCTTTTTTTGTTTGTTATCTGTTGTCTGACATATGTTAAACTTCCGTAAAATATGTGAGATTGAGATTGATATTGAGGGTTGCATATGCTGCAGTAATCCAAATGTCCATCACAAGTCGCAATGCGACTGTTCAATAAAATTCCAATTTCCTTTAAAATACAAAAAAAAAGGCGGAAGTTCTTCAAACAATCCAAATAACCAGTTGGAAGCCAAGCGAACTCGCACAATTCAATTTCAGCATTTGAAATCGGATACTAAACGGCGAGAAATGGAATGGATTTGTGGTGAACCCGAAACCCAACTGGGACAAGAATACAGATACAAGCAACAATCATGATTATAAAGATGATGATGATGATGATGATGGGCTGCGTCTGTTTTAAATTCAGCGTGAGGTAACAAGTAAAGTAACAAAAGTATGCAATCGACGCTTTGAAATCTAAGCGCATCGGCAACCACAACAGAACAAAACGACAAACCAACACCAACAGCAACACTAACACCAACAACACTAACAACAACACCAGCAACACCAGCAACAACAACAACACCAACAACACCAGCAACAACAACACCAACAACAGCAACTATTGCAAAGCCACTGGAATGTTGGCGCAGCCGCAAGTTAATTTCTACATAAAAAAAGTAACTGCAATGTATACAAAATGCGAAAGCCATTTGATGAAAAAAAGAATAAAACTGATATTAGTTTCAGTTTTGGCATTGATGGAATAAAATAAAAACGAAACAATAGAATGTCAACATGTGGCATACCACTAAAATGTGCAAGACCATGAAACTTTCATAATTCCTGTTTGGCATCGCTTAGATTGGAAAAAAAAAAAACTACTCCAACTCAGTCAAAATCCAATAATTATCATCCAATAATTCTTCTCTGCAAAACTACAAATTAAACAATAACTTTAAATTTCATCTTATAGTAAATCAATAAGAATTCGTTCAAGTTAAAAAATATATAAATAAATATATAAGTTATAAGAAATAACGTCCAGCTGCCAAAAATTACTTACCGTTCAAAACCAGAGTCAAATTGCCCATATCTAAATTGTACTATAAATTAATCGATTATTTTTCTATGATCTCTATTAGATATAATTTTTTTCTTTACTTTGAGGAGCATAATAACACACATCACTTATGAGTTTGCTTGGAATATTTTGTTAAACAATAATATTTTTCACACAAAAACTCATCTTTCGATCGATTGTTCCTATGAATGGCTTATAATATAATAGACCGATCTTCAGTCTTTTTTTTCAAATATTAGAAACTTATTAACACGCATAACTGAACAATTTAGTTAGGGTATCTAAAGCAAACAATTTTTTCAAACTCATCTTGATTGCTCTTGTGGAAGCTTTATGATATAATAGACCAATATTGATAAATCTGTTGAACACTTTAGGAGCAACTACTATAGTAGTCCGATCCCGTTCACTTTATGAGGAGCATAATAACACTTATAATTTGCCAGATTTATTATGTTTTAAGAAAGCTTTCTAGCGCTTTCCTCAATTGAAGCAGCTGAATATTTATTTCATAAATTGCATTTTATGCACAACTTACCTCCAGGCAGCGAAGTCCGTTCAACCAAGTGGCAAGTTTTATTCAATTTAAGCCGCTTAGCCAATGACAACTGCAAGTTTTCATTTATTTCAGCGGATTTTATCTGGCTTTGATTTTGACTGCAGAAAATGCACTTGCTGAAACAACTTTTAGCCTGATTAACATCAGGCATCAGGCATATTGCAATTTGTATATATAGCATTTGATTTGATTTATTGAAATATATATTTTAGATTTATTTAAACATTTAGATTTTAAAATTTTGATTCGTTTGTACACAAAGTCGAATAATTTAATAAACATTTTCTGGTTTTGCTGTATTTATATTAATATTTTTTTTGTACTGAACAAAGCAACAAGTTTCAACTAAGAGAAATAACAATTGCTCATTGATTATTTAGCATATTTGGTGGATATTTGATTTTTAGCTGTAGCAATTTTGATTAAATTTATTACAAATCACAAGCGTAATTTTTAGGAGTTGATAAATATTTTTTCATATGAATTTACAGAATGTAGTTTGTAAAAGTTTTTTAATTAAACGGTGGGCAATAAAATATTAGCCATGAGCAAATAATATGTTCTTAAGCTTTAGTAACACTCATTTTTTTCTTCAGGAAATATTACAATTTGTTGCTTACTTCGAGTTGAATATCTGCAAAGCTGTTCTGTGAATATTTAATGTAGTTATTATATAATTTTCAACCTAAGCAAAACTGCATAAAATTTAAATTCAATTTGTATTAGTTTATAATAATAATAATAGTAAATATTGATCGGTCACTTTAAGCTATTAAACGTTAAGCACGACGTGTTAAACCAAAACACATTCCTTTGCTGCTTAAGAGTCGAGATATTTGTATTATCCTTACTACGGCTGCGATGCCATACGAATCCTTGCGGTTGCACGTGACTTTGTGTGGATCTCAGCTGTGCGCAATGTAATGCCAAAGATGTCCTCATGATAACGATTCTCGTCCTGTGTGTGCCATACAAAACAAATATATACATATGCATATATTTATATGTGTGTGTGTGTGTGTGTGTGTGTGTGTGTGTGTGTGTGTGTGTGTGTGTGTGTGTACAAAGTGATAACAGTGCATAATAAAACCCTCACAATAAAAGAGTAAGCGTCATCATATTTGTGGCTGTCAAAAGGAGGGCAAATACACAACATAGCAAAACAAACTTAGAGGTTGAAGCACTTTTCCACAAAATGACCTACTAGCAAATACCCATTATTTTTTTCAAATCCGAGTTATTAAATAAAAAAATATATAAGCGATGCGTCACTTAGAAAAACACTTATAAAAAACTTGCATATTTTTTTAGATTTACTTAATAAATATTTGCTGCTGTACTTTTTAATTATCTTTGTATCTTTGTTTATTTGGATATTTTTCAGACTTAAAGAAGAATCTATTTTTGCTGACTTCGGGGAACATCTGACTAGAAATCTTTATTATTAGATTGTTATATTAAAAAATATATAAGTTATGTGTGACTTCAACAAATACAACAAAAAAGATTACAGTAACTATAAAACTTTCATAGTTTTTGGACTAATTTAAGTCAATTATATTGCTGCTACACTTTTAAGTTTCTAAGCTAAAATTTCTTTTTCATTGGAGTTAACTAAAAATGCATATTTTTTACCTATAAATCTAAGAAATAAACTGGATGATTTGAAAAACAACTGATTAGCTAAAAATCTAAGTCATTAGCTAAATGATTATATATAATATATCTGAATATCTACAAATAACACTAATATAAAAAAATATATATAAATATATATAATATCTGTAATATGAAATATACGATTTTCTGAATGTTTGACTAAAAATTTTTGATGTAGCTGTAAACACCCCATTTCAGATAGCTATCTGGGTATCTTTGCATTTTTCATATAGAAAACTGCATTTGTATAGCTAAAGGAGCTGTAAAAAGCCAACAAAGTTTTGCTTCATGGCTCACCACCCTCCCCTCCCCTCCCTCTCCCTCTCCCGTCATCCCATTGTCGCACACTGGGGTCAAATAAAATGCGCATACGCCGCATGTGACAAGGGAAGCGAAGTGCCTCGCTTTTGACTGCTGAGAGTCGCACTTGCTTTATGTTATTTATACGGGCCGTTTAAGTTGGTTTAGTTTAAGGATACTTACGCGCAATGTGAGCAAAAATGTCTCAACTTCCGCCTCTGTTTTCTGCTCCTTGCCAGCTATGCATTTCCTGTGAAGGCAACAAAAAGGAAGAGTAAATATAAAATATAAAATAAATAAGAGAATGTGCAAAGTATTTCATTATTTAAGTTTTTGTGATGTGAGCGTATTTAATAAACAAACGCTAATTAACTGCGCTGTGGGCAGTAGTTAGCTGAGTGGGCAGAGCAGCATTGGTGAAGCTAAAAGCTCATAATTAGTCCCTCTTAACTGTCTACAGAAAAAAGGGAACTTTCCGTGGTAAAATGTGAACAGAGAATTGCAAATAGAAAATTCTTTGGATGAAATTTCAACTGTTTTTATACGGTGATATCGAATAAGGAACATATATCGATAGCGTCGATCTATCAAAACTTGCCAGATAATTTGCTGGTGGTTCTTTAAAGATCCACAAATAAATTTGCATGCAACGACCAACCGATAAAAATTAAATTGCTCAAGCAACGAAGATTTAATCAACAATTTTATAGCCAAAATTGTCAGATTTGCAAAGCCTTTAAAATCTACAAACCTATTATTTTCTCTTGGTATAAATGCATGCCAATTTGTAATCTGATGAATATTTAATTGCCATTTTTTATTTTAAGTGTAACTACTGCATTCCAATTTGCAATCTGTTGGCAATTTTGTGCTTTTTTTGAGTGTACTCATTGCTCTGCCATAGAAATGATAATTAACATAAGCCGCTTTAGATCAGATAAAAGACTTAAAAGCAAATGAATTGACATGAAAAGCACAACTTGCCATGAATGTCTATATACTGTCTGTGTTTATCAATGCGAATGTGAATGTGTGTGTGTGTCTCTGTCTGTGTGTTTGTATTACCTCAGGACTCAACCTGTGCCTGCACCTCCCTCAACTGCTGTGCGACAAACACATTTCACAATAATGGTTGTAATCAAGAGCTAGTTTTGTATACACAGGAAAAAAAATGGTCAAACAGCAGAGAAAAACAAGAAAATGATGCCAAACCGACCGCAAGGCATTTGAAAAATAAATTCCCTGTAGAGCAACGCCCATGCCTGGCACCGCCCTCCCCCTGGGCACCGCCCATGCCAGTAGCACACAAAGGCAATCAAGCTAAACAGCAAAACTAAGAACTATAAACTCAACTCTCAACTCAGGTATCCGGCAAAATGGCAAACTCACCTGATGGTCTGGTAAACATGCTCGGCCATTGTGACATCGCCACAGACATACACATGTCCTCGTTCCAGGACAATCAAATTGTACAACGAATCAAATTCCTGTTCAATCAGATCCTGCACATATGTCTGCAAGTAAAGAAATAGTAAAGAACAATCCCGCATCAAAAGCCACTCCTGCTTCAAACAAATGTTAGCTTAGGTTTAAAAAAAAAAGAAAAAGAAAATGTTGAATGTGATTTGCGCAAAATGTTCAGGCAATGAATCAATTTGCCAGCAATTCAAGTTAAACAAATCATTTATCGTAAAGTACAACAGCTGGTAATCCCCCCATTTAAGGACTTTGATGATGAGACCTATTGCTTGAGGCCAAAAACAATCAAGGCTGACAACGGGGAATAAACAATTGTTCACCTTAGCACATTTAGTGTCGTCATTCTACAACTACAACTACGTAAATGAATTGCTGAACTTAAATCACAATTGACTTTAGCTTGATTGGTTTCATTCACTGCACAAATATTTATACAAATTGTGGAAAATACTTAAACATTCATTCACTTTAAAAATATACAAAATATTCTATGAAAGTGTCTGACATTTTATTCACTTTAAAACAAATAGAAAATAGTCTAGGAAAATGCCTTAAGCTTATTTCAGTTTGAATATATAGAAAATAATCTAATTTAAAATCTAAATGTCTTAAATTTTATTGCCTATTAAAATATTGAAAAAAAGCCAGTGAAAATATCTAAGCTTTTATTCGACTTAAAAAAACATTAATAAATATGCTGCGAAAATGCCCAAAACTCACTCTAAAAATATAAAAATATTCTTCCTAAACTTTCACTCACTTTAAAAGTGTTAATCTGTTACAATGTTAAAATAATTATTAAATTGAAAAATATAGAAAAAACCAGTGAAACTGTCGAAGCTTTCATTTTAAAAATATACAAAATGTTCTGAATAAATTTCGAAACTTTTATTCACTTTAAAAATACAGAAAATAATCAGTTCAATTTGTTGTTAATCTTTGAAGTGTTCATTTAATTTTCATTTTCTCAGTTTTATTTTTAAAAATAAGGAATAATAAACTTACCTTGGGTATGTCTGGCTCTCTGGATAGTGCCAAGAATACACGATCCATGATTTGATCCTGCAGCAGTTGCGCCTTCTCCTCGGCATACAGATCCACGTCGCGATTACGACAGCCAAAGAAGAGCCACAATTTTGGCAGTGCCGTTGCCGCATCCACTTCGCGCAGCACCTGAAACTCCTGCCAGAAAGAGCGGAAGGGGGCAATCCCAGTGCCTGGGCCAATGAGGACCACCGGACGACTGCGATCCGCAGGCAAATGGAAACCCAAAGCGCTGCGCACAAACATAAATAGCTCGTCGTCGGCTCGCAGCCCGGCCAGATAATTGGAACAGACACCGAAGCGCTCCTCGCCTTGACCATCCTCGCAGCGATACTTGACAATGGCGACGGTCAGATGAATCTCATCGCTGACGCGACGTGGCGATGATGAAATGGAGTAGAAACGTGGCTGCAGCGGTGTCAGATGTGCCACCACCAGCGAGGCGGGCGGTCGACACGAGGGGAACTCCTCGAGCACTTCCAAAAGATGGGGCAGACGCCAGTGACGCCAATCCTCATAGGCCGACGAGTCAGTGACCAGCAACTGCATTCGCTCCGCATCCGTATTATCATCGCAGAAGCCCGCCAGCAAGGTGAGCAACTTCCTCGACGGCGGCGTCGTCAGATCAAAGAAACGCGACAACAAATTGCGCAACGTATCCGGTGGAATTTTATCATGGGACTCCCAGCACTTGAAGATGCCATTCGACGTTTGTTTCTCCTTCAGCAGCTGCAGTTGCAGCACATCGTCAGGCGAGTCGACGCCAACCAGTCGCTCCAGCAGTCCGTCGACCAACGCCTTGCGATTCGCTGGAAAGATGCCAACATGATCGCCCGGTTCGTATTCCAAGCCGGGTGCATATATCTCCAGCAGCATTGTTGTCTTGGCACCCTCGCTCAGCTTGGTTAGATTGTGTGGCTGCGTCTTGATCTTGCAACAGTGCACCTTCTTGTTGTGGTACTTGGAGAGGGCACTATCCAGCGACGTCTTGCTTACAGACGGTACCAGGCGAACCGTGTTCACGGTAAGCGATTCATTTTGCAGTGCTATCGATGCATCGGACAGACTCTGATCCGGATCCAAGCAGAAGGTCTCGCATGCCAGCTGCAGAGGGAGAAAAATATAAATTTCTGATTGAAATCTTAATTAAAATTCGACTTTGAAACTTTGACTGTCAAAGCTAAAGCGATTTCTAAAAACTACATCGATAATAATTCAGTTAGTCAACTCACCTTGAACACCTCTGGTGCCCACTTGCGGAACGATTGCTCCTGTCCGCACATCTCATCGCCATAGGCAATCCTCAGTAGACGCTCGCCGCCCAGTTCGCCCAGAATGTTGTCCACATATTGGCCAAAGGCGCAAAAGTTCGGATAGGCCGAGGAGCCCAGTGCGAAGACAGCGAATCTAACATTAGACAGCGGTCCAAAGGTCTCTTCCGTAAAGGTATCCGAGGTGGAGCCACGCAGCGAGTCCCAGCGATCGATTTTCTTGACTTGTTGCAGCGGCAGCTTCATAAAGTCCTGCCTCGAGCTGGCCTTCATGAAGGACTTGGATGAGCTGACACCCCTGCTAATCATAAGTAGTTGCAAGACAGAGACAAAGATGCCACTTTCAGTTAGAAATTGAAAACGCTTTTGGAATTTTTGTTTTGTTTCGTTTTGTTGGTTTTTTGCCTGCTCAGCTCGAAATACATTTGCACAAAGGGGGCCAAACAAAGGACGTGGGCTTGAGCACTGCGCCTCTTGTCAAGCAATCACAAAAGGCAAAGGACACGGATAAAAAAGAAGAAGAAAAAAAAATGATGAAGACAACAATAAAAGCAAAGCATACATAACTGACAGCAAAACATTTATTACGCTTGTCATTTGACGTAACCAAAGTGAGCCAAAACCAAAAATAAAATGCGCCTCTCAAGCGAAGGCCTCGCCTTGGACATACTTTGCAACTGGCAAAGCGTAATCATCCGCTCGTCAGCAGCTCGTCAGGCGCAGCAACAGTAGCACTCGCAGTCGCAGTCGTAGTCGCAGTCGCAACATGTGGCAAGTGCCCCCAAACCCCGCATCAACAGTTGAGTGATGATCCAACAATGAACAGTGTCAGCTTTTAAGGAACACAGCACTGCGGAGAAATGGACAAAAATCCATCTTGCAGCTGAAAAATCCAGCTTAGCGCAGAACTATCCATTGCCAGCTGTAGTTGTCTTTTGGGTCTTTTAGAGTCTGAGTTTGGGGTCCTAGCCTTGTTCGGGCAAATGCGTTTTAAACTATTTGAGCTGCTGCTCAGCTTTGGCTTTGGGTCAAAAGTTTATGGCTTTGGTGCCGTCGTAAAAACCTGTTGGCTGTTACATAATCAGCTGCCAAGTACTGCTGGGGTTGTCACACACACTACACACACACTACACACACACTAAACCACCCCCGACTACACACCATATCAGCAACATCAACATCATCATCAGCTGGGGAAGAGCTTACACGTTGTAAGTGCTTTTCAACAAAAATGGTGCACACAGTTGCAGACCACACATAAACATTTTTTATGTTTGTGGACTTGACTAGTTTTTTAGAGAATAGATATCCCATGAAGCTAATTAGCTCAACTCTACTTTTACTCCCAGAAAATGCAGCACATAGATTAGTATGCGGAAATGTTCTTAATTGATATAAATAAATATATTTTTTACATATATATATTTTTTTGATTTCTTCATATTATATATATATTTTATCTTTTATTATTTTGTTGAAGATTTGAGCTGTTTGTACCACTGTGCCATTCTTAGGTCATGTGCAATTCATCAAGGTAGCAAAGCGTTGAGTTGCAAAGCTGCGTGCCACTTGCTGCGTGCTGCCTATCAACTTAATCGCAGCACTAACCATATGAGCAACAGTAACAACAGAATCAGCAAGCAGCTAAGCAATGAAAACAGAGAAACAAACACACGAACAGACAGACAGACACACACAAACAGACAGACTAACAAACGAGGCAACGTTATCCTTGTTAAGTCTCGAATTTCGTTGGGTGGCAACTGCTTGCTGCTGCTGCTGCTGCTGCTCTGCTTCTGCTGCTGCTGTTCATTGCGCAACCCAAAAGTGCAGCTTGGCGTGAAAAGAGTGTTGTAATTTAAGAGCTATGCAACAGCTAAGGCAACGACAGGTGGCAGCGCCAGTTGCCAAGTTGCACGTTGCAGGTACAATAAAATATACGCCAAAGTAAACAAGGCAAACGGCGAAAGTACAAAATTGTAGTGTGAGAAAAGCCCCCAATCCCCCTATTCCCTAGAGACTCTGGCATAATTAAAACAGCTTGCGAGCTGAACAGCAAAATTGGCTGTTCCTTTTTCTGCTTCCCTTTCGCCATCATAAATCCGACGAGTGCCCAAAAGTAGGCAACAGTTTTTTCTTCTCATTTTTGTTTCACTTAACTTGAGTCAAGTGGCCTCCGGACAACTACTACTCGTAATTGTTTTGTGCACTCGAAATGCTGTTGAAAAGTGTTGAAGAGTTTACTATTTGGATATTTTATACCCTATAAACTGTATGCGAAAAGTCGAGCTTTAAATACTTGCCAGCCATTGAGTAATTTATTGAGTTTATAGAGCTTTTTAATAAATGCTAGCAACATTTTGAATAAAAAAATTATATAATTTTCATTTTATATATCTAAAATTACATTTTAAAAAAATATACCATAGAATAGTTTTAATTTTACTTTTTCTGTTCTTTTTTATTGCAACAGATGTTGGTAAGTATTTAAAAAAATAGTTTTAAGTTGCAATACTAAATAATTCAAAGAGTATTTATATTTTCGATACCAGAACCAAAAATGAACTGCGCGGGAGACGTGTAGATGGTGTTGATTATGAAATGTGTTAAAAACTGCCAGTTTGAGGCTTAAGGGAATAAGAGCAAAGTTTGCTCCAACGGCTGAGAAGATTTTTGATGAGAAAATAAATAAGAGTGGAAAATGTGTGCTTAAGATTTTGCTGATAATGTTCTTGGTGAGCTTGTTTAATAACAATTATAACAACTATTTGATATAATGATTAACAATGAAGCTTATATCTGAAATTTAAATTAATTCCCTCAATGAATTTAATATCATTTTTCATTGCTCAATGAAATGCGGCTACATATATAGTTTATATATTTATTCATTTTTTATATTATTCATTTATATATATATATATATTTATTCAAGCATTGCAACTAAAAAAGTATCAACTAGGGTATCTGATTTTCAAGATAGCACTGACAGCCAATTCTTCCTGTTGCTATTTGCAATTTTATTCGAGTATCTTATTATGCAAAGTGAAGTAATTGTAGGTTTATAGCTAGCATCATCATAAAAAACTATGATGACAACATCTGTGCGTTCCCATCCAATAGCAGCAATAATGATAATAATGTTGATGACGTCTAAATGAATGCCGGTTGGTGCCACTTGTGCGCTCAAGCAGCGGCAGTTGCAGCTTGCAGCAGCAGTTGCAACTTGCAGCTTGCAGGATGCGGATGCTGCTGTGACACCCACACCCACACTTAATCATGGGGCAAATAGATAAGCAACCTGTGTTGAGTGACACTTGAAGCGATACTTGAAGGCGTTGATGGTATAATAGACAGCAATTAAGAGAGTCACTTAAGCTGACAAACACAGAAGCACGGTCTGTTGCAACAGGAACATTGACAAGGCCACCAGCTATATAGCTGATGACTGTGCACTTTTTGGGGATGACATGATTTGCAGACAATCAAATTAACGTGCAGCTGGTTCGCTATGAAATTGACTTCAATTAATTGGCAAATTGCCAGTGCCACAAAGCACACAGCACTTGTGGAATTGAATTCAATTTAGGTTTTGGCAATATGCAATCTTGCTCCAGCTGAGGCACTGAAACTGTTTGTGAACTCTTAAGTAACTATTTTGTAAAGTTTTGGCGCCAGTTAAAATCTTGCCACATGCCAGACAACATGCTGCAACTTGAGACACGAGACATGGCCGAAAGTTGCAGTAAAAGTTTTCGCATTCTTGACTTTAAGCATGAAATCAATTTGGGGCAAACAATTAACAGTCAAGCAATTTCCGAAGCGACAAGCGCCCAAAGCACTCACTCAACTGGAAGAGCAGCCAAAAAGAAAAGCAAAACAACAAAATGAAGCCGAAGAAAATCGCAATTCACCTACAGGCGATGAAAGCTGTTCAGCTGTTGCTCATACGCAGTGTATGCCTCAAAGGCAGCTACTAAGTGGCTCACAATATAATCAAATTACCAAAAAAATATCGATATAACCTATATCTAATAGCTAAGCTAATGCGTTGCTAATTCTCGGACATTAAATCAAAAATTGTGAAAACTAAGCTAATTAACGACTCCCGAAAAGCAACTAAGATTTATGTACGTGCAACAGTTTGAAGCAAGGAGAACACACAAAATATAATAGACAAATGTGAAAGCATCAATAAATCATTTTAAGTGGTTTATACTGGCATGCCAAGTGCTTAACACGATAAACCAGCCAAAAGAGAATTTTAACATTGTTATCATAAAATACAAATTGATAAACAGGCGTTGCAATAATAACAGCAACAGTGCCCCACACAAAATGATGTGCGTATTAAGTTGATGTATTTAATATTGTATGTAGAAAAAACACACTTCGGGCAGCATTTAAGGAGTCAAAACGTCCTATTGAAAGCAGTCGCAGGACATTTTTTTTACTGCTGATGCTTATCAGCTTCTGTTGAACTGCCAAATATATCAACACACACACACACACATGTATTTCTTTCAGTGTGTGCCTGTCAATATGTCTTACACAAGTCTACGCATTTTTTCATATGAATTTTCAATTTCGTCTTCAAGAGCAGCAACTCGCATTGAGTATAAATTTAGACATGTACGAGTGAGTGTCGGAGAGAGAGAGAGGAAGAGAGATAGAGCGAGGGAGAGAGAGAGAGGGTGTGTGTGCGTGTGTGCACAGCAAGTTGTCAAAGCCGTCAACCGGAAATTCCCTTTACATCATAAAAACAGAAACACAAACGAGTACAAAACTGTTGCGGCTGACGTCTGGCAAATACCCTATAAAAAGTGGTGTTAGGCAGGCGGAAATATTGATATGTAAGATTTAATGGAAGAAATAATAATATTAATTTATAGAAATATTAAATATAAGACTTAGTAATTGAGGAATTATGAAATTATGCCTAAATACAACTCTATTCGTGCGTTTAAAATTCGATTGAAAGGCTCAAAACCCATCAACCTGTAAATTTGAAAATATTCAAGAACATAAACATTTTTCAATAATCAATAATCAAATAAAAAATTAGGTGACTTTGAAAACCAATTTTCTGTTTATTATTATTTATTTGTTCATTGCCTATTTTAGAGGCATTTTGTGAAGCAATTTTTAAAATCAATTTTTTGCTTGCTATTATTTTTCTCTTACTTCAACAATTTCGTGTTTTTTGCTTCGGTTAAACCCTGTTGTTCTGGACTTAAGGGGCATAATTCTTGACATACATAATACGAACACACACGCCACGGAAATATCGAAATAACAAAATTATTGTTATTGTTTGGGGCCTGATGGTGGTGGCCAAAGGAAATTGCGCGGATTTGGCTGTGCTCCCAAGCGGCACACACTTAACTGTCGAATTGGGTTTATCCCTGTGTGTGTGTGTGTGTCAGCTTTATATTATGTTACAAAAATAAAAAGAAATACATAAGAGCCAGCCAATTAATAATGCAAAATATTAAATATGTGTCAGCAAAAATGCGACCCAAATTCAATTTGAATTCCTATTTAATAAATCAGTTTCACAAGGGCCTGCGAATAAATGTAATTAATTCATTTTTTATTACATACATTTTTCACTCGATTTTATATTAATGAAAAATATTCAAGACTTGCTTATTTGTTGAGCATCAAATTTAATATAAACAAAAAAAAACTAAATTAAAATTTAAGAAGAAAACTTAAAATTGAAAAGAAGCACTTTTCAAAGTATGAACTGCTATCCAAATAATGAAAGGCAAATGGCTTACAAATTATGCAATTCTTGCTTAAAAAGCAATTTAGTTTCGACCTTTGTAAACCCTCATTTATTAAACTGGGCAATCTCGTCCAGCAACCTCCACGCAATACCCCGCAATGCTGTTGCCAATATTGGCCAGACAGCCAAATTGATTTATATGAAATTTATGCAGAGCCGCAGATAAAGGCATAAAAAAAAAAGCAGAACAGCAAAAAAAAGTGGCCACAACAAAAGACGAGGCCAAAGGTTAAAGGCATGAACATTTATTTGACTCTTCGCCACACTCACCTGGAATCCTGGAGACCATGTTCGCTCGACTCCTGCACACGCATTGCATACAATTCCTGGGAGAACAGCTGAACGGCACAAAGTTCACATTTGATGTCATTAGTGTTAAACTTGTACTTGGCTCATTCATTAATTAAGTAGTTGATGATCAGGGCTAACTTACCTCGCCATTTTCCGGCGGATCTCCATTGCCAAAGGTGGAGGCAACCACAATTAGCAACGCCTCGTGCTCAATTGAGGATATATCGTAGTCAGACATGCAATATATCTAAATGAATAAACAAACAATTTACTCTCGCAATCGTAATCGCAATCGACAACCAACAAACTTGGCTGAGGTCAACACATTTGTGGTCATTAGTACATATATAAAAACAGCCTAAATTACTTCGACAGATGTGTGTGTGTGGCTGTGTGTGGGTGTGTGTGTGGCTGTTGTGTGTAGTTTGTCACAGGTGCTTGCAGCTTATCTAGTTTTTCAAGGCAATGAGCAGCTGTTATTTTTTTTTGACCAGCATCCGCTTCCGCACACACACACAGAAACACACCCATAGGCACACCATACACCCCCCACACACAGCACCCACTGGACACTAAGCTGCTAAAATTTGAGTTTCACATTTTGGGCTTATGCTAATTTGTGTAATGTGGCATTTACGATAGGTCGCAGGTTGCAGTTTATTTTCGGCTAGTCCAAAGCAGCCTTTTTAATGTCACATTAAGGCTGCTTTTGGCTAACATGATGTATGCTTAATATTTGGCATAAGCCGGCTCAGTTTTTTGATAACTTGCCCATTTTAAAGCTTGATAATTTTAACTATTTTGTATAACTCTTTAGTCTCTTAGACTTTTGCATTTAATTTTAAGTACAAGAATAGCAATATTGTTATTAAATCACATACTATTTAAAGTTGACCCTTTTTATTCATTGACTCGCAGACAATAAGCAAATTTCGCTAGGCTTCTAACTTGACATACCCATATTGACAAAGCTATATAAATTTCAATAGAATCAAATCAATTACGTATTGGCATATCGAACTCACCTGTGCATTGAAGGCGTGTCCCAAGAGTTCGCACAATTGTTTGGCATACTGCTCCGATTTGCCCGTCTCTGTGGCATACAGAACCGTTGCCTTGATGCGTTTCGACAGAGCGCGTCCAAATAATTTCGATGTAAATTTCACAGCACTGCAAGTAGCAAGAGGCAAGCACAGAGGCAGAAGAGTTATCTTTTAGAGACTCAAAATGAACGAGAGCTGTTAATAGTATGTATATATATATATATATATCTATGCATATTCATGTAGCTAGTTAGGGGCATCGCACACTTTCAGCATAGTCAGCAGCAGAGGCATCACTACACTCTATAAGGCTTTATAACGTTGCCATAATACACAAACACACACTGGGAGACTGGCTGATTGACATGCCATATAATTGGAAAATTGTCTTGCAGCACAGCATAGAATGCTCAAAAGACGTTTGGCGTCGACACACACACACACACACACATATACAAACACATACTCGATGTCCTGCCAATAGTCAATTGACTGCAACACTTTTATTACATGGCAGCTGGCTGTCATAATCATCTTGTTGTTCCTTGCTTAAAGCATAAAACACATGAAATTTTAGTGCATAGTGTAAGATGTGAATCGAAAAGAACGTCTACACTCAGAAAAACAATCGACATGCATTTGAAAAAATCGCCTTACTCTTAACACCAAAGGCAACTTATTTATTCAGATAATATATTTCTAAAATTTAACTTTCTGTCTTTATAATAACCAAGGTTAATATTTTCTTATTTTTTTCTGAAATTTAGAAAAATATGTTTAATTTATGCAGTGTTTTTCATATATTTTTAGCTGCTTATATTATGATTTTAGATAGTTTATACATTTATAAAATTTAAATTTTGAAAACTTAAGAATTTATAAGAGCCCGAGAACTCAAGTAAAGATACTTCCCACTAATATAGTTAGGAATTTGAAATTTACTTGGCCTCTGAAGAAGAGGCCTCTTTCGAGAAAGGACATTTTATTACCATTTTGTGATGTTCAGAAAGAATTTGTTCTCAAAATCCTAATTTGCATTTCTACTTTGTTGAATTATTTTATATTATTAAGAAATCAATTTTTGAGAAATTGAAAAAATTCCTTTTTTAATTTGTAGATATTTTTTGGAGTGTACTGTTGCCTGCTGCCGGCTAATAGAATCTAAGAAATCTTTAGCTATGCCGCCTCTACTCGCACATAGTGGATCTGTGCTGCTGGCTCGTGACTCGCACTTATGGCATTGGGTATACGGATGCTTATAGGCAGTTTAACTGTAATTTAATATGGCGTCGCTGCAGACTTTTGTGCGTGGCATAATTTGATTCCCATAAAGTTGTCGATGTCAGCGCTGATTTAATTTCATTTCATGAGAAGTCGAGCTGCCGTGCTCATACACTGAAACAATTAAACTTAATTATGGCGCTACACACATACACACAAATATATATATATATATGTGTGTGTGTGTGTGTGTGTGTGTGTGTATAGTGCATTTTGTTTTTTTAAGCATTGATAAAAAGTTATGCTGAGCAGCGGAGGCGCTCGTTTTAAATACGTAAAGTGTCTGTGTGGATGTTTGTGTGTGTGTATGTTTGTGTGTGTGTGTCTGTTTGTGTGTGTGTGTCTGTTTGTGTGTGTGTGTGTGTGTGTGTTTGTGTCTGTGTATATTTTTGTGCCTGTGTGCGTGTGTGTGCATTCGCATAAGTAACGATTTTAACATGTTAATTGACAACTTTTTAATGAATTTCATTTTTGCCATTTTGTCAGCCGACAATCCATATATACACATTATACATATACATACATATATTATCTGTATACATATTTAATTGTTCAGTGAAGTTGCGGAATTGCAGTGAATTAAAATTAATTAACTTATGAAAATGTGCAAAATGTACAAGTGCGAAAAGCGCTTCATTAAACTGTTACGCTTTAAAGCGTGGTCATTATATAATTATTATGTTGGTTTTTTGTTGCTTTTATAATTCATTAAACAACAATCTGTATATTAATGAAAGTGATCTCACCATTTAAAACTGGCTACAGTGTTAATTACATTGTTTTTATTATACCAAGTTGGGTCATTACGGCAGCACTTCTCAGCCAAAAGTTGAACAGGTGTTTAAATAATGAGACCTTTTCAAAATAGGCATTTGAAAGTAAAGAGTCATTTGTTCCAAGCAACACGGACAAATTGTGAAAACTGCGTAAGAATTCTCTCACTTTGCTTAAAGCTATTATTTTTCAGAGTTTTCATGAGCTCCGTTCTCAAAGTTTTCTCTAATGAGTTTTTGTTGTTTTGCACTTATTTACAATGACAAATATTATGGCACACTGGAACGAGAACTTTCTCCATTGCGTTCTATGTTTCTTGATTTTTGTACCCTGAACCCATTCAAAAGTTGGAGAAGTGCTTAAGTATGCAGCGGGCGGAAGGAAGTATCACCGAAGCAATAAGACATTAATATTCTGGATCAGCATTAACAACCGACTGGATTTAACCAGATTCGTATCTCTTGTCTGTTTGATTAAGTTGATCTCAGAGACTATAATATATAGAAACTTTAAATTTGGATCAGATCATTGTGATTTTATTTAATAGATATTTCTCCTAGCTTAATATCGATAAAAATCGATAAATACACAACTGCAAAGTGGATAAAGGCATATTATTGATCGACAGTAAAAATTCTTTTCTTATTAAGCAAATGAATAATCGCCAGTTTGTTATGAATTTAACAGCTATGTTCAGGACATTTACTAGTATCAGATATTTCTTACTGATTTCAGCTGAGCTTCAGCTATTAGAAATAAGACACATATCTAATTTTAATATGTATAATATATGCTAGTATTGCACTATAAAGATTATTAGTATAAAATGCCTTTAAATAGGGATATCAGCTAATTATTGCTGGCAGCAACTAACTTTGCATATTTCATAAACTAGCTAACACTTAGTGAGTAGCTTAATAAAAAATAAAAATACAAAATAAAACCTGATGCAATGCATCACATTTTGCAAGCGTGTTGACATCGCTGACAGCCGGGGGGAGAATCAGAATGAGAATGAAAATGAGCAGAGAACTGGCAACCGGTCGCAATAAACCGCAATCCATGTAATCTACTTAAGAGCTAATCCCTGCTGATGCTGTGTTGTGTCGTGTGACACACGCCACACACATCACACACCCACACACACACACACATAACACACACACACACATCGCTCACCCACACACACACATGCATAAACAATTACACGGCATGATGAGAATGCACACAAAAGCCAAAGATATCATCGAGCAAAGGTCGGCTACGCTTAACGGTGAAGGTAAAGGTAACGGCAACGGCAACGGTAACAGTAACAGTAACGGTAAAGGTAATAGCAACAATTTGAGCACTCGTAATCGTGCTCGTACTTACCGAGCGATTTGTTTAAAATTGAATTTACGTCTTGGCTTTTTGCCTTTGCTTTCGCCACGTCCCTTTTTCCAGATGTGCGTGCGCCAAGCGGAATCCTGATATTCAAACGAGGGCTTCAAATAGTACAGTGCCATCTCCTGATGAAACACTGGCGTTATGGACCCCGAGAGTGGCGGCACAATCCATATCCAATCCGCTGGACAGCCATTCCTAAGAGACAGACAGAAAGAGAGAGAGAGAGAGAGAGAGAGAGAGAGAAACAGAGAACGATACGAAAGGATGAGATTCAAGTAATTGTTATGGTCGCCGCTTTGTTTTTGCTTATTGGCTGTAATTGACATATCGCCGCAGAGCAGAAGCTGCAGCTAATGGCTGGCAACGCCACTCCCCTTCTCACCACAACCCATCCCTGCACATCTCTGCTTAATTGAAGCCAACAATCGAGCAGGAGGATGCTCAACGCTTATCTGATGTATCCGCTTTGTGTAGCATTAGAAAATGCAAATTGGCTGTAATTGAAATATGGCCATGTATTTTTAGACAGCAAATGGCTTAAGTCGAAGCGTATTTTCAGCATTGGCCCAACCGTTGCTGTCTAGAATGTCTCTTCTCGTCGGCTGAATTTATTTAACTTTTAAATGAACAGGATTTAACAGTTTAAGCAGTTTAAGCACTTAACTTAACACAACATAACGTTAACTTAATCCCAACGTATTAAAGTTTACCATTTGACTTTTGGTTTTTGGCTTGCGGATAATACATATATTTTAATTAAGCTTTGTAGTCGGTAAATATAGTCAAACTTAAGTTAGCTTAAACTATATTTACAAACACTATTAAAATATAATACACAGTTTATAAATATATTAAATCAAGCATCAAAGATAACCACTGATTTATTTCAACAATTATGCCCTGCAGCCAACTGCAACATGAAATCTACAATTAAAATGAACTAACACATGCCAGAAGTGTGAAAATATACTGGCTTGTACACTCAGAGAGAAAATCGCACGGATTATTAAAATATCAGCGCATTTTTTTCTCTGCTGGGTATATTTGAGATAGTTTATAAAATAATTATAAAATTCATTATACATTTCAGAAATGATTTTTGCTAAAAATAAAATTAAGTTAATTATTAAGAAATATATTTATGTAAAATTGAAAAGTCATTCTTTTCAATTTTAAGATTATTTAATTTTAAGAAATATTTATGCGAATTTCGAAAAGAATTAGAAAAAATGATTTCAAAATACAAGACGATTTTGTTGGAAATAACTGTATTTGCCCACGTACACCGCAGCTTGTCTTGCATTCCCGTTTTGTAGTCTTAATCTTTTGTTGCCTGCGAGCAACGGTAATTGTCAGTTCCTTATGATCAAGAGCTTCTTCGATGGTATGTTTAAGCTACTTTCATGAAGTAAGAGTCAGTCGCTTTTGGTCGCTTGAATCGCGTAGCAAAAGTCGCATGAAGCGGACAAAACTCTGAATAAATATAAGCCCCAAATTATAATATATTTTTATCTGAGTGTATGTAAATAACATTTATTACCAATAAATGTGATAGCGACTCTGACAACAGTTACGCAAATAATAATATATATATGGCACATATATCATATAAAACCTTAAACCAAACCGAGCATCACATCCTTCCTCCGTATCACAGCTTGCAAAGTTTTTGGACATATTGTGTGGCATTTGTGAGTGTCTCGTGTGCACTTTATGTAAACCGATGACAGCGGCAAATTGAAAACAATAAATTAAATTCGCACCTGAAAACGAGTGCCAGTGCAACACAGGAAGTTAAATAAAACGCGTTAAGCTATCAACTTTGGCCTGCAATGTGTGATAAACATTTACAATATTGCGCATACGCCCCCATGAACGATCAGTGAATATTAATTTATGCTTACCGTAACTTGGACTCGTTCTCGAAGTGTTTCATGAAACTTTCGCTGGCCGTGTGATGATCCACAATGGTTATATTGCGACTCTGATATGAATGCAGCACAGCAATATTCATTTCCACAACAGCCTTATCCTTCCACAACGATGTCGGCGTTCGGGTATCCAGATTCATTTTGAGCGCCATCGTCTACAAGAATATTCAATTTCAGATTACTTTATGCTATCTCTCTTTTCATTACAGCTCCTGTCGGACTGCTGTGATGTTGTTAATTTTCGATTATAGGTTCTGGTTTTTTTTTTGTGGCAAACAAATTAATAATTGCCTATGGTTATGCCCCTGGCAACAAGTGGCGTATTTTGTTTTGTGGTTACTGGACATCGACCTGACATCATTTATCGATTTGGCTGCTGGCCATGAAACATGGCATTTGCCTACCACACTGGCTTTCAATTATGTGAAACTTTAAGGAAATGGAAAAGTTTGAAATTGGAAAATATAACTTCATTATGTGTAGCTCTGACAAACGTTTCCCTAGCCATGTGCGAAATTGGTGGTATATTTAAAATTCATTGTTAAATTGCGTGTGCTTTAGTTTAGTTTGAAAGACTTGATTTAACGACTTAAACTAAAATCTAAAAAGTTTTTGTAAGATTTACTGGATTGTGGCTTTTGTCTTAATAGTTTTGAATTAGCTGAAATGATAAACTTATCAATCTCCCTTTATGAATGTAAAGTAACACAGGATAACAATAATAATAAAACATTAAATTTTTATTTAAACAATGTTAGTTAAACAAATTAGCCTAACAAAAGTATAAAAAGAGATTTGAAATTTAAAATCTGCATAAATATAAATAATTGTGATTTAGCAATAATAATTCGATAATAAGAAACTAATAATAATATTTATAATATATATATATTGAAAACAAAATAACTGAATTTTGACAATGTGCGTGTACAACTTCCAAAATATAATTGGGGCAAATGGTGTACGTTGTGTGTGAGTATAAAATCCTATCATCAAATTGAATCAATTCACCTGTGTATGCTAATGGCTGGTTCGTGTTGAAAACTAATTGAACCAGCATTTTGCAAGTGCAAATTCATTTCATTACAAATTTATGCTGTGCAAATAACTAAAATATTCAAGTATCCAAAAATCTGCCAGCAATTAGTTCAACTCTGCAGATACATACATCGAGTACTGGCCTGCACTGTTCAATGTTGCACCATTAACACTATGGAAACAGCATTTACTTAAAATGCGCTCGAGTGGCTTTTAAAGATTCTTGAGCCAAACTGACTATCCAGAGAAGCAGCTATACACATAAGCTGTCTCACACACTGAAATATTTACTCGAAAAGGCGCTTTATGGCGGCAAAGTAAACGCGATAAGGCAAACGGAAGAATGAATGAGTTCGCAAAGGATCGACTAGCACATACTCAGTACTCAAAAGTTAAACGATTGCTTCATAAATAGGGAATTTTAGTTCTCATAATCAAATTTCAGAAATTTGATTGTAAACACCAATAAATAAAATAAGTAATAATAATAATTAATTAATTAAATAAATCAAAAATAAATAGATAAAATAGAAACAACCGAATTGACGGTCTGAGTAGCCACTTCTCAGTAATTAAAGTTAGCCAATATTTTAATTATAAATTAATAAAATAAATAAGTAAATTTTAAGAAAGTTATTGGGAAACAATAATTTTATATATTCAGTAACATTTAGTCATTAAGCTGATAAAAAATGTATATATCCCGGAAAGGTTCGCAATTTGCTCATCCAGAGTGCTTAATAGATTTTCAACCAGTGATTAAAACCTTTTTAAAAGCATTTTTAAGCGTTGCAGGGTATAATAAAAAGGAAGAATCTTTGTGGAAAGGCGGCCATTATGCGGCACGTAATGAAATAAATGCCGGAACACGCCAGTGCGGTGGCGACAAAAACATCAAGGACATTACGCAATGACAATCCCAGTGCTATCAATAATGCAATTTCAATATACATGCACCACCAACCCCTCTCCCGAGCCGCAAAACCAATTAACGATTTAAATACTTTAATGAGTCGGGTAAAGCTGGCAACTTACCTCCAACATATTGCGACGATTTGTATCGCACAAATTGCGGCAGCCAATCTCTGTGGACATGTACCAACCACTGAATGTGGTGGCCGTAAACTGTATGCCACCCACATCGAACAGCATGCTAGATACGGCGGGCAATGCATACCACCGTAAATCCAATTCCGTAAACCATTCAAACCTGCACGAGACACAGAGAGTGAGACAGCGAGAGAGAGAGAGAGAGAGAGAGAGAGAGAGAGAGAGAGAGAGAGAGAGATTTATAAGTTGAAATATTTGTTGGCAATGCTGATGCGAGTCCGTTAAATACACTTGAATATAACTGCTTTGTTTGCATGACTATTTATACACAGTCCCACACACAAACACACACACTCCCACACTCACTTGGGATGAGTCAGCGGCACTTCTAGTATCAGTTCCGGCGGGTAATCAAAGTAGTCCGGATCGTGACCATTGGCAGACACCACCAGCGGCAAAATGTCCCATTCGGTGCCCTTGCCCTTCCAGCCGAGTTTAGTGCAAACCTAGAAGAAACAACAATGAACAAAAATAAAGAAAAGAAATAATATCAGCATGAGAGAGGCAGAGAGACAGAGAGACAAAGAGAGAGAGACAGAGAGGGAGCAACATAAAAGCGACATGTGAACAAATATATGGCACACTTTCGAGCTGGTTTTTGTATGCAAATACATCAGTATTCAGCATATTGTGTCCTGGCAACATATGTTTCAGTTTGTGTCTTTATTGACAGCATTGTTGTTTGCTCGTTTTGCGTGTTTTATTTTTTTTTTTTTTGCTTTGCGTATTTAAAATGCGATTTATTACATGAAGTTTACACAACTTTTGTCCTGCCAAAGTACACAAATGTTCCGATAATTTGTTGTGTTATTGTGAATTGAGGGATTTTGCAATTGGTTGGTTTACTAACAGCATCAAATACAAACATATACATTCATAGGAGGGATTGATGCAATATATAAATTGATAGGTAGATTAAAAGCAATAAATAAACATCAATTCTCCCATTATGTTAGAAACTGCTCAAATTGCTGCAATTTCTGTGGGATTCAAAGAAGTTTTTTGCCTTTCAAGAAGTGGTTCAATGCCTGATTATCTTAGCGTCATTTTATTCACAACTCTTGTTATTAATAATACATGTTTTTGTAATGATAAGTAGATGCTTAATTTTAAGTCTGACTTGAAAGTGGGAAGAAACCTGTGGCAACCTGTGACTCACAGCTCTAATATAGACCACACAAAAATAAGATAACATAAATAATTATTAATATTCCAATTACCTGGTTGCAACTCTAATATTATATTAAAATTAAAATGTAATTACCTCTGTAAACTCTACATTCATGGGATCACCAATAATCTTGGCATCGGCTTGCTTATAGCCAGCATAGGAAATAAGCTGATTGTTCCATATGCGATAATCGTGACGAGCATCTGTCCGCTGTGGAAATATTGTAATGGCTGATCTGCAATCAAGTAAAATAAATCCATTAATACGTATTTGAACCAAAAAAAAAAAACAAAGGGCAAAGTTTTAAGCAAAACAATATAGATCCGACTACAAGCCAAACTATTTACAGATGTTTTCAATTTCGAACGAACTTTAAAGTTTGCAAAGCTTAAGCAACTTTGGTAACATAAGCGGCTTCTAACCTTAACATAGTCAAAATTGCAATTGATAGTCAGTTTAGGGCATTATTTAAGCTGTCAATTTTACCAATATTTACCAGACCACTTTGCAGCTCAACTCATTGCCAATTAGCAATGACCAAAATATTTGGCAGCCATTTTGGGCAAACTTTCGCCCGATGGCTGAAACGTTAATAGTATGTTTTAAGGGGATTATTGCGTGTCAATGAAATTTTAAATTAGTAATTTTCCAAATTTTCCAATTGGCATTGGCATATGCATGCTTAAAAGCATGGAAAATAATGTTCAGCTTTCAATATGATATCACAAAGATATTTTCACTAATTAGTATTTCCCAGCAATTTATAATTTAATGAGAATTTCATAAATTCATACTATTGCTGACTAAGGTTTATTTAAAATATGTGTAAATATAAATTCATTTCATTTTCACATTTTTGGGCAATTAAATTGCGTCAATTGCTAATATATATTTGCAGCTTAGTTTTGCAGAGTCTGAATTTGCTAACAATTACAATTTGCAGTGTTTATTGTTTTAATTAACTGATATTAGTAGTCATTAGCCCACCATTATATACTTGGTATACAATTTATAATAGATGTATTCGCATTTAATTACTTGGGAAAAACAATTTGAATGCGAAAAACACTGTATTATTTATAACTGAATTTTTGGTTTTACATTTTTGAGTGAATATTTTGTATTTGTTTTTATTGGTTTAATGTTCTAATTTAATATTTATTTGGTATTCATTTTAATACAATTTTGTATTTTAAAACTTACCTGAGATTTCCTTTATTGGTTGCATATTTTATGTGATTGCAAATTGCCTCAAACATGCCACTTGTTGTGGTCACATAACGACAATCAAACACCTAGAAATATAGTTGAAAACAATTATAAAATAGTTTTGTAACTTTGCCTGAATATCTAACAAATTAAAGCCAACACTTAGAGTTTAGGCCAAGTCTAAGCTAATCGCTTAAATTTTCTATTCTCAGCAAGACTAACTACAATCAAAGCTGCAACTGCAATTTTGCAACATCCAGTTCAAAAGCTAATATTAACTAAAATATTCATAGCGCTCATAGACACAGGCAACAACCGAAATAACGAAAACTAACACAAGTTAGAGTTGGGTATACATGACTATAAGATGCCCTATATTGAAGAATTATAAACTGCACTAAGCTTATTCAAAATTCAAAATGCAAACACTGCATCTATATCTGTATCAATATGTTTATATATAGCTATATAGATTTGTATGTTACGGTTTTAAAATCTTTTGGCAATATCGGACCAGAATCGTGTTTCCAACTTTCAACTGAAAATCGGTTCACTTTTGACGAATTTATGACTAAAAGAAAGTTTCCTTCACCCGTCCCTTTTTTTGGGAGTTTAATTTTAAGATTAATTTCGGATCAGAATCGTATTTCTAACTTTACATGTAGCTTTGTTCTAGACCTATCAATCTATATCTACACCAGAATCTATATCTATTTCTACATCTGTATCAACATCTATATTTATATCGACATCTAAGTCAACATTTATATCAGTTACTATGTCTATTATTGACACATATAATCCGCTTTTGCCTTGTTCATCCCCAAGTCGATGTCTCACATCATTCCCGTTTCCCCCATTTAAGTGTACAGGGTATTCAAAACAGCAGAAACTGTTGAAAAAGAACAGTCATAACAGTGGCACTACATGAATTTTAAGTTGCAACGGCACTGGAAAAACTGTAAATTAAATCAGCTGAGTTAAGTTATGTCCTGTTTTGTGCTGTTCTCTTCTGTGTTTGCTTGCAGCCCATGGGGCGTATGATAGATGTGTTATAATACACTTTGTTTCGATTGTTGTTTTGCTGTTTTTGTTCGTTTCGCATTTTGTTCAGGGTCCCTACCCTTTTTCAATGGTCTCGCTTCTGAGCACTTTCGAGTTATTCCAGATATTTCACCAGTTCAGTTCAACTGTTCTATTTACAATTGTTTGGGCAAATTTTCACACCTGCTGCTGCTGTTTCTATTTGTGGTTTTTCAATGATAGGTGCGAGTGCCAACACTTGACCCTTTGGAATTTCTATGTTGTCCACTTAAATCTCTGAACCGCAATTTGTTTTTTTTTTAATATCTAGCCCCTTCCTTTATTTCATTTCCATTTGATTTTCTGCTGTGTTGGGTTTTTGTGCGAATGCTGGCCCCCATTTATTTGTAATTAAGTTAGAACCCTTTTTCAAGTGGTCACCCATAACCCATTCATTGGATCATGATGCATGCATTTAATTTAGAGCAAAGTTTTGTTTTTCAAGTGTTATGGGATAACTTTTTTTGGAAAGTCATGGCGTAAAATGAAATTATCATAGTACACAACAACAAAAATGATGCTTATGCAACAGCATTTTTTAAAGGCAAACGGATAAACTATGCTTTGAACTTTCCACATATTTTCACAAATCGAAATGGTTTTTGGTAGTGAATGATAAGGATCAATGAATTAGGATTAAGCTAATAAAATTAACTCAATATTGCATTTAGCTATAGATTCGGGAAAGCAACAAAAAATATTTAATAAATATATAATATATGAGCAGATAGCTGGACTTTAGTATACCTAGTAACCATTGCAGGAATAAATAAATTTTGATTAAGCTTACAAAATTGATTATACACATCAAAGCAGAAAAAGATGATCGAAAATCCAAAATTTAATTCAATTTGATGTATTTTGCTTTTGATTACTAAAAATTATAAGTCGGTTTGCAGAGCATATTTCCATCAAGTCAAACTATTTCATTTGTAAGCAAAGAGCAGAGAGTCTTTGTTCATTAAATATGCATAAATACACGAGTGTACAATAAGTAAATATTTAACGCTAAGTGAATTTCTTAAGGTGACTTCAGAGACAACGAATTGAGAATTCCTGTATGCCTTAAGGCAAACACACACATGCCAACCATTGAGGCGCGAATGCAAATTTGCTGACACATTTCTAGGCGCTCTCTGTTGCTTTTCAATGTCAACTACCGATCATTATAATATACAAATATATGTATATTCACTTACACATATAAATCTAGGTATGTATGAATAAATCTCTGCGGAGCAGACACTGAAATTTTTGTAAATTAAAATTTACGAGGATTTGCAATGCAAATGTGCACATGGCATGCCTTTGTCTCTCTCTCTCTCTCTGTCTGTCTCTCTCTCTTTATCTCTCTCTCGCTCTCTTCCTCCATCTCTCCCTCTATATATATGTTTATATTTTTTGTTTGTGTGTGCTGTCCTACTTGCTGCCGTTTTTTATCGCCTTTGGCTGTGCGTTTTGTATTTGTCATTTTGTTGAAACACGCATAAATCTTGAATAATGTTGCCCAGACAGACAGACAAGCATATACATATATATGTGTATGCTTTATATGCATATAACTACTAGGAAGCCCCTCCCTCCCTGCACCACCCTCTTCTCGAGCTGCCTGTGTGATTTGTGCGCCAGCTAATTTGCTCGACTATTTTGCGTATCTTTCAAAATTCTTCTAAATTACACAAATTTGCCTAATGTCTCTTGATGAATTGTCGAGTTGGCATTCGCAAAATATCGCAAGTCACTGGCGAATGCACGACGCAAGCTAATATGTGGCCCAAATAAGGCTGACAAGGGTCGCTAGTTGGATGAATATGAAATTTTGACTGTAACTTGAACTTATATTTTACAACAATTTAAAGCAGCTTTCTTTTTAAACTCAAATGTGTAGAAGTAGGACTTCTAACTTGAATGTTTATAAGACAAGTAATATATCTGTTGGACAGCTATAATCGTATAAAAGTATTATCCTTGGGGAAGAACAGACTTAGAATAGTCAACGGTCTATTGACAGGACACTAGGAGAACTAAGAGATCACCTAGCTAAATAAGGTATAATTATTAGAGGAATCTACTGATTTTATGATAATTAGAAGGGGCGCAATCGATCTGAAAAGTCCACAATTAATATAATTCCCAAATAATAATAATAAATTAAATGTCAGTTATTTGTATTTGTATTAAATATTTTAAATTATATTCATTTTTAAAATGTAATTTTAAAGATGCTGTTTTTTTTCTAATTCTCCCAATAGTCACACAAAAATGGGGAGCTCCCAAATATTGCACAGATTTTATTTAATATTTTATCGTACGCTCTAAATAAAGGTACAAAATTGTTCTTCAGATAACTAATTCGTAAGTTGTTTGCCATTCATAAATCAAATGTGAAGCTCACCTGCAGCTTGGACCATTGGATGCGGCCAATGCAGCGAGAAGAATTTCGCCAAGCTAATTTGGCGCCATAAATTAGCTCCGTTTCAGTTAGCTGATAATGTCCCGTTGTCTCTATGCTCTGACGCACCTGTTTCCAGCGTGTATCGTGGGCAGCCGACGAGGAGCTGCGAGTGAAAAAAGTTTTGCCAAATTTGAGTTACATATTTCATTTGGCATTTGGCAGTGCACAGTGTGTGTGTGTGTGAGTGTGTGTGTGCGTGTGTGTGAGGATTACCGTTTTATTGAAGTGAAGTACTGATCCAGAAAATCCTTGGCGTGCTCCAGCACCAAATCCGATTTGCGCGCCTCAGCCGGAACATTTCCAATGGCCATGATGCTGCTCGTACAGGTAGCCTTCGAGCAGGATAATATCTGGAATGATGGAGCCAGTCGCAAAATCATAAATAAATAAGTCATTAATTTGTCACAAATACGACATACTCTGGGCTTGGGGATTTGTCTTAGTTGGTTGTGACAATTTAATTAAAAAAATAAAAAAAACACAAATAAAAAAATTTAATTGCTTATCTGGGTAATTAAATTTTTGATTGCTCATTTCGTGCGCCCTAATTGCAGCAACAAATGAAGATGAATGACAGAGCTGACAGTGCGATAATAAAAAACACACCCACAACTTGTTGCAATGAAAATGAAATTAAACAGCAACGGCACGAGGAATCATGAACGAGGACGAAGAAGTCACAACTTCTCGCCTCGAGCTGTATCTCCAAAAGTCCTCAACAAGTTAGCTGCTTGCTGCTTGCTGCTTGCGTCCTGCCTTTGCCACGTTTCAAAAGCATTTCACTGTCAATTGCGAATTTTACTTGTTACTTTGCTTTACTCTCACAATTTTCTTCAGTTGCTTTCTTTTCGATTTATTATGACACATGTCGCTGTAAATATACCCTGTAAGCAGCGCGGACGAGTTGAATAAAATCATTGACGGCACAGAGCTTAAAGTGATTGTTGTAAATAAATTAAGTTCACGACTAGATTTATGTGAGATTTTGTATAGAACAGAAACGATCCAGAAGCGGTCAGTGCTATCAGGTAACCTTCTTGCAATTATCCCGATAGTGTTGAATAGTAAATAATCGAGTTGAGTTGCAATTAATCGATAACACTAAAGATATCGATGTATCCGAAGAGCATCACAAGCAAGTCTTCAGAAGGCAGCCGTAAAAAGCGTTCTTAAAAATAAGTTCAAACTTAAATATCATAAAGCACAAACAGATCAATGTAAATCTTTAAGTAAAGATTAAATTAACTATATAATAATATCTACATATACAAGAGGTCCCATCATATTTAACGTACAACTCTTAAATGTACAACCTTTTATTCCATGTCTATCCTACCAAACCCAACCATGATACTTTTCTATTGCTTTTTTTAAACTCAACATCAGATTGTGGACTTAACTCTTACATGGTACCAACAAGTTGAGTACTGTCGAGTAGAATTATGCTGCTGCTGAAACACTCAATTTATCTGATTCCCCGCCTCAGCCCAGCGCTGACAACTGTGAATGCTGTGTGCCTGTTTTTTTTTGGTGTGTTTTTCTTTACCTTGTTTTACGGTCTGTTTTTCCACGACGTTTTAATTTACTCAGCGCCAACGCAAACGCCTTCAAGCACCAAGCAAACCTGGCAAATCTACCCGCGGTCATAATTAGTTTGTTTTTACAGGCAGTTGAGCTTCTGAATTGGCTGGCGAAAACTGAATTGGCCCCCCTATAAAAGCGCTCAAGTGGTTTTTACCTGCTTGCTGCTGTTGTTGTTATTATAATGACTTTGAGACTGCGACAAATACATCGTGCATACGCAATGTAACCTCTTCAGTTAACTTTTTTGTTTGCGTTTTATGCAAATGAGTCGAAATTAAAAGTATTTTCCAACTGCTGCTGGTTTTCCCATTACGACTTTTAATTATGAACGATGTTGCTCTTTAAGAGTGTTAAATTCTTTGGAGAAGTTAAATAATCGTCAACGATAGTCACTTAAACTCAGTTTATTATATTTGTAAACTAATTTTTGAATTTTGGCAGTCGATAGCCTTATATATCTCCCTTTAGCTAAGCATTTATTTAGCTATAATGGACTTATTTACTATTAAAAACCAATACTAAGGTTTAGTCAGAAATGCTTTTCAGGAGAAGTTTCTAAAGAAGGTAATTGTGACTACAAAGAATGACAAGGGTTGCGCAGACATACTTAATATTGACGAACCGAAAAGTTAGGATTTTCATATTCAAAATATATTAAGGAAAATGTTCAGTTGCAACTTATGTAATAAGTATTCTATCCCTAGACCCAATAAATCACCAAAGTTGACAAGATGAGCACGACAAGTTAACAGAGTTAAAGAAAACTTCAATTTTGATGCTCCCAAAATCATATGTTTTTTGCTGTATCCAGGTGACCTATTAAAATGCATCCAATTTAGCAATATAAATTCTAAGAATGATGAATAAATGTAATATTTATAAAGAAATGTTCGCTGGCCTGGTAAATTTATCTGAAATTATATTTATAGGCTGTTAAGAAACTAAATTCTTTTTGCAGCATTTTGAATAGTTCATGAATTTTGGGAAAAATACATTTTTAAAGAACTTGGGCTCATCAAGATAATTGAATTAGGTGTGCCAATTGAAATGTAATAATCCAATAGATATTGGAATGATTAGAACCCAAATAACAGAAAAATGTCGAGCGTCATTAAACCATTTCTTTTTTCACCGACTCTATATGCATTCTGAATCATCAACCGTCATTATGTATATCGAAGCCGACTCTATTGCATGTGTAAAAGAAGTCGATCGAAAGAGCTTTGAATCCCACTTTCCACACTCGAATCGAAGCAAAAAAGGCAGCCTTATTTTACTGTACATTTATTTATTGGATGCCAATAAATACTACAGAATAGAGAATTTCTTGGCATATATTGCATCACCAGATGTAGCCACTCAGATGCGCCTGGGCAAATGAATTGGATGGCTTCAGGGGCTCAGTTTCAAGTACTTAATCAGCTTGTGCTTCTTTCAATTACTTTTCAGCTTTTAATAGTGATATGGTAAGGGAATATAACCACTTTAACAAAGTGTGCTGAAACACACAAGTTGTAACTTAGACAAAGACAATAAATAAGATCTTTCTCTATTTCCGGTTGATTTTTTCTGTACGCTTCCTCTTAATTTGTCAAAGTTTTTGGCACAATCTAAAGTTAATGCAACCACACAGTAAATTCTGGTTGTCTATTTATGAGCCCCTCAAGCGGTCATAGCCACTATAAACTTCAAGTCCAACCACACACACATGGGGGAAAAAAAAATAAGAAAAATATGCCACACGGCAGTGGCATAAACTTTGCCAATTTTCAGGAGACAAATTTATGCACAATGTAAACAGAAACAGTAAACAGCAGATGTAACCTACACTTTTCCACACACACACACACACACATTCGTGGGTTACATTACGCAATTTATTTGCAACAACTTGGAAATGGTGAATGTAGTAAGTAAGTAAGTCGCTGCATGCCACGCCCAACCCACACAAATACCACTGCACATTCGCACACCTCATTACGGTAGACCAGACTGTTTGCCGAGCACAAAAATGAACTTTTGCTTCTTCGGAAAGGGAATAATCCCATAAGCCAACCGGAGAAAACAGCTAAAAACTGTGGCCAGGCAGCTTTCCAATGCTGGAGATTTGCAGACAGCCAAATGAATTTGGCTGCCAGCGTCAAATGCAAATAATTACGTGACTGCTGTTGCTGCTGCGGCTGCGACTGCTGCATGCCACGCCCATCAACTGGTGAGCCCCTTCTCCCCAGCAGCAAGGAAAGTTCTTCAAAATTGTTTTATGTAAATATAAACACAAAGCAGGAACAACGCGTGGCGACGGCCGCCAGTGAAACTTGCCACTGCGCTCGGAAACGGAAATTGTTGCAGCTGCAGCGCGTCAAATAAATACATATACAAGCGCACCCAGCCACACACACACACACACACACACACCCATATCAAAGTGCTTAAAGTTTGGCGTGTGAGTTTTGGGTTGCCTCGACACCACTTGCCAGCACTGTGGGGCAGCAAATGGGAGCCAAGGGGATGGGATGTGATTCTCTGGCGTGCGCCAAATTTGCACATTTTTATTAGTTTACCTTTTTATTTATTTATGTTTATTTGTTGTTGTTAAAGTTATGCGCCCCCTAACAGGAAAAGTGTTAAAATGCAGCCAGCTGCTCTTGAACTTCAGGCGAGTTCCAAATGCGCTTTTTACTCTTCCAAGTAGTCTCTCGATAAACATTACAAATATCATCGATTTGTAAGTGAAAAGTATTCTTATTCGAAATATGCTTTTTCGGAAAAATTATTAAACTGCCTTAAAACAAACTCAACCAGTTGAAAGAAGCCAACAATTATTTATATTCGCGAAATGAGCTTTATAAAACGATTTATTTTTCATAGAGAGAGCTTGTCCTCTAAGAGCTATAATATAAATTACTCACAAAGGAATAACATCATATAAGTAATAATATATTATTACACAAATATCGTTCAGAATTCTATTTATAATTGAAGCTGCCATAAAAGCGAACAACACTTGAAAAAAATACCAATTTGTAGTTGTTGACTTCTATGATCTTATATACCCCAAACAGCAGCAACTTGCTTGCATCTCAGCATGCTTAAAGAAAATTGCAATTGAAAATGCCACAAAAATTGTATTCAACTGAAATTAAATTAAACTTATGGCAAACAGTAAATATTCTGCAAATATTTGGCTGAAAAATAATGGCATTATAAAGCCACCTTGCATGAAAGTTTTCATGGCAAGCTACTAAAAATAAATCAAAGGGAAGGTCGAGCAGCAGATACCCTGTACTAAGCTAGGCTTCATTTTATGGGCTTATTAAAAGCAAAATAATTATTAATTTAAATGGTTAATCCACCTGCTAAAATGTATTATTAAGAGCATCTCACTGACATGCAATAAAATGTATTTTTAGTGGGTATTTTTACAACTATTCAACTCAGTATGCAATGGATACAACTGAGAGCCGGGCTTAAGAGCGAAAGCAGCGCACATAAACATGAAACTTATGAAATCCATAGTTTAAGGCTATGAATATTTACGTGCCACATTGTGTGGCACCTTGTTAAGACATTTAAGCTGTGAATTCCGAGCGGAGGACATTAAGTTAAATTCCGCATCCATAAAGGAGCCCATATTATAATTAGCAGGTGGGTGAAATTAGCATATCAAGTGGCAAGTTGAGTGTCTCTATACGAAGGTAACTAAAGTCGAGGACGCTACTTAAATAAAATGGCGCCAAACGCAAATATTTTGCATTACATTAGTTGATGCGCTGTGCACATTAAAATGCACTGGGCGCTGCTGCAAAACTAAAAGCGACAGCAAAGGCAATGAAATTTGATTGCAAAAAAAAGATTCGTAGCACCATTTCCGGCTCCGGCTGTTGCTGCCTCGACGCTGACTTAATTAGTCAGGCTAGCTGCTGCATGGGGACAGCTCCAGCTAATTGAGGTTAGTTGGCAACTTTAAGGCCAACACGTCGACGTCTTTTCCGCTTGTGCAACGCCACTTGCCTGAACTGCTCTAAGCGGCCTAATGAGTTTCAAATCGCAGTTGCAGTTGCAGTTGCAGTCGCAGTTGCTGAAACACTTTTGGGGCACATTGCCAAATCACGTGCACTAATTAAATTATGCAATAAGCACATAATTCTTCTATTTTATTAGATAAATGCTTTTATTTTTTACTATTCACTTGGAGTTCTTCGTTTTCCGATAACTTTGTCTAAATGCAACAGCTTTTTAAAAACAACACGCCTCCTAGCTTGGTATTCTATACATATATTTGAGAATATAAATGTGATTTATTTTAAATTAATTATTATATTTAATTGTATTTCATGTAAAGGTTCTAACCCAAAAATCCACTTGGTTTTTCTAAAGCCATAGCTTTGTCAAAAATCAACAGATTCCTTAAATAAAACCTTTCAGATTACATTGTTATTTCCCGGCTCAGTTTCTGTCTTGAGTCGAATGGACAGCAAAGGTTTAAATTGTCAAAAAGATATTTAATAATTTCAGAATATGCAGCACTAATACAAAATCTACTGCATTTATTTTATTATTCAAATTGTGCAATTCCCACAACAATAAGTTTTAATTTCCAAGTATTAAACAAATCCCTTTCGCAGTGTCTTAGACTGCTGCCAAAGTTTGAGACATCAGTTTTATGTTGCACACAAGTAAAAACTTTGCGTCCAACCAAAGACCACAACACAAATTACAAGCAAAAACAAAGAAAACCAACAATGAACGACAGTTTCAACAAAATTTTGTACGCACGAACACTTTCTACAGCAGCCAGCATCCGCCCACATTCACTAACCAACAAAACACACACAGCTGGATATAATTTAAGAGAACACACACACACACAACACACACACACACACACACATACACACACACAACACACACACACACACATATGTTAAAAGAATTTTTCAGCTACTTCATTACGCTGAGCACACTTGACTCAAAGTAAAGTCGACCAATGCGAGGTCCTTTTAAGCCGGAAACAGGCACGCACTCGAACAACTTTTACATAAGAGAGAGAGCAATAAACATTAAAGCATAATAACAGCAACAACAACAACACAGTTACCCACACACACACACACACACAAACAAACAATTACATGGCCAACTAGCAGGCAGCATGAGTATTAAGGAACTCCTACAAGTATGCAATGGATTTTTTCGTTCACGTTCCTCATTTTAGCAAAAAACAACTTTTTAACGCACTCAATAAAAAGAGCGAGCATTGTGCAAATTGTTTTACTGCCTTTTTTTTATTGCACATTCATGTTCATGGCAATGGCTAAGTCATAGTCAAAATGATGCCATTGCCCACGTGCAACAACTAATTATAATCTGTTAGAGCAAATGGAAGATAAAAAAAAAAACAAACTCACATCTCGTCCCTTGCTGTGCAACGTGTCGTACACTTCCGGTCTGCCCTCAATGTTCTTGAGACGCATTGGCTTGCGCATCAGCAGGCTGCGACCCTCGTCGTCCAGGTGCATGAAACTGCAATGAATCAGCAATTTAAGATTAGAACAACTTGCTAATATTAATCAGTAATCAAGCACTTGAAAATGATTCGTGTAACAAAATCGGATTAGTTGTGTTCTTGAAAGCTATTTTTCATTTTAAATTAATTTAATGCAATTAAAGTTGAAACACTGAAAATATTTGATTTTTATTTTATTTAGAAAAATAGTCTAACTATTTTAAAATTAAAAATATTCTTCTTGAGAAATTGAAACAAGATAACAGATCAACATATAATGTTAGTTTTCTAATATTTAAAGAATCGTTTGCAATATGTCACAATGCCACGAATATCTAATTCTGATCATAAAACAAAAAGTATAAACTTATTTAAATTGTATAAAATTTATGATTTTAGTTCTCTCAAAATAAAATATTGAGTTAAGTTTCAGCTGGAAAAAAGTTGTCGCTTTTGTTGTCTGCATTATTGCGTTGCGGCATTTGATATATGATATTTGCTTATAAGTTTTACCTGCCGGCACGCGAACGATAATCCTGTGACATTTTTCTTGGCTGTTGGTTTTTTGGTGTGGGCGAAAGTTCGCGTGAACTTTTGCTGGATGCGGTGCCACTGCCGGAGGCGCCTGCCGTATTGACACAAACACCGCCACCACTACCACCAACACCACCACCACCACCACCACTGCCACTTCCACTCCCATTAATCCCATCGTCCAACTCCACAACGATGCTGGTGTTGGTGCCACGACGTTCGCCCCTTGCCGGTTGCGGCGATGTTGTGGTAACATTGGTGCGCTTGTGGTGCTTCAGCGGCGTGCCGCCGCCACCAACGCCACCACCACTTGCTGTGGCCGCAACTGCTGCGCCTCTGCTGTGGTCCACTTCACCGCCACCATCAAGATTTGTGCTCGAGAGCCCATTGCCGTTTAGTATTGGCGTTGGTGTTGGCGCTGTTGTTGACTGAGTTTTGGCTTTGAATTTATTTTGTTCGATGCTCGTTGCTTTCACTGTAGGCAGCGGCGATTGTTGTGGTGGCTGTTGCTGTTGCTGCTGCTGCTGCTGCTGGTGCGCATTTGGAGTACGTTTGATGGTCACAAAGCGCAGATTCTCAAATATCGATGTGAAATGCTGAGACATGATGTTTGCCCTGCGCTATTCCTGTCAAAGACTTTTTCACGTTTTTCTTTTTTTTTGCCTCTCTTTTTGATGGCTTGCCTCGTTTATTTAAAATGCAGCCAGCACAGGTGAACATGAAAACATCTCCAGCTGCTGGCCAAGCTTTGATTAGATTTTCTTCAACAGAAGAATGCAGGAAAACTTAAACTTTTTTTTTGGGTTTCTGGCAGCCTGCCGCAATCGGTTTTCCGTTGTTGCTTGACTTGCTGCAAATAGAAAACTTTAAATTAACAATAAATACTTAGACAACCACAGAGTTAAACGAAAATCCAGTTTTATAATAAATTAAAGATGCAATCAGAAAATAAAACGAAAAAAAAAACAACATTTAAAACCAAATGTAATTAAATTAAGAAACTTAACTTTGCCCCATACTTTTATTATATATATATATTTCTTATTTTTAATAATTTAAATATGGTAATTATAGCACTTAAAGTTTCCAATGGTTTTCTACTTCAGTTGAGCTCTAAGCATATAAATATTTCAATATAAATTCCTTAATTTGCTTGTATTAGTATAGATTTTCTATGAAATCATCTCAGTAAGTTTCAATTTATGCTTATTTTAATAAAATGTCCACAAGCATCTTTATTTTCAAATTTTCAAAAACGAATCAATTTCAATTCTCATTTCATACGCTTATTGAGTTTAAGCCCCTTTAAAATGCGTTCAATTGTGAGTAACTTCTATGACTTTATAGCGAGAGCTTGCCGCCGATCTCAATCCATTTAACCTGATAGTTGTATCTCGTTTAAGTCCTGGCAGTGTGCTCGGCTCATTAACTTTCAAATCAAGCAACCTACATTTACTTTTCCAGCACAACAATTCCGCAACTATAACTCAGGACTCGGTGCACATCGTTTGCCATCTGCCGTTTGCCATTGGAGACTTGCTGGCTGCCAACTTTGAGAGTTTCCTTTGCCTTTGGGCTGGATAAGTGTTGGATGTTGGATGTTGGCTCTACCGGCACTTAGTACCAATTAAAAGTATCTTTATGGCAATTTCCTGGCTGCTGAGCAGCTCAAGCCACAAACTAAATTTTCACCTCACTTTTCTTCTATTACTTGCGTCTTAATTATTTGCGGGTGCACATAACTTGTTTAATCAAATGTGACTGCGACTGAGACTCTGTGAAAATTCAATTAGTACACCTTTAAATTGTTCGAAGATGGATTCATTAGAACAATGTTTGTGACGCCTCGGCTCTTTCACGGGCAACAGCTGGGCAACCCTTTTACTTTCCCTAAGCTACATTTGAAAGTCCTAAAAGTTAACCTTCGCATTAACATCACATTTGAGCACTTTTCACGCCCACTTGACACCAGCTGTTGAACTTTGCGAGACAAGCACAAAATATTCCTCGAAATCCTTTCATTTTGTTAACTCAGTCGCGCCTAGTTCCGTTCCCTGGCCGCAGCTGTTGTCTCAAATACATCATCAACAGTTGGCCAGGTGCGTTCTGGGTAAGAGGCCACATAAATGTATTTGATTTGAAGGTCGACAAAAGCATTAATATTATATTAATTCATTCACTCATTTATTTATATGCCTCGAAGTAATCATGTTCAAAAATGCTGTCAACAATTTGCCCACTCTTTAAATAGTTGTGAAGTTGATAATTGTGTTTAAATGTGTACAAAAGCTAAATAAGAAAAGAACTTTCAATCATAATACCAATTATCTTTTCATGTGTCATATATAATACCCTTTACAAAAATTTCAAATAATAATTGTTTTTGTTTTTCATCAACATTTTTCTTAAGGAAAATTAAAAAAATATCATTTGCTATTTTTCTGACATTTTAACAGCTTTCAATTAAAAGTTTTGAGTTTCTCAAAAGTTTATCATGAGTATTAAAATAAAATATAGCTATTTTCAATTATGGGAAGTTTAGCTTAAATACATTCGAACTTTTATAATGAGTTTTATAATAAACTCTCGATGATCTCCTAATTGAAGCACATGGATTAAAGCCAATAATTTATTTTTATTACTACCAAAAAGCTAACTTTTGTTGTTCAATCAATATTTCAATACAACTTTTAATTTCAAATTTTATGTGATGGCACAGTTGAAATAGTTTGTGATAATGATTCTGTGGAACACAACAAACACATAACACACAACACACACTCAACATTAGCACAAGCTAACTGCAGAACGGCTGATTGTATTTTTGGGTCTATAGGACATAAAACACATCACATTAATTCACACACACACACACACATTAACACACACACACACTCAAACACATTAAAACACACACACAGAAAATGATGGAGCTGCATATTGTTGACCGCTGGCAAAATCGGTTGACTGAATCACCATCCATTGACCAATTTAACATTGGCCTTTGATTTGCAGCTGGCACTGTCATATTTATACGTATGTTTTGTTTTGTTCTGTTTTTTTTTTTTATTTTTATGACTGGTTCCGAGTCCGTAAAACATTTTCATGCAGGCACTCAACCAAGTGGGGTGTGGGTAGTCGAGTTCTCAGGTTCAATGGGCACTCAACTCACATTTAAATTCAAATCACAAGCACAAATATACGCTTTGATTTGCTAACAAAACACACACCACTAAATAACCTACTTGAACGCATTTGTTATTGTTGGCCTCTGGAATTGGCTAAGCAAACGAAAATAATGAACCACATTTTGGTTGATTTTGGTTAATTTGATTTTGTTAGACAGCACGCATTGTTGATCAAGCTAATCAATCAATCAATCAATTAATTGACCAGTTTGATATACTCGTCTGTTAGTCTATTTTCATTGCGGATTGCCACCATTTGTTGCTATTTTCTTAGCTGTTGGTCATCTTGGCACTTAGCCAAAGTTATTGCATATCATCCCAGGCGATCAGATGGCAAAAAGATTATGTGTGTTCTCTATGAACACTTTATAATCTTATATATAAGTTATATAGTTATATATATATATATATCTGGCTAGCTTATCTTTTACCTTTCATATTCGAAATTATTTCCTTTTCCAATTGTTTAACAAATACGCTTTCTATAAATAACCAGTTACGCCTAAAACATGTCTTTCCAGCCACTTAACACAACTGCAATGACAGATTTTCGCAATCCTCGTTTCAAATCCAATCAATTGCTTTAAAATAAACTTGAATACAATCAAAGCTGATGGGAAATAAAAGCAAAAATGTTGCAAAGCCTGAATGCTTTTCGTTTTATCTCAAATGACAACGCAAAAGCGACAAAATGAAATGGTAAAAGAATCAACAAACTACAAGAAATCGCAGCAATGGAAATCGTCGAACAATTGGAAGACAAAAGGGAAATTGTAACAGTAGCTGACAAAAAAAATAAAAAAAATAAAAGAAAAAACCACATTCACACCCACAATGTATAAATAAGAGTGCAAATCTGTTAAGAAAACCCATTTAAATGTTTGGGCCAGAGCCAAGTTAAATTAAAAAACAGACGAAAAAAAGTATAGCATATTTTTTCGGGTAGGTTGCAAATAATAAAAATGTTGAAGACTTAAGCATGCACAAATTTGTAATGCTCAACTGCCGTAAACCGTATAACCCTGTTCTAGTTCATTTCCTCTTATGCAAATACACAAATTGTAAAAGCACAAGATGCCAAGTAAGAAAAATTTGCACATATGAAGTGAAGTGCGGTAGGCGTTAGAAAAGAAATAATAAAATCGTGAGGCGCTATAATGGGTTGAACGTTACGGAGCAAAATATGTATGCAAGGAAGCTGGCCAACCTGCCTGCTCCTGTTGCTGGTCCTTCCTTACGCGCCAAGGTAAACAAGGGTGGCCGACTAACTGACTGACTAACTGAGTAATCCACTGTGCAACTGGCAGCTAAAGGATTAACATATAAAAGGTTGGCGCTCAAAAGGATCATCCTTTGAAGGCATGCCCTTTTTATTTATTATTTACTTATGCAGCAAGTGCGCATAAGAAAAAAAAATACAAAAAATATGCTATAATAAATATTCGCACTTTGTTTGGCACACATATATAAAATCCACAGACGCCATGCATTCTTGGAAGATGTCAGTCGCAGCTGCGCCGCTTTTGCGTGCCCTCGTCAATATTTATATATTGTTATTTGAAATTGATATGTTAAAGCCGACTCAAAACATTCATTATACCCTTCGCCTTACACGAGAAGCAGATAATGGGCGTATGTGGCTTGTTCAAGGAAGCTTAGTCACATAGACGGGTTTAGGAATATAATATTATGTAAAATGAAAGCCTTCAATTTACTTGTGCGATATGACTTTTAAAATATGGATATGAGTGTGTATTACTTTTTAATTTACCTTAACTATCCCAATGGGTATGTTATAAAATAATAAAACAAAATACAGAAGTTCTTAAATTGATCAAATTCAGTAGAAGGCCGGTGAAATTTGTAAGAGTTAACAATGCATATATTGAAAGGATTCCTGAAAGATTCCCATTGTATCACTTGTCAATATCCTGACAATGTTTATTCACAAAATACGTTGCATAGTTGATTTTCTTCAACATATCTGGTATCTGGCAGAAAAGCCGAACAATTCAGTTTATTTGACTTACTTCGTTTGCAAAGTAAATTTGACTTGTCTATTTAAATACCACTGCAAATGTAAACCGACTTCTTTGTGACCTTGTGAAATTTTAATTAAATTTAAGCAAGTGTCCACCACAGCTTGGTAGATAAGTGCACCAATTAAAGAAGATTGATTTGTGTCACATTTAACGCAAGAGACTTAAAAAAAAAATAGTTGTAAGTATGTTGCATTCACAAGAACTGTCGCTGCAAAACTATTTTTCATTTAAATTTCAATATACAAATGGTAGTCAAGCAATTTACATTTAAGTACTAGCAACTCGAATGATAATAATGAAAAACATGAAATTGACAAAAAGAGGCACACATTTGAAACACACACCCGCCGACACGTCCTGACACGTCCTGAAAGGAGGCAACTTGCAGCAATGATGTGGAAGTGGATGTGGAAGAAATCTGAGGCAGCTGGTGTTCTAACTTCGGTGACTTGTCTCAAAAATATAATGTACTCTAATTGTTTTTAAATTTATTTAATGGGTCGGAGGAAAGTCGAGTTATAAACAGTTCGCGACTCGCTCAAACTTAATTATTGTTTTAATTAATGTCTGAAATCTTTACTAAATGTTTTTGCCGAAACAAATTTGCAATTTTCAAAAGGCCAATTGCGGCAACATCTAAGTGCTTGTCCTCTCTTAGCGGCTCGACAATATTATAAATGATTTATATCAATTTTAATTAATGACTTCTTTAGAGGTGAGTGGAGGCGTAAATATTTTTCATGATTTGATTTAATTGTCGCAGCTCTTTTGGTAAGCCTAATTTTCTGTCTGACCAATTTCATTTAATTTTGTGATTTATTTAATTGGATACGACAACATTAATCAATTGCCTTGAGGGGATTTTGTGCACAGTTTGAGTGATTATTATGTCTCAACAATTAGGCAATAATTTTGCAATTATAATTAAGAGTTGTCCAGCTTGTGGTCCATTTACAGCAGCTTCCATTTATGCACTATTTAATTACTCAGTTTAACTTATTAATCTCTTTCAGCTTTTGTCTTTAAGCGCTTGTCTAGCACAGAAAAGCTAAACTTAGTAGCATAATTTTCTAAGCAATTTTAAATTTCATATTTCGTATTCTATAAAGTTAAAATAGGCCCAATTTCATTTTTAATCTAACAAAAATCACCCAATAATTATTTTCTCATTAACACAAACTTTTTGCTTTACATTTTAAGGTTTAAACTATTCAGCTCAAATAAACTTAAAAACAGTTGAATTGAAAAATATTAAAGGATTGCATAAAAGATATTAAAATTTTTTTTACTTACCTTTTAAGTATTACAGTTATATGATGAAATGTCTTTAACTTAAAATATGTTAGTGTAACTTTTCTTTTAAATGTAACTAAACTATAAAATAACTTTACTTTGTCACAAGATATAATTAGCTTGTATTTATATATTTACAGTTCCAACTTTTTATTCGTAATAGTTCTTATTAAATTTATTAGTTTTAAATTTTTGTTTGATTTTCTATTTGTGTGCACTGCACTAACAAAGTTAAATTTTAATCTAATATCTTTTGATTATCATGTTGGTCCATAATTAGTTAAGAGTTTTGTTCCAAGATTTTCAGCTCGATCCAACGAACTCAAGCGCCGCGCGTTAACTGAAGCTAAGGCAGCAACGCAGCATCCTTAAATAGTAGTCACTCCCCCAGGACTGCCGCACAGTGGCCGTTGTCGTGGTCTTCAAAGTCAACAACCAGCCAGCATCCGTTCACCATTGGTGTAAAGCTTCGCTACAGCCTGCACGCACACACGTACTGGGAAAATCAACAATGGTTCTGCGACTTGGCTAAAGCTTCACACTGGAAGGTTTGTTTTGACGGCAACAGGTGCGTATTTGTTGTTGTCACACCGTTAAGCTCATGCAACAAGTGGCGCTGCACCTTTAAGAAATCCCCAGCATTAATAGGCAACACAATTTTATTTTGATATATTGTAAAAGCGCGCTTTTTATTTCACTTTTTGAGTGGCACGAACGCAATTTCTTGTAATTCTTGCAGCTGAAAAACGCGTTGAAATTCTCAATTGATTTCAATTTGTTTTTGTTTTTTCAACATTCAAAATTAAAAGAACAACAATTAACCTTAAGCTTAAGTAAACAACAAAAAAGTTGTGCTTAAAATTAGCCTAACCTAAATGGATAAATATACCCTACATGCCCTCGCTAAGCAAATTATTGAATATACCTGACTATAATAGCTTGTTTAATTATTTTATTGAATAAACTTGTTATTCAATTCTGGAATCTCATTTTACATACTTAAAAAGACATTTTTTTAATGGTGTAGTACTTTTTCTTGCGACAGATTAAAATTGGAAGTGCTTACAAGTCCCAAACAGTGATGGCTGCAATGTTAACGTGAAGACTGTCGATGCTGCACACTCCGCCGGATGATTTTTCTTGTTGTTGCTGGTTGTTGTCGTTGTAGTTGTTGAAAGTTGTGCATGCCTTGAGACGCTGTTCCCCACGTGCTGGTTGCAAGATTATTGTTGCTGAGAGTAGCTTGTTGATGATGTTGTTGGTGATGGTGTTGTTGATGTTTATATACAGGTATATAATAGAGAGACAAGACATTAGTATTAACCTTTTTTCAATAATTTAAACAAATAACAAACTTTAAAGCTAATGCTTAAGATTATTAAAAAAAAAAATTAGATGATAAAAGCGGAAACAAGCCCAAACAAATTTTGCCAACGATAATTTGTTGAGGCTCCCGCGTTTTGTTGGCGGTGTTAATTTTTTGTTAATATTGTTGTTAATTGATTAATGTGTATCATACAGTATAGTTGAATTATTTGGGTATACATTCATTGTGGTTTCAAGTTCAGTTTTGTTTAGTTCACATATAGTTCACATTTGTTACACCTTGCACTTTTCATATTGCTCATTATTGCACTCAACTCAGAGGTTGATTAGTTTGAAGGATTTCTGGTTGTGTTTTTTTTTATTTGATTGAGAAGATTGATGAGAATTTTACTTTCTGCTAAAAACCTGAAAAGATGTTGGCTCAACGACGTAGTTCGAAACGAATCCACACGACGCAGAGTAAATAAGAGTTTGTCCCAAGAATCTCAATTCCGCCTTGATGTTACTTAACTTCAGAATAGCTTTTTTCTTCCATAACAAGTGACAGGAAACTAAAGCACAGGCTACATCTAGAGTCATAGCTATCATGACGTTCCACATTGTCCGCTGCTTTCTTAATGAATTCATCATTTAATTCTGAAATTCAAGAGTAGATTGCAATGTTCCGCTAGTTGATCTTCTGTCAATCCCAGAAACCATGTTGCCGAGTCCTTGATGACTTTGAGCATTTCCAGCGTCGATATTTTTGCCTGCAACCAGGTCGCCTCGATGCGTTCGTTGATATTTTCCAGATCCCAGGAACCATGAGTGACAACTTTAAGCATATCCAGCGCCGTAAGTTTTGCCTGCACCTAAATCGCTGGAAAACCGACGCGGTGCTCCATGTGCAGATCCATAGATGATAATCCCTATGAAGTATTTCGACGATATTCAGCAAAATATTTAACTTAGAGACCGAGAACGTAGAATTGTGATGAATTAATTGTTCAAGTGCAGATGAAACTTAAATTGCAACCTCCATGCGAATGTAAGCCGACGACGACTTCTTTTCGGTGCTTGATTTTTTTTTGCAGTGATGTTTGAACAGTTTGGAGTTGAATTAGGGGCAGAACCGAACTGAGATACATTTGTGAAGGGGCGGGGCCGAATATATATATTACAATTGTCCAATTAGCAAAAGAGTTAATCAATAATACAAATAGATTGTATTGTATAAATTCACCGCAAGGGCACGCGCACTTAAACATATATGTACAAAAGGGCGGGAAGGGGAGGCAAAAAGAAAATAGAGATAGAAGAGAGAGAGAGAGATAGAGACAGATAGAGGTGGACAGATGAGGTAGCCGCAAAAATTCCGTACAAGGCACGTCCGGCTCTCTGTTGAGCTGAACAATTTTTAAAACGGAAATCGAATTTGAGGGACTTTTGGTTGTGTGATATTTTTTTTGTGGCACGCGCTCGCTTGCTCGCCGGCTTGAGCCACTAAGCTCCACCACAAATGGTTGCACAGTTTGTTTAAAACAGTCAACATTTGACACTGCGGCTAAGCGACTTCAAATGGCAATGGCAGCTGCATTTTTGCAATCGATTTGTGCCCCTTCTGCGGCATACGGTAAACTAAAGGTGTCTAGCCACTCTTTGCACTTCTCAGTACTATCAAATGCCAAAACATTTGACACATAGTCGATGCTAATGTTGGGGCGATAACTGCAAAAAATACAATAAATAACATTAGTACAAAATTAATTAATAAATTCGTAATTACGCACGATTTAATGATTACGCGCAGGGCCGCCTTGCGCTCGCGCTCCAGGAACCATTCAATCATGTGGCCCGACATGAGCGGCGCCTTCTTATACAGATCAAACAGCTTGCAATAGTTGCCCAGCGACCAGGCCGAACGGAATTGTAAGGCATGCGCTATGACAGGATTCTCGCGCTGATCAGTTGTTATCGCACGCAGCACAGTTGTTATGTCTACCAAATGGACTATAATTTAGTAAATTGATTAAATTATTAATTGTAAGCGATCTTACCCAAGGTATTTTTGGTAAATATGTAGTAAATAATGCGATAAGCTGTAAACTCAAGTGAATTGCTACTGTTTCCCAATTCCAGGTAGAGCATCTTCAGCTGTGTCTGGCACTGATTGAACTCTTCGTGATCGCCCTTCTCCATGGCGATGCGTGCATGCGTCTCATATACCTCAACGGTGAACTTATCGCGTATACCTTGGACCTGCGAAACGAATAGACGCCAAAAAAAGAATGTAAATGCAAAACTGCATTATGTATATTTATAAGATATTAGAAGTGCCTGAGGAACTTACAGTCAGATCCTGACGTATAGACTTCAACTGATCACACGCATAATGATAATCGTGATTGGTGCGCCACTTGCCCTTCACATTGGCCAGAGAATGGGTGAGCACCTCAACGGGTCGCACCTCGCATGCTGATGGCGCTTTCGTTAGGCGCAAGAATGACTTTTCTAAATCCCTACATGTGCCTACAATATGCAAATCGAGTAAATCTATGCCCGCCGCACCCGCACCCGTATCATCCTCGTAAAACATCATGCCAGACGTTGAGCGGTAAGCAGCCGCCGCGGCTGCCTGCAATCTCTTCTTGTGCTTGGCCGTGGTGAGACCAAACGGTGAGCTTGCAATGGCGACGACAGATTTCTTTGCCGAGCCGCTGCTCGACTGTGAGAAACGTGCCGCACGCTGTTGCAAGCGCGCTGTGTCATCATCAACGGCACCGCCCACCGACGACGAATGTGTGGCATAAAAGTGTGGCGTCTTCTTTTTGTTGTTACCACCACCACCACCTGCTCCGGCAGCGGCAGCTGCGGCCGCGGCAGCGCGCTTATTTCTCTTCATCAGCATTTTCTGTTGTTTCTTGGACATATTCGAATGGATGGGTATAAAATCGCTGCCGAATGAATCATTCGAGCCCGTCTTGCGCAACACCTTTCGGGCTGGTGGACTAGCACTGCTGCTGCGCGATCGCGAAGGGGAACGGGACCGGGAACGAGAACGTGTCGAACGGGAACGAGAATACCGTTTCCTGTTATTGTATTTCGATGCTGTGGACGTGGAAGACGATGTGGGCGAACTGTGAAACGCATGAAGTCAATACAAATTAAATTAGTTATATATATGACAAATACTATAATTTACTATATATACAATTGCAAAAATAATAATAATAGTACCACTCTCTCAAAAAATGTTGTCAAAGGTGTCTCTTAAATTTGTAAATTTAAACAGATGAATAAGTTTTGTAGGAGTGGAACAAGACTCTTAAACAAAAGAAAAAGATCATAATTCACATTCTTCACCGTTTTCAACATATTTAAATTGAATTTAAATTTAAATTTTTGAAATAGGAAATACGCGAAAAATAATAATAGCAGTATATTACATAATAAATTATATTGAAAAGAATTCCAGGAGTAGTATGAACTTCAACTTATAGGGGGAATTTAAAACAATATATTTAAAATCAACATTTGAAAAAAAAACATTGCAGAGCTCCTGATTTTCATAAGAAAAAATGATGTGGTGCTATTCATTTTATTTTGGGAATTATTTATTTATATCTAAGAAACTTACCGTGAACGACTCCTGGAGTAACGTAAAGATTGCTGCTGATGATGCTGCTGTTGATGTCCACCATAGCCGTTGGCAAACTTATTAAAGGCGTTAACCTTCTGTTTAAATTGGTTGACATTCGGCTGCTTCTGATTTGACTTTTGTGGTGATTGCTGTCGATGCTGCTGTTGCTGCTCCTGATGTTGTTGTTGTTGCTGCTGCTGCTGTTTTTTATTAAAGTAATTACTGCGCTGTGGCTGCGGAGGCGTCACATTACTCAGCACCACATCGATGGCATCGCGTTCGCTGTGCACCGTCGGCATGGGCTCATTGTCCCAGTCGCGTGTCCAAAGCTCATTGCGATTAGCGGCGGCAATAATCTTGCCCTTCAGACAGATATCAATCTGATCTTTGTCCAAGTCCGTGGTGCACTTCGAGTAGCAACGTGCCACATACTGATTCAATGAATCGGGCCACGAATCATTCGAAGCCATTTGGAAGCAGCTATTTGGTCGCTGCTTAAAGGCTGACACTGATGCTGTTCCTGATGCAGGACTTGCTGCTGCTGCCGCTGCAGCCGTTGCTGGTGATTGTGGCGTCTCCTTTGGCAGCGACTCGAGCACAACTGCTGGAGGAGCTGCTGCTAGGGGTGGTGGAGCAACAATTGCCGCTAAAGCTGTTGTGGGTAAGGGGGGCGGTGGTTTGCTCAAATCCGGTGTGGGTGGCACTGCCGGGGGCACCACACCAAATGGATTTAAGGCCAAGCCCGTAAAGCCAACAGGCGCCTGCATTGGTTGATGTTGTTGTTGCTGTTGTTGTTGCTGTTGCTTGTTCATGTTATTGTTGTTACTGTTGTTGTTGTGGTTAATATTATTATTGTTGTTTTTGTTATTGCGCTTGCGCTTCTTTTTGTTGTTGTTGTTGTTCATATTATTATAAAGATGAAGATGCTGCATTGGATTTTGCTGCTGCTGCTGTTGTTGTGTTTGCTGCTGCTGCTGTTGTTGTTGATGCTGCAACGGATTCGGTGCATTTGCCAAACGTTTCTGATTCAAATTTAAATTGAAGCGTATGCCACCAAAGTTTTTGTTCTGCTGTTGCTGCTGCTGCATTTGCAGCTGGTGTTGATGATGCTGCTGCTGTTGACTTTTATTACCTGGCTGACCAGGTGTTGGCGGCGGTGGTGGTGGCGGTGCCGTAGGTAGCGGCGGTGCTGCCAGCGCATTGCTAAAACCAGGCGGCAAATTCGACGAACTAATCGTCGATGTTACCTGCTGTTGTTGCTGTTTCTGCTGCTGTTGTTGCTGCTGTTGCTGGTATCGCATGTAGTATTGATAATATTGTTGATATTGCTGCTGGTAAGCGGCTGCATTGCCGCCATGATGTTGCCACCAGGCGTAATTGCTCCATTGTTGCTGCACATTGGCAGCGTTAGCCGATGCTGTTGGTTGTTGTTGTTGCTGCTGCTGCTGCATCTCTTGCAACTGTGGTATTAATGAGGGCGGCGCACTCATCGCATCCGACATACTAATACCGACCGTTTTGTTTTGTTTTTTTTTTTTTGTATATGTGCGCACCTTTTTTACGCTTGTGGAACTTACCTTTACATTTAAAATGCGTGCTTGCCGCACCTTTTTGCGTTACAAAAATAAAAGAGAGAGGTGAGCAAAGAAGAAGTACGTGAAAATGCCATATATGGTACAAAGTGTGTGTGAGTGTGTGTGGGTATGTGTGTGCGTGTGTGTATGTGTGTGTGTGCTTATACGCCATTTTGATTTTTTTTTTGCTTACTCAAGAATCTATCCGTGGCCTATTTAATTGCTATTTCACAGTAGGCATATGAAACGATTTATTGGTTATTTGAAAACACTTGCATTCGCTAACACGCGCACAATTGTATGCTGGATAACACAGAATGAATTAACGTTCATTTGCTTTTGAGCAATACATATAATAAATGAGATTTTCACGTCTACACAATGTGTGCTCAAAATTTTCTTTAGTCACACAACAACGATTTGATCTGACTGTCGATATCACAGCTGCAAAGTTGAAATTAAGAGCAATCGAATAACCATCGCATTGCGCATATATACGAAAAGAAACATTGTTGTGTTATCGATAAGGCCGCAACACACCTAAAGTATCGAGTACTAAATGATATGGAATGAGTAGCATCGAGCAAACAAGAAGACATTCGAAAAAACGCGCAAATAACTGTGATGCTCCATATTGAAAATCGCGAAAAGTTGATTCATTCTGGAAAAGATTGCACCAAAGTTAATTGAAAATAGCTACAACATGTCGCAATTTCGCACCAAGCATGCAACGCGAACACATTTGCCACATTTAATGAGCAATGTACCCGATGAACATCAGGAGCCAATAAAAAAAATGTGCCTCAAGATGATGTCCCATGATGCCTACGGCAAACCGTAAGTTCATCATTGCAAAAACTGTTTTTTATTGCTGTATTAATTGTGATTGCTAACTGTGTAGCTATGAGTGGACTTCACGGGATTTCGAAATGGGCGCACCACTGGGTCGAGGCAAATTTGGTCGGGTGTATCTGGCGAGGGAGCGTCACTCTCACTTCATAGTGGCCATGAAGGTGATGTTCAAGGAGGAGGTGCGCAAGGGCAACGTGCAGCGTCAAGTGCTGCGCGAAATTGAAATACAGTCGCGTCTGAAGCATCCCAACATATTGCGCCTGTTGACCTGGTTCCATGACGATTCGCGCATCTATTTGGCCCTAGAAATCGCATCAGAAGGCGAACTGTTCAAGCATCTGCGTAATGCGCCCAATCATCGCTTTGATGAGCCTCGCGCTGCCAAGTACACCTATCAGGTGGCCAACGCCCTCAATTATTGCCATCTCAATAATGTCATACATCGTGATTTGAAGCCAGAAAATATTCTGCTAACAAGCACCGATGATTTGAAGCTAGCCGATTTTGGCTGGTCCGCGCATACGCCAAATAATAAGCGGAAAACGTTGTGCGGCACCTTGGATTATCTGCCGCCCGAAATGGTCGATGGACACTCCTACGATGATAGCGTTGATCAGTGGTGTCTGGGCATATTGTGCTATGAGTTCGTCGTGGGTAATCCACCGTTTGAGTCGAGCAACTCGGAGATAACCTATGAGAAAATCAGACGCTTAGATGTACACTATCCATCGTACTTGTCGTCGGGCGCCAAAGAAATCATTGCAGGCGTAAGTTGAAATAGTCAATGAAAAATCTCTAAAGAAAAAAAAAAAGAGTTGTAATAACCCATTTTATATATATATATATTGATATATAGTTGTTGCGTCGAAAGAGTCAGGGCCGTGTCAGCTTGGTGGATGTGATGACGAATCAGTGGATTAAGGATGGCATGGCCAAGCGTGCTGCCCAATTGCAGCAACATTTCAACGATGGCTGCAAGGAAAATCTAGCCAGAAACTGATGGCATATGAATATCGTTGCGTTTGTAAATTAAATAAAAACAAATCAAAAAAGCACTAACATTTATTAACATTTTTTCCAATTTAGCAAGTAAAACTCCAAGAAATACCCATTTTGTGATTGCCCTCAATTGGCGCGCTAATGTCGCAGCCTAAGTGATACATAATTCTAATGTTCTCACTGAGGTCGTGCTGAAAGACGGCACCCAAAAAGCCGTCGTTGCTCAGCTTGGCCTTGATCCGAGCTGTATCAATATTGCACTGAGCACCAATCGCAATGTGTTTTGGTTCATCCTTGTACAGATCCCCCTTGAGTGTAACAGCCCAGCGATCGCCAAGTCGCTGGAAAACGGAGCCGCGCAGTTGCTTGAAATTCTCGCTACGTGTGGCACACAATAAGCAAAGATACTAAACAATAAGCAAATATATTGGAAATCCAGGACTCACAGCTTAAGGCACAATTCGGTGCGACCGTTGTTATAGCCCGCGGCAATTGCATGTTGGTCAAATCCTTGCCTCTTCCAGTCGTAGACCATACGATAGCCCAGCAAAAAATCCTCAGCCGGCTGCACAACTACATAGCCCTTTAGATGTGCCACATTCATAAGCGGTACTATCAAATCAAATTTGATTGGTGTCTGCTCGTAACCGGTATGCAAATCCAGCATAACACCCGAACTGAAAAAAAGATGCCGAAGATTAAAAATCGTATGTATAAAACGACATAAATCTGAAATCCCAATGGTGTCCTTTACCTGCCATGCGCGGCATATGCCACCCTCAACATGGCATTCAGTCTTCCATCGCCGTCTTCAGTGCTTATGCCAAGTGTACCCAAGATGCCCTCCGTTTGCCAAACCTGTGTCATATTCAGCATACCGATTCTCTCGCGGATGCCCACGCCACCCGATATCGTTTTGGAATCAGGCCTAGCCGTGCCATAGTTGTAAAGGGTACACACATCGCTCGCTTTACTGGTGCAATCGATATGCCAAGCTCCAATATTATAGCCAATGGTTAAGCACGCCGTGGCCAATCCACCGATGTGAAAAAATGTTGGCATTCGCCCAGCGAATGGATCCGGTCTTATTATCTCTTCTTGAATATCGGACCCATTTTGATCATTGGCATCTTGAGAGTTTGGAGGCGCATCGCGGGGAGTATCCTTTCCACGATCCTCATCGCCATGTGCTTCAGTTTTCCTGCTCTTAAATATTGTCCTACGAAATACAGACATTGCACCAAATTTTAAAACAGTCTTTTTCCAATAAACCAAAATTTAAAAATTGGACATTTTCCCAAATGGTATTTCATCTAAAAATTGGTTTGACAACTTTTTCAATGCTTGCTTAAATGCAAAACTGATCGATCGTTCTGTTAAAAGATACAACTTATCTTTTGTAACTCATTGTAAAAAAATACAAAAAAATAATCAAAAAAGACGCAAATGGAGAACTCCAATGAAAATGCTTTATTTTAATTCTAAATTTCAGTGTATATTTCTAACAATTGCAAAATGGAGAAAGTAATTTGTTGGCGATAACTGGAACAACTGTTATTAATATTATTATTTTTTGTTAACACTGCAGGGATATGCCAACGCCAAACTTATGATTTCCGTCCGCGATTTTCTGGCCATCGAGCACGGCTGAGACGGACATGGTGACACCTTCGCGCAGCTTCTGTTCGTAGCCCAGACCCAGTTCGATCTTATTGTTGATTTTGGCACGGATCAGAGCATCACCCTCCAAATGATAGATCATACCCAAGCCCACATTCAGACCGTCTCCTTGCGGCTGCTCCTCAACTTCAACGCCCTCTTGCTGGGGTGCTGGGCCAGCAACGGACCCAATCTCAAAGGCGCCGTCAATTTGATCGTTAAACTTATGGAACAGCGACAGTAAAAAGCTCTCGGCGTTCACTCTAGTCGGAGAGTAGTTGGAGGAGCAACAAAAACAACGCTTTTGCAATAAGCACTTACAGTTCAGCGTGCACCACTGTCGCCTCATGTATCCAGCCCAGGGCAACTTTCCATACAGCTGCACCGCCGTTAATATCATAATCGCAGGCAGCACCGCCCAGAAACTCCTTGTGGCCCACCACCAGCGACAGGCCCAGCAAAGGATTTGACTCAATACTGATTTTGCCCATTATGTTAAAATTATCCTGAGCATAGCGGGCCATAAACCCACCACTCTTGTCGCTATATATATGTGTGTATATTAACCCAAGATCTGATATAGAATTTAATCTATAACTCACCCGCTTGATGGCTGAAAGCGACCCTCCAAGGCGAGCAGCAGCCCCTCGGCTAGTTTGTCCTTGTGTGCGATCTCGCCGTAGAGCAGATTATCGGTGTTCCAGCGTTCGGTGAGCGTGATGCCATAATCCTGCATACTATATTTGCTCTGCAAGGAGCCCATCACTTTGCTGGCATCTTGACTGGCGAAACCCGTTGTATAGAATTCGAGGCCAGAGGTTGTCATGGTCTTGCAGTCAAGCTGCCACAAGCCCGGATGATAGTTCCGTCTAAATAAATCGCGGGCCAGTTTGCCCAAATCCGTATAAATTGGAGGCGGTGCCATCTTTGGCCAAACAAACAATTTGTACACTTCGTGCGGATAATATAATTTCAGAATTTTCCAAACAGTCGTTGTGTATCACCAGAATTTTTTATGTTATTTTTTTTTGAGAAATTTGTTAATATTGTAATTGAGCAATGTTCTCCAAGCTCCTTGTTGTTGAAAAATAAATTTTAATTTGATATATGAAATGTATGCTATGCTGGCATTAATTCAACTACTTTTCAAAATATTGAATCGAAAAACGCAATGAAAGCTTGCTCATTTGTTTTTCAGCTGCTTTTCAAAAAGATATGAAATATTTAAGTATCCTCTGCATATTGCTTTAAATTCAAATTGGTTTCTTACAGATTTATTATATTTATTTAAATGCTAGCTGCAGCCTTTTCCCTATTTACTTACTTCAATTCCGTGTAAAAAGAGCTTGCTCAAAAACTTGTTTTTTTTATGTTTTAATAGGTAAATTATGTATTTCACTGGTTGCCAACAATAAATATGGTTTTTTAGCTAAGTACTAAACAAGACTACGTCCAACAACCCGATGATTCCGGGTTTTGCTATGTTGGCAAATGCTTTGCTAAATATGAAGATTCTTGTCGTGTGTTCTTTTATTTCTTTTAAACTTCTCTTGTGTTTTATTGTTGTTACACTTTGAATTTATTATTTATTTGTTGTTGTTGCTGGTGTTTTGTTGTTGTTGTTGTTGTAGTACTGTATTGCTGGCAGCGCATTCAGCTTGAAATCATGAACTAACTTAGGCTTCCAATTCGAGGCCAACGCCAACCTTGTGGCTGCCGCCATTGAAGTTCTTGCCATCGACAAGTGTGGATAGCGTCAAGGTGATGCCATCGCGCAGCCTGTGCTGATAGCCCAAGCCCACCTGGCTGGCATTGTTCACCTTGGCGCGGACGCTGGCATCATCGTCCAATTGATATTTGGCGCCGATGGCGAACTTGGTGTTGCTGGTGCCGCTGGCCCACGACAGCTGAACGCCCACATCCAGTTTGTCCGATGTCCGTTGGAAGATCGAGCCGCTGAACTCCTGGCCATCATTGCTGCAAACCCAAATAAAAATAAATATATGGATAGAGTTTGTAATACTGTGTATTACTTACACGGCTGTGTGCAGGACAAAGTCCTTGGCGGAGTAGCCGAGGGCAAAGTTGTTGGTGGTCAACTTGGACTGTTTTGTATCGAATGCGGTCTGATAGCCGGCCAACCAGCCCTGGTAGCCAAGCACAGCAGATGCATTGATCAATGGACCCTTCAGATCAATATTGATGTCCGAATCGGCCTTGACATTCTCATGTCCGTAGGCAACCTTGAATTTGCCACTCTTATTGCCAGACTGGGGGGCAAAGTTGCCCTCCAGCGACAGCTTAAGGCCCTCGAGCAGTTGATCCTGTACAGCGACCTCGGTGTACAGTGTATTGTCTGTGTTCCATTTCTCCGTCAAAGTGAGGCCATAATCCTTGACCTTATACTTGGTCTCCAAGGAGCCAAAGACCTTGCCGGACTCCTGATTCGAATGACCAGCTGTGTTAAATTCAATGCCCGACGATGTCTTGGTCTTCAGGTCAAGCTTCCACAGGCCAAAGTTGTAGCCTTTGCTGAAGATATCGCGAGCCTGTTTGCCCAAATCGCTATACGATGGAGGTGCCATCTGTTAATAAAACAAAAAATGATAAATATAAATTAACCAATGTTGCGCGCACATATTTATCGTTAAACAATTTCATTTAAACAGTTGGCAATTGCGTGAAACTAGCGATTAGATTAACAACTCTTTATCTAATCTGACAAACATTTCACCAATGCAATTATTCATATAGTCATAAAAACGCTTAAAATTGACCTGATTAACAAATTCAAAGTTGTTATCGAAAAAAAAAAATTGGAAATTTGCTGTGATTAAAAATAAACACTGAAAGTGAAATAACTTTACGGTACTTTGGCTAAATGTCAACTTCCTCGGTAAGCTTAATGCGGAAAATAGTGAAAATCGCTTTCAAGGCCCAAAGAAAAGTGCATCCAACTGCCAAGTGTGCCCAAATCTGGCAAAGAAACTGCACATCTATTTACTCGCTGTATGTATGTGTGTGTGAATGGCGGGTCAACGCACGTTTGCTGCGATGAGAGTGTATAGAGCAGATTGAGAGAGCGTGAATTAGTGGAGAGCGCGTTTTAGCTGCAAATAATCGTGCAATTGATGACGCACCGTGTGCCACAGTTGTTTGAAAGTTTGCTAGATGTTTCAGTCGCCATACATACGTGTGGCAAATATATATATCGTACCTCTTTGCGCCTTAGTTTCTCTCTCAAAATAGTATAAGACCAATACTTTTGGCTATAATCAGCCATTTTTATATATGTAATTCCCACAAATACGTATTTATGAAACTGAAATTGAGTTTAATAGCACTTGGCCTACTGTGCAGCATATCTCTGTTTCTGTTTACTTTTTGTTGGTGGTGATCCGTTAATTTCTGCCAGCAACACGGCGTTCATTGACCAGTTGACGCAAATACACATGCATACACAATACACATGTATACGTTGTGTTTGAACCGATAACTTCGACATTACATTGCCGTTTTAGTTTTTGACGTCATATTCCACTTGTGTGCACAGTCGTGGCGATAATAACGATACAAGTGGCTGCTAAATATGAGAGCAGACAGAGAATAGCGAACGACTATTATACTAGGCTAGATTGGACAGCGGCCAAACGGCAGCAAACTGACAAACAACAAAAGAAATTAGACGAAAAGAAGAACAAGTTTTGCAAACAAATATGAAAAAACTGAGCACGGCATAAATATGCGCTGTGATGTAATAGGCCTAAATCAGCATGGAAAAATTGTGTGCTTAAATAGGTAAATCGCATTTAATGAGTTAATCAGCTCAAAATTGCAGCTTGACCTTGATAATATGCCCAACTCCAAATTAATACATATGCAGTAAGTTTGTGTGTAAATTGCACAGGTGAGCTTCAACTGCAAATAGTGGACGCGAGTCGTTACGCAACAATATCCAGCAACATGAAATTCATATAACAAAAAATGGCAAAAGGTGTCACAATTAAGCAACTTATCGATTTTTCGTGACGTGAGCCACCCCCCACCCATAGCTTAAATTGACATTAAATCTTGTTCTTATGCTAGTTACTCATCACATGACCAGATGCTGCCCAAAAGCTAAAGTTTAACAAGCTGAATTTGATAAACCAAATGGAATGCATGTGATAAAGAATAGCAACGATAGGTGACGATTTCATCAAAACAAAAATTTTTTAGTGCAGAGCAGGCGACATGTTACGTAACAGGAAAGTGGACTGTTGCCGGCGGCGGCAGCTGTGAAATTGTGCGAAACAAAATTGTGGAACTCGTTTGTCGCTGGCCGTTTTTTTTTTTTGCCGGCTGTTTTTATTAATATCGATTTTGGTCACACATAATGCTTATCAATTAGTTTATATTTAAAATAGCATAAGCACGATGTGCAAACCCTTTGCACTTATGTGTGTACGTATGTATGTATAACATATATATATTTATATATATGTGTGTGTGTATGCGTGTGTGTATGTGTATGAGGGCTTCGTGTCTACTTGCAAATTTTTCTTTTGGAGGTTATGAAATCACTAATGACAAGAAATCAGTTTCACTTCGTATTTTCATGCACAATCTATGCGTATTCTACCGATATACACTTTGCTAATGTCTTGCGTAAGTTTTACTTACTTTAAGAAGAGAGTTTATTTAAGATTTTTGAGCAATGTGCAACGCAGGAACAAGACGACGACGACGACCGCACAACGTACACCACAAAATTGATTTGGAACTCAAAATGTCAGTGTGGCCAGCTCAACGGATCGCGAAAATGCGTTTTGCGGACTGCTCAATATACTAAAAGAAGAAGTGAATATGGGCAGAGGTCACCTTAATTACAGCAGTTCTATTTGAAAAATATTGTAATTTTTGAAAATAATTAAATAAAGTTTGTTGCTTAAGACAAGTAATGTGTTGTTAATTTAATTTATTTATGGCATTAGCATACCATGCGAAGTATGCAAATATATATAGAAAGCATTGATTCGAATTATAAAATAGTTTTGGCGCCAAACTGTATTTGAATACAAATTCACTAAACGTTCAATTAAATGCTTTATTAATTGTAGACTTTTTGATTCAATAAAAGTAGTAAAATTACAAAGATAATCGTATGTACACAGTCATTTATGTGTAAACAAATTTACAGTCTTATAGAGCATGTGCTTCTCGCCATCAAGCAAAATAAAACATTGTTGTACTTTCATCTATTTTTAGATCTATAAAAAAACAAATATGTGTGAGAGTCGCCGTTCTCTGAAACCGAATTGCATTCAATAAAAGTCTCGCATTTGGGAGCTGCAGCAGCGGCGTCATCATGTTGTTGAAGGCTCGCCTGGAGCACGACACAGTCTACGGCCGTTGCCTGGCCACATCGGAGGCAGTGGAGCGTGGCGAACTTGTCGTCGAGGAGTTGCCCTTCGCCTATGGCCCCAAGCGTGAAAGTGGCATTGTTTGCCTCGGCTGCTATCGCTATTTGCAGTTTGGTGAGGATGGTGATTCGCTGGATCGCTGCGAGCTGTGCGACTGGCCGCTCTGTGGCAATTGTGCAGATGATGCTAGCAGTGATCATCGGGGCGAGTGTCAGGTTTTCGGAACGGCACGTGTCACATTTGCCGGCAATGTTGGCGAGGATGGCGTCTGTCCCCAATTGGATTGCATAACACCATTGAGGTTAGTTTGTGGATGCCCAAGGGGCGGGAGGCCACCGAGGGGCTGCAGTCACTCAAAAACCACAACAAAAAAAAAAAACAACCAAAAAAAAATGGAAATTCAAAAATCAAAAAAATTGTTGTCAGTTAGCCAACAATTTAGGTAGGCAGTGCCAAGAATTATGCGCCCGCTGCAGAGGATGATGTTGATTATGAGCTGTGAGAAGCGGCGTCGGCGTCTTTAGTCGGTTTGGCGTCATGCGAGGAACGCCAGCAGTGCAAATAAATCGCACGGCAGTCGAATGGAGTCGTCTCTATGGTCGTTATCTGGTGGCCAGCGGGTCAGCGACTCATGGCGAACTGCTCGTCGAGGAGCTGCCGCTGGCAATTGGGCCCAAGTGCAATGGACCCGTTGTCTGTCTCGTCTGCTATCGGCCAGATGTGCCGGAGCGTTGCATCCACTGTGGCTGGCCCTTGTGCAGCGCCTGCAATGAGACTGAGGCAAATCTCCATGCGCAGCTCGAGTGTCCACTGCTGCTGGCGTCCCGTGCCCGTTTCTATGAGATGCCCACGGGCAGCCGCTACTGGCCCCAGCTGGACAGCATCATGCCGTTGAGGTGCTCTGACGCAGAATCAAAAATAGAAATAATTGTACCAGTTTTTTGACATATAAACAAATGGATTTGAGCACATTTTAAACTACATATTTAATTAAAATCAAATTTAAATTTCATTTAAAATTGAATCACTTTATTGAGTATAAATTTGTGAATATAATTTCGTTAAAGAGTTTAACAATAATCGTACAATTAACTTATAATTAAATTTGTATTTAATCAAAGTCGTTTGAATGTGCAGATTTTAATGGCGATGATTAAAAATACATTTAAGTTTAAATTAATTGTACGATAACTGATAATCTCTGATTAAACATACATTTTATTTAATATGCACTTTAAAATCAACTTTACAATAAGTCAATCGATAAACCCTTTAACGGAATTAAATAATATTTATAATGAATAGAAAAATAGTCAAATTAACATAATTTATATATTTCAAGTACACTTTAATCTACTTCCTCCTTCGTAGAGTATCACATTTAAATGACGTTAATTAAACATAAATTTATTACATTTAATAACGCTGATTAAATAGAAATTTAATTTAATTTAATTGTACGATGATTGATAAACTATTTAACAAAATTATAGAAAAATTAACATAATTTATATATATCTAATACAACTTGGTCTCTCTGCTTTCTGCGTTATAGAGTGCTGCTGGCAAAGGAGGCGCAACCGGAACGTTGGCTCAACGAGGTGGCGCCCATGGAGCATCATGAGGAGGCACGTCGCGAGAATGCCGATATTTGGCATGCGGATCGTGTGAATATAGCACAATATTTACGCGGTCCGTGCAAACTGGCCGAGCGCTTCAGCGAGGAGCTCATCATGCAAGTGGTCGGCGTGCTGGAAGTGAACGCTTTTGAGGCACGCACCATCAACGGCTATCCGCTGCGCTGTCTGTATCCCTACACCGGCATTCTGGCCCACAACTGTGTGCCGAACACGGCGCGAAGCATTCATCCCAGCGAGGGCTACAAGTGAGCGACATGGAAATATCTGATCAAGAAACTTATTCAAATTATTTGATTATATACATTTAGAGTCCGCTTGCGTGCCATGGTTGATCTGGAGGCGGGTCAGCAATTGCAGCACAGCTACACATACACCTTGGACGGCACCGTCCAGCGGCAAGCGCATCTGCAACAGGGCAAATACTTTCGGTGCAGCTGCAAACGCTGCCTGGATGCCAGCGAGCTGCAAACCCATTTCTCCAGCTTGAAATGTGGCCAATGCACAGAGGGCTGGCTGCTGCCCAAACAGCCCACAGGTATTCAAATATGAATTCAAATCTGTTGAGTAACCAATATTTACTTGGCCTTCTACTAATGTCAGACACATGTTCTTAAAAAGATCTACTCACCGAATTAATCGCATTTCTCTGCTAAGATTTGTTTTACAACTCGGAATTTGTTTTTTAATGGGCTTTGTGCCAATTATAAAATTTGAATCGGAATTTTTAGAGGACACCTATTTCTGGACATTCAAATAGGTGTGAAGACAATAATTTGGTGCCAAGCACTAAGCATGACTGCTTTTTTAGTTAATTTATTATGGTACTCAGTAACGTCTCTTTTAGCATAGTTAACAAGTAAATTTATCTGATTTCTGAATGTTGTGTCATTTTATTTCCTAATGAACCAAGGCGAAGATTTTCGCCATCTTAAAATTTAACTATTCATTTTGCACTTACTACAATAAAACTAGACAATAATCAGTTACTGAAATGGCTTTCTTGAAGTTCTGAGACTGTTTCATTTTTAATGTTTTCCTTGATCTTAGAGCTTATATCTATATTTTATCTGCTAAACTATAGCGGAGTCCTTGGCCCATTTAATATTGTGCGATTTATGATAATGAATATATTCAAAACTTACCTCTTGAAAACAAAATCAATTGAGAAATTAAAGCATTCTTCATTTTATGCACCTATTTCACTTTTAACAAAAATGTGGGCCAAACAAATTAACTTAAGCCCAACACTTCTCATTATTAGGAAATAATAACGCCATAAGAAATGCACAAGTTATTGTCCAGGTGTGTCAATCCTATACAAATTAAAGCTATAATTTAGTGCAGTTAGAGTAGAGTATCAGCTAGTCGGTGCACTCACTATGCTCACCTTGCATTTTACAGCCTTGGAGAGCAGCTGGCAGTGCAATGCCTGTGACAACACAACCAGCAGCCAGGATGTGCGTGAGATTGTGGAGAACCTGCAGGCCGAGGTGAATGGGGTGCAGGCGCTGGAGATGGGTGCCAAGCGGCTGGAGGAATCGGAGCGTTTGCTGCGCAAATACAAATCGCTGTTGCATCCATCGCATTACATTGCCACCGGATTGCGGCAGCTGCTCATCGAGATGTATGGACGGGTGCAGGGCTATGAGATGGTGCAGCTCTCGGATCAGTTGCTCGAACGCAAGTCATCACTGTGCCGCAAAGTGTTGCGGGTGCTGAACGTATTTGAGCCCGGACTGAGTCGGTCGCGTGCCATGAATCTGTATGAGCTGCATGTGCCGCTGGTGCTGCTGGCCAAGAATGGCTTCATTGCAGGCACACTGAGTGGCGGCGAGTTGCGTGCTCGGCTGGTGGACGCCATCGATTTGCTCAAGGAGTGTGTGGACATATTGCAGCACGAGGATCACGACTCGCAGGAGGGCATCCTGTGTGGTGTGGCCAAACAGGCGCTAGAACAGCTCACGCTAAGCGTTGAGGGTCTTGGCAGCGAACTGGACTAAGTGGAAAATCAATAAATTTGAACTTTTTGTGAAAAAACAAATCATATGTTTATCCTTCAATTTATTGAAATCTATGCACATCTATATATACATATATCTATAGTTGAAGATTCGCATATGTATTGGTTTTTGCTGGCTTCTGGAGACCATCGAGAGATAGAAATTGAGAGTTTGTTGCCTGTTCAATAGAAACAATTTGCTTAATTCTCAATTGGAATTGGGTGTTTTACATATTAAGGCGTTCCTTGGATGAGTTTCGATAATCCTGCAATGATAACTGCAATTTTTCGTCACAATAGGAATAATTGAAGACAATTGGAATTCAAATTTCTTGACATTCATTGTTCTGTACAATATGTATCAAAATTATATTATATTTAAAAATTGTCTATATTCAAATGATAGAAATCGATTGAATTAATTTCAAAACTAAGCAAGGAATTTTCATAAATGACAATTACAAAATGTTGAAGTTTATTTTCTTCAATGTTTACAATTGATATAACTTTCTTAAAAGGTGTCTGTTGCATTGTGATATAAAATATAAAGCATTGGTATAAAAAAAATTATAAATCTTTAAATAACCTATTTGCATGAACTAATTTATTATGATACATTTAAGAACCTATGCAGCAAAATATTGTATATTCGTTTTGCAGCAGCCTAGTTTTATTTTTTATATAACATTTGATTGCAGATAGGAAACAAAATTGCACGTTTCATTCCAGCATAAATCGAATTACTATTCAATAATGTAATAAACAATAAAATTACAATAGTTAAAACAATATTTTGCTTTGTTCACAATCAAACTAAATAGGTCTTATAAATAATATGAGCTATTACCGCATACACTATTGCCTGGCATTTAATGTTTATGTTGTTTGTTTTTTTTTGTTTTTGGTATATGAATTATTTTTGCTCTTAAATGCTTGAATGATTTTTGTTTTTTTTTTCTTTGCACACATTTATATATATATATATATATTGTATATAGCTAAAGATCTGGTTCTACGTATGTAGATGAAATTACAGTTTCTTTTAAAAAATATCGAGTTTCTGTTGAGTATGTGTCGTGTCTTGCCTGGTGCACTAATTAATTATTAATGAATGTGTTAATTAAAACCTTGGAATCTTTGTATATCATACACACACATACATACGCACCACAACAAAGCGATTCAACTTCGAGTCGTGGTAAGGGTTCTAGGGATAGCTGGGTGGGCGTTTCACAGAGTTATATAACATAAACAAAAAAAGGAGCTCACACGCCTACAATACAGAATACAAACATAATACATACAAATCAAAAAGGTTGATTATCACACGCCTTTCCTAAACATCATGGCTGAGCAGCGGCGTATCGTGATACCGTGAGCCGTGATTTAGAGTCGCGCACGGCAACAGCCAGAGACCGGGATGACCGCGTCCAAAGACATCTGCAAGCAGTTGATATTTACGTCGATTGGGGCGATAGGCGCCCTTCTGCTGTATCGCCTCAACGGCCGTCTCATCGTACAATATGGCATGCAGCTGATCCACCATTATCGCCGTGACAAACAGTCCAAAGAGCGCCGACTCCAGTAGCAAGATTACCGAGTGAATCCTAAGTATAGACAAGATATCATTAATACATACACTCATTACCTAAATTAGTAGTAAATTAACAACAGTTAAAGTACAAATTGTGACTCACATTCGTAGCTGCGAGTCGATAACATTTTGACTGCATTCCGTGCAGGGCCAAACCCAAGAGCCGAGTATCAGTGCGACGGAATAGAGTGAAAGTATGCCCACATAGACGAGAAATTGTAGAAAATACTTTTGATTGCGTTCGCCGACACAGTTATTAATCCACGGACAATGATGATCCATGCGCCGGATGCAACGCTTGCAAATCCGGCAATGATGGGCACGTGGCGGCCTGTATGTCTCGCAACGGGTGCATACCGTCCACTCGCTGCCATGACCATTGCCAGGAGGATTGTGTTTGGTGCCATTGTTCGTGGTATGCAGATCGGAGAAGTCCAAACGATTTGCAGGCAGCGGCACAACGCCGGGATCAGAGAAGACCGCCTTCAGATGCGACATGCCCAGCAGGAAGACGACCGTATTGAAGAGCACAACATGAAACGGCGCCCAAATACTGCAAAACAAAAACAAAAGCACATTAATATAGTATACATATAGATCAAATAGTGTGTAACTCACCTGAGTGGCATTGTTGTCAGTATTATCCAGCGCGTGACAACATAATCCGCATAGACAACTGCGCCATAGGTGACAATGAGGCAGGCAATGCCACAGGGATCCCGTATGAATACCATATTCAAAAATATTGGCTTTCTATTTGCTCAGTGTGAGTGTATGTGTGTTTGACTCTGTGTGGCTCGTAATTGAATTACAAATCGAAGGTGTCTCTGAACCTTTTGGCCCTTTCCATTTAGCGAGCCGAGTAAATACTATCGTTGCTACACTGCAGCTCCTCTCCGGCTGCTGGCAGCAACTCGCAACACGGCGCACTTCTTAATTTCCACAAGTATTTTTGGACTTCCTCTATGTATTAAATATTATTTAGTATTTCATTTTTACGCGTTTTGAAGGATTCATTCATTTATTTGTTGCTATTTTTCGATTACAAATTTTTCACCCCAATATATTTAGGGGCCACACACGACACAATCGGTTAACAGACTGACATTAATCGTTTCCATACTGAATTTCTCATACTTTTTATTATAGACACAAATACAATATTTAAAATAATGAAGAAAAAAAACATTGTTATTATTGTTATTATGTCATAAAATACATCTAGTGTTTATTGGATTAAAACCTATTACATAGATTTACAAATTTTTATTACTTAAAATTTAAGGTCAGTACGCAAAGAAAACTCAAAATCCACACTGTTGCCAAACTGTTGACATGTGTGGATCGTATGAAGAGCTTTTCGGATTTTCCTTGCTTTCACCGATAGCTTTTAATAATTTAATAATTTAACTTTTGGTATGGAATAGAACAACATGAATACATTAGTTTAGCCTGGAGCATTATGGAGTTATTAAACACACTTTATATCCACATTTGATTATGTTCCCACTGCTTTGCTTCTATGGTAAAAAAAAAATAAAATTCGCGCCCAGCATTTTCAATGTATTGGCAACATTACACGTTGCACAAATTCAAATGACAACTCTAAAAAAATGGCGCCGCAGCCAATTTTCTTATTGAGTTAAAGCAAAAAGAAGGGATTTTTGTAAGCCGCTTAAATAGAATAAACTAATTTAATAATTATTAATAAGCAATATATTACAATATTAAAATCACTAAGTTTAATCTGCTCAGACTTAAGCAAAGTTAGCGTGAAACCAAGAAGAGTCAGCCACAAGAATATCTAATAAGAATATTGCTCTTTGCAGTTGGACAACAACAAAGGCCGTATTTGATTTTCAAAATGCCGCCAACTAAACGCAAATTTCGCGCTTTTCCCGCAGCAGGCAGCCAAATTGGCATTGATGGAATCTTACCGCCGCCGGGCAAAGGTTCGAGCCGTCGGCTTTCGGCGCCAGCAGGCAACAACATTGATGGCAATAAGGAAAATATTCAAATCCGCAGCAAATCCAAAATACCTAAATTACCCATGCCAAACGATAAAATCAAGCGTACAGCGCTGGGTAATTTGACCAACAAGGCAAAGCTGCATTCAAACGATGAGGAACAGAAGCAGAAGCAACTGCCCAAGAAGGCGACGAAGGAGCAGCGAAACGCGCTCCTCGATGCTGAGAATCTGATCGTGTTCTTTTCCAACAAACCCATGCCGATGCCATATGCAATGGCCGGATTAAAGTGGAGCCTTGTGGACCCAGCTGTGGATATGGAGGATTTTGGTTGCCGAACCTTTAACGATTGGTTCCAGGTATCATTTAGCGCCAGGGATATGTTCAACTATCTGAAACGAACTGAGCCAAGGCAATCAGTCCATGATTATATGCCACAGCAAATCCATTTGACAAGAATGATGAGATCTGGTCTCATTAACTGGATGATCCTGGTGCAGTTGAAGCTGCAACTGAAGCCGGAGACACCTTATCTGGCCGTTAGACTCGTTGATCTCTATTTGTCCCAAAAGCTGATTGGAAAGGAGAAATTTCAGCTGCTTGTTTTTGCTGCTTTTCTGATTGCATGGAAATATCAAAATTATCAGTTGAATTTGATTAAGGAATTTGTAAAGATTGGCGCTGGTTGGCACAATCGGGATGAACTCATCCAAATGGAGCTGGGCATATTGTGCACCATCAGAAATGGTCTTGGGATGCCGCTATCCTACACCTACTTGCAGCTGTGTGCGGGGGTTGTCCACGAGACCACATTGATCCTGGCCCAATATATATTGGAGTTGTCGCTGACGGATTATGAAATGATTGGATGCAGTGGTTCACAGCTGGCATCGGCTGCTCTCTTTATGGCCCTGCGCATGCATGGAGGCAATAAGAATCTTAATCAGCTGACCTGGACAACAAAATTAGTTGACTACACGGGTTATAAGTTGGCAGACTTTGCCGGGATTGTCCCATTGCTAAATGCGATACTCCATAAACAGCCGCAGTCCAAAGTGATGGCGACTCACATGAAGTTCTCGGCAATGACCAGCTATGATGTGACCAAGGTGCCGCTGCTCAGCAATCAGGAGATGTTCCTGCACAATCTCGATCTAAACGATATCAAATTAAATAAATTGAGCAAGACGCCGCTCCTGGAGGCTGATGAGAACTTTGGCAAACGGAACGTTTTCACCCCGGAAGCATCCGCTACGTGGCAACCAGTGCAGCTGCCCATGATCAAGTTGCCTCCATCAGCAGCAACTGCCTTTAAACCGATGCGGCTCATCTTCAATGATTCTAACAGCACTCAGAAAAGCTCCACCTGCAATTCAATGTGTCTGCAATTAGATTTCAGCATACCGCCTTCCTATAGTTTCTTGAGTCAGTGTGCCAGCTGTGCGCAGGTCAAGATGTCCACACTGAACCTGGCCCGATATATTCTGGAGTTGTCGCTGGTGGATTGTGCAACGATTGAATGTAGTGACTCACAGCTGGCATCGGCTGCTCTCTTTGTGGCGCTGCGCATGCATGGAGGCATTGCTAATCTTACTAAGCAGGCCTGGACCACAACATTGGTCAATCATACGGGTCATCAGCTGGCAGAGTTTGCAGAGATTGTCCCGGTGTTAAATGCGACACTTCATGGGAAATCCAGTGCCAAAACCATGGCGACACGCATGAAGTTCTCGCAAAAGAGCTTCTATGAGGTGGCCAAGGTGCCGTTGCTCAGCAATCAGGAGATTTTCCCCTACAATATCGATCTAAATAATAGTATTTGAGAACAGAGAATAGATTTCCATTAAAATTCTTTGTTTCCAGTCGCATTTTTAGTCATTTATGCAGCAAAGCTGATTCTCATCGTTTCCTTATTTATGCAACAGAGCTGACAATTAGAATTAAGACAAATAATAAATTTTACACACATACTTTCACCATCGATTTTTTTTTAGATTTCGTGAAACTATTTTGTTTTTACTGTCCACAAACGAAATAGATGACATTTCCGTGCGTTCAAACTATTTTTCGAGCTGCGTACTGGGCTCAAGACGTACTATAGGTGGGCTGCATGACAGACTGGCATGAACGACAATCGAAAGCGGATTTCAGCTGAACACGACACATCGATGGCTGCCACACATCGATATCTTCATTAGTCATTTTTTTACACAAAAGCAAGAGGAAAAACGGTACAAGTGAGATTATTCAGCAAATTCGTTGCAATATTTCGGCTTAATTAATGCAAATTACAACACTTTTGATGTACGTAATAAACCAACAGCAGTAACCTGGCAGCTGCCCAATTAGGAGAACAGCAGATATAAAAATATAGTGTGTACGTTGTTATTGTGACGCATGAAAATCGATTGCGTAGCAGAGACAAAAACACCAAATACAATAAAGTGCAAGTGCAACAAATAAATACAGAGTAAATTGACGAAAACGACGACGTAATTCAATAAGAATTACAACAATTACAGCACACATAATTAATAGGCAGCTGAGTGAGCGTCTGTTCAAAGAAATGGGCATATTTGGGCAATCGTCGCCCTTCGACGCCGATGTGGGTAAGTCGCCTCCCCTCACCCCACCTCCCTCCCAGCCTGCTCTTAACAACACTGTCCGCTTGTAAATGATTTCTACTGCTGTTATTGTCTTTTACTAATCTTTTTGCTGTTGAGCAAACTGACAACCACCCTCCGCCCCCTGAAAACACAAACAAAGAAAAGAACTGAAAACAAAATCGAGTCACATGCGTCGCTTTTGTCGGGATGCTGCTGCTGTTCATCGTCTGTTCATTGAACTGTTCTCTCTCGCCGAAGGTGCGCTTGCAGTCGCTGACCTTGAAGTCGGCGCCACAACCTCCACGTATTCTAACCCCCCAATAACGCTTGCTTTTTATTATCCTTTCTCTTAGTAGTTTAATACAGTGGTTGCTCGATAATGGTGAACTCTAGAATTTTGAATTGGCTACAAACTAAAACTTATGTATTCTATGCAATATTTTTATGCTTTGAGATTTATGCCTACTGATCATATTTTTAAAACAATTTCACATAATTCTGTTTAAATTGCAACCGAAAGGAAACAAAATTATTACAATTTCCAATAAGTCTTAATCTAATTAATATTACAAAAAATTCATATTACAAATTTTCACAGTTCCAAGTTTAAAAGTGCAAATAAAATAGGGGTATTCCTGTAATTGTTGCTTTATTTTTTTATTTGCCATATATTGATACTGCTTTGATTATTTTTGCGTTTACTTATCATATTTGCTAGGCTCGCACTGTGAGTCAGACTGCTGCTGAATATTTGACTGATAAGCAGAACGACTGGCTAGATTGTTTTGACAAGAGTCATTGTTCTGTTTGTGCCTTTTATTTAAATAATAATTTATATGAAGGCAAAGCCACAGACTAACTAATCGCCGTATTATGCCAGGTTTTATGTTTGTAGTTAAATTGTCAAATGGTGAAATCGCCTTCGCTACGCTGATGAATTAATTATTTATTATTGTTATATATTTATTAAATTAATTTTTGTGTTCCCTCTAGAAAGTTTCGTTACTTCTTTCTTTCCACTTTCTCATAATCGCTGTACTACTTATAATTCCTAGCATGAACCGTTTCGAGTATGATCTGATATGAGAATGATCACAATAGACTTTATCATGTAATCAATTCAAAGCCCCCTATTTCTATCATTAAGAAATTAATTTTAAACGCATTTTCTCGTGAATAAACTTTTGCATTTAAATACAACCAGAAATCTTATAAATATTATATTATTTTTGTAATGGAAATTAAATATTACATTTTATTTTTAATCAAGTATTTATGTATTTTTTGTTTTAATTTCTATCATTAAGAAATGAATTTTAAACGCCTTTTGCATTTAAATACAACCAGAAATCTTATAAATATATATATATTTTTTTTTTGTAATTGAAATGAAATATTAAATTTGAATTTTTTTTCAATTTGCAGAAAAGGCAACCAGCGAGACAAATACGAATGATAACTGGTCGTTCATCCTCGATGTGTGCGACAAGGTAACAACCAATCCGCGCCTGGCCAAAGACTGTCTCAAGGCGGTGATGCGACGCATGGGCCATGCTGATCCCCATGTCGTTATGCAGGCCATCACATTGCTGGACGCATGCGCCAACAACTGTGGCAAGCCGTTCCATCTCGAGGTGGCATCGCGTGACTTTGAAACCGAGTTTCGGCGACTGCTCAGCAAAGCGCAGCCAAAAGTCTCATTGGTAAATCCCCAACCCTTCACCTTATTACTATTCCCTGTTTCATATTGGATATTTGCAGAAAATGCGTCAAGTGCTGAAGAACTGGGCCGAGAGTGATTTCAAGAATGATCCGGAACTGAATCTGATACCATCGCTGTATGCCAAATTGCGCAGTGAGGGTTACGAATTTAGCAATCTGAACGATAAGAGCAACAGCAAGTCAGCGGCAGCCAAAGCGGCAGCTGCCACATTGGCCAAGGATCCGAATGTGGTCAGCAGCCAGCAGGAAGAGGATGACATAGCCAAGGCCATTGAGCTGTCACTGAAGGAGAACAAGGGCAGTCCCAAGCAACAGCATCAAAGTGCTGGCGCTGCAGCAACTGCTGCTGCCGCAACAACAGCAACAACAACAACAACCAGCGGTGCCTATCCCTCGCTATATCCCTCATTTGGCGGCAGCTCCTCCTCGGCCACGCCGAGCAATGGCAATGGCAATGGCAGCAGCAGTGCCCCCGCCGCCTCTGCCGCTTCATCAGCTCGCACTGTTCGTGCTTTGTATGATTTCGAGGCGGCCGAGGAAAATGAGTTGACATTCTTTGCTGGCGAGATAATCCATGTGGTGGATGATAGCGATGCCAATTGGTGGAAGGGCTACAATGATCGCGGCGAGGGACTGTTTCCCTCCAATTTCGTCACTGCCGATTTGTCAGTGGATCCCGAGCGTTTGGACATCAATCAGCAGCAGAAAGCCAATGCTCAGAAGCAGGCAGCCGCCGAGGAGGAGGAGGCGGCGGCGGCGGAGGCGTTGCTGCAACAAAAGACTGAGGCGGCTGCCGCCGCACAGCAGCCCGTCGAAATTGATGAAGCCAAAATCGATCGTTTGCTGCATCTGTTGCACGAGGCCAATCCGGAGGATCCGTCGCAGGATAGCGACGAGATGTTGCGCCTCGAACAGCAGGTCCATCAAATGGGCCCGCTCATCGATGCGGAACTGGAGCGTGTAGATCGCAAGCATGCCCAGCTGACACAGCTCTCCAGTGATCTGGTCGATGCCATCAATCTGTATCACACCCTAATGCGTGATGATCGTGCAGCTGCCGCACAATTTGCTGGCGCCAGTTTTATGCCAGGTGGTTTTCCTGGCGCAGCGCTTTACGGTGCACCCGGCTATCCCAGTGGTGCTGTTGGCGGCGGTTTTCCTACCGGCCAAAGCTATCCGGGCATGCACTCGTCGCTGCCGTATGCACCACAGCAGGCGAACAATGCGGCACCGCCGACAACTGCATCCGCTGTCCAGGGCTATCCCGGACAAGTTCCCATGCCATACCAAAATGGACATGTTCCACAGCTGAACTGTAATTACAAAAAGAGTTAACAGGGTATGCCCTTGTAGAGTATATAAGAAGTGCGGCTTTTTTGTGGTTTTAGCTAAAATAGAATCGGTTTCCGCTTTGGTTGCCACAATAATAATATACTCTGCAAGGGCATACAATATATTTTATTTAAATGATTTCTTTTTAATACAATTTCGTATAAATTTGCAGCGCTGCCGCCTCATCTGACCCAATCGCCGGCTGCGTCTGTGCAGCCACCACATCCCAGCCATCCTCAGCCCATTTATAATGCCCAGCCCACACCAGTCACTACTCAACAGCAGCAGCAGCAGCAGCCACCCACAAATTATCATATGCCACTGCCTACGGATCAGCAGCAGCAACAGCAGCAGCAGCAAATGCCGCCATCGACGCTTCCACAGCAATTTGCTGCCGCACCACCAGGAGCACCACAAATCCAACAGCTGCCGCCGCCTCATGCTTATATGTCGCCACAGCATCAGCAGCAACATCCACAGCAGCAGGCCTATTTGCCACCAGGCGCAACAGTCCAAGCGCCACAGCAATTCTATGCGCCCAATGGAGCTCCACCGGCTACACAGGGCTATATGGCGCCGCAACAACCACAGCAACAACAGCAGCAGCAGCCACAACAGCAACAGCAGCCACTTAATCACAATGATCATTTTAGTCAGCTACATCAGCAAATGGCGGCCATGTCGATGGCGCATCTTGGTGCCATGCCACCAGGTGGAGCAGTTGGGCCAGCACCGGTGCCAGCATATCATATGCAAAACGATGCCGTCAAGAATAACATTCCTATCTATCAGCAGCAGCGGTAAAACCGTCAGCCAGCAATCGATTTCTTCACATGGCTCGCATCAATTTGACAACAAGTCTTTGTTTGTTTTACCAATTCAACTGTTCCAAAAGATATTTAAACATCATTTTGCAATTATTGTTTGAACTTGAATTTGAATTTTATAATTAAGGCATCTGAATTTCTCTATTAATTGCCAAAGTATCTACTAAAATGGAAATTTCTTTTGGGTTATTCTTTTTATTTACCAAATCTCGGCTTATTATTTCCAAGAAAATGTTTGCAGGAGCGCCAAAAACTAAGTTTTTAAATGAAGTGAAGGGAAAAGAAAATGTTTGTTTTAATACAATCTATAACATATACTATATAAATATTCAATAATATGTATAACTCTATATTGAACGATGAGCAAGAGGAACACAGAACAGAATTCACTATCACTATTATGTATTATGTTTATTCTATTACTATTATAATTATACGATAACAAAAAAAAAAAAAAAAGAAATAGCAAACGAAACGAATCACATTCATTATGCAACTTTACGCAAAACATTAAATGTTGATCAGCTTCAAATGCTGATTAATTATTAATACAATACTTTTATGAACAAGTTTTTCATGCATTTGTCTTTTCATAGAGCATTAAGAGGACGCATCTGGAGCGGCATCTGGCGATGGAATAAATCAAGATTTCACTTCATATATATATAAGTCAATGGAATGCACGGCAAATTCTATCGTATTGTTTATGGCTATAGCGAGTCGTTTATAAAACTATCTGCCAATTAACAAACTAAAGTTTTCGAATAGCTATAGAATCGAATAAAAAGAAGTTTGTATAATTATCGAAAAATCTTGATGAGCTGTGCTAGTAATCTGACTGTATTCTCAAGAAAGAAAAACATTTAAGAAAGCTTAAGCAGACATATCTGAATTAATTTTAAACGCTAATCTTTTGCTGCCAGTTGCTAGTATTAGCAAAGTCCAATTTGTTCTTCAACCGTCCGTTACAATTTTTACGCCAGCAACAAGAAGCAAAGCGATGTATGTTTATCGAACTATCGAACGATATTTTTCATACGCATTACATCGCACAGCGATATTCATGGTGTTATTGTTGTGAACGAGGTAACCTTGTAAATTCGATTATTCTTGCGGCGCCTGCGTAGTCAGCTGTTCGGACTGTAAACAACAATAATTGGCAAATTGGATGCTTTTGCGTCGAATAAATAATTGGGCTAATTGGACACAAGGAAGATCAACACGTAACAATGTGCACGCTGCACATTGAGGAGGAGACACATTTAGCCGTCATGGGCAGCCGCAATTTGACACGAACGCCCAGCCCAATGCCGATGCAGAGGCCACCAGATGGAGAACTGACATTGTTCGACATTAGCTGGGCCGATGTTTTGATACCGAATATGTCCGTCTACCTATCGCTCAAGGATCTTTTCAATTTGCGCAGTTGTTCGCGCACAGCGTTGCGCTTTGTGGAATCAGCGCTGGAGATGCGCACTGAGCTCCATTTGTCTGGGAATAATACGGATAATATTCAGTTGGGATTTAAAGTGTTGGCGCGCTGTTGTCGCCGCCTGGAACAGCTGCATTTGGCCAGCTGCAAATGGCTAACGGATGAGCTGCTGCTGCCACTGCTGCAGAACAACAAGCAGCGACTCAGCGCAGTCAATCTCAACGAGTGCGTCAACATAACCGCCCTTTCCCTGCAGCCAATCATTGTGCAGTGCAAGGAGCTGCGTGTCCTTAAACTATCCAAATGCCAGTGGCTGACAACGGGCGCCGTGGATGCTCTCACACTGCATCAGAATAAACTGATTGAATTTGACATATCGTATTGTGGCGCCATCGGCGAACGTTGCCTCATCATCTTCTTTCGCAAGCTGAACAAATTGACTGTTCTATCGCTGGCTAATACGCCCAGTGTTACGGATCAGGTGCTCATACAGATTGGCAACTATTGTCGCGAACTGGAACACATCAATCTGATTGGCTGTGCAGCCATCTCCGACTACGGGGTTCAGTAAGTACATCTTTTACATCCACGCGCTCGTCAAATTAGAGCTAGCAGCAATTGGCAACAGTTTTCAAAATACTTTGGAGGAGGCAATCTAATTTGGGAGCGTATTTGTGCATAGCGTGTGTGTGTCTTCTGTGTGGCTCCTCAATGACGGCACACTGCATCTGCGTCTGCATCTTTTTTCGTTTTTTTTTTTTTAGCGGTCTTGGGGAGCGGTGTATGCGTTTGCAATCGCTGCTCATTCAACGCTGCCATCGGATCACGGAGCGCTCGCTGGCGCCATTGCGTCAGCGGGTGATGATTGATCGGCCACGTCCGCGGCAGGATGTGCACAATGCGCACAACTTGAACGATTTCTATCCCAGTGATTTTCTTGTTTACTAGTCGCATCCACAATGCTCTCTCTCTCTCTCTCTTCTTTCTCTTTCTTTTCTCTTCTCTTTTCCCTTCTCTGCTGCTTTCGAGTGCAGCGCGCTGACCAACTGCTGTCCACAACTGCAATCGCTGATGGTGCAACGTTGTCCTCTGGTCACGGAACGCGTCCTGGCGCCACTGCGCGGACGTCTGCACATCGATCGACCGAGCATGGGCTACAATATGCCTGCCATGCATCATCGCCTGTATCTTCAGGTGTGAAAGCCACACACAACACAATCACTAAATAAACCAAAACAAAAATTACGATTGAAGCTATGCTCAACTCTGTCTTGGAATTATGGACGCGATCAATTTAGTTTAATAATATTGTTCTTAGCTTAAGCTATAACTTTGTTAACATTCATTTAGGCTATGCAAAAGTAACTAACTATGCATAGTAACTAACATACTCTGGCTGAAAGAACGAAGTTTGTTCATTGAACTTAATCAATCATAAGTCTAGCTCTGTATATATATTCTATAGATATATTCTTGGCAACACACTTATCCGTCCATATCAGACACAGACACTATACATTTTAAATAAAATTTCCCATTTTAAATAAAATTTCCCATTTTAATATATGTTTTTTAAATTTCTATATTTTTTTTTTTTTCAAAGTAAGCTCTTTTTTTATCCGATTATCAAGCCAACATTTATATTTAAAACATTTATATTTAAAAAAGGATGTCTCTTTTATTTTTTAATTGCATCCGTGTTATTTGTTAAAATATATATAATATAAATATAACTAGTTGTCGCACTTTAAAGTGATCAATACTTGACAGCTTAAATTATTATTTCACTTTTTATCTCTTTCTATATATAAATTTAGTGCCACCCAGCTCCTAGTTCTACACAAGTTAAAATTCAACGCAAATTCAACAATAATTTCCAGCTTTTTTTACTTAAATACGTTTAGGAAAATATATAAAAAATGCTGTTAATAAGCGTATAAAATTGAAATTGTGTGCATTAACATTTCCAACATCATTGTGCTGATATCAGAGGCGAGGAACTCGAGGTAGATTTCGTTGTGGCGTCTCCAGTTAGCCGCAACTGCTTAAGGTCATCGGTGCCGCGCCAATGTTCATGGAGTTGATTGAGGTTCGCATAGGCGGCCATGGAGATATTCAGGCTGGGCATAACATCGTTCAAGCCCGGCTCACCAATGAACGCCAGTCCGCAGAGGCCCAGGTACGTGTGGAATGGATCTGGCGAGGATCTTGGCCATTTGGCAAAGCCACCAATCAGTTCATCCTGTGTGCTCAGTATATATTCACGATTCTTTGCATAGTCGGTTAGCTTGAAGCCGTTCAGAATACGCAATGCGGCGCCAATCCAAAACGAGTAACACGTATCCACGGGCTTATTGGGCCTGCCCTGAAACCCATCCATTTGACGAAAGACAAGCCAACGCTTAATGCGCTCCAGTGTTGCCGCATCCAGCCGATGCAGCTGACCGCTCAACTCCAATGCGGCAAGGGCACAAAACGTGGTGCCACCGTGTGATTCACCCTCCAGCTCCTGACTGAAACCGTAATCATAGCGCAGGCTGCTCATTATGAATTGAAACATGGTCTCCTTGTTGACGCTGCCCCAACAGTCGAGCATGTGGCAAATTGTGGCAGCACAATACACAAAACGCATATCATTCTCACTGCCATCGATGCAGGCACTGAAGCTGCCATCCGCATGCTGCACAGCCGCCACACCATCCACAATAGTCTGACGATCCAGTCGCGACAGATCGTCGCCCAGCGTCACCAGCACTGCGATGCTCGTGTATGTCATGGCCAAATGTCCCCATTGATATTTCCGCATGCATTCCAGCACCTCAACGTCCTCGGTTTGGGGTAACATCGCTCGGCAACCCTGTAAACAATAACCCATAATTAATTGCTATTGATAAATGAGTACAGTAAAAGTGCTAATGAATGTCTTAAAAAGGCGTGTCTGATAAGCGCTTGATGTGATAACAAATACAAATGTGATAAGGGCACCTTTGGAAGCTGCTGCTGTTGTTATTATGCATGAGAATAGTTGCTCAGAGTATCTATCAGAATTATTCCGGTTTTATTTACTCTTTCCGAATGCAAATCAAAACAAATACGTAGCAAATGTGTCAATTAATAAATACTTCACACAATTAAATAATAAATAATCAAATTTATTGCTTATCCTAATTTTCTGATTTTTTTGTCGTAATCAATAGAAAATTTTGTATTTAATGAAAATAAATTTCAAGGCAGAATTTCGTTCTTTGTCAAGCTATTGTTTTATAAGCTTTCAATAGGTTGATCAAAGTTTACAATATATAAATGCAAAATAATAAAATGAGATAGATGTTTAGAAAATAGTTTATTTAAAACGAAAAAATTGCTTCTTTCTTTTTAAAAGTTAAATTTATTCGATATTTACAGAAGAAAAATATTCAATATAAATTGATATTGTTTATTTGTTTCTCTTATTGGGAATAACACATTCTTTAGTGTAATTTTTATATATTCTATTCAAATTATAGGGGCAGTAATTCAGGGAATTAAACTTGATTAAACCAACACCAACTGGCTTTAATTGTTGACGTTAACGTTATTTAAATTTGTGTAGCCTATAACAATAACGTTGGGGAATTGTGGGAGCTGAGAGCGAGCGACTACCGCAGTGGCTGCTGCTGCGCCCCACGTAGAAAGATAAGGCTTATTTGCCATAGCCTTGGTTGGTTTGAGTTTGTTTAACTATCGTATCTGACTAGCTGGCTGGCTGACTGACTGACAGAGAAGTATTTATGCTCACCATAAAACCAGCTTGTTGCTTTTCATTGTCGCGTGGGATGACAAGGCCGCCGTATGTCCAATCGATGATGTCCTTGCGCAACTGTGGCGTTATTAAATGCAGCGAGTTTAGTACATCCAAGCCGCAGACGGCAAAAAACACAATTGTGCTCCTGTGTAGTTAAAATACTTTTACTTATTAGTTATGAATGAATAAAGTATAGAAGGATATAATCCTCACCTGGTGTTGTCGTGCGAGGACAATCGCGCCGGCAACAAGTGCAGAAAGCGCACCAAGTGCTTGGCATGCTTCGAGAGTAGCACGGGCTTTGGCTCGGAGGGATCCGTCATATCTACAATGTGATAGGACATGATTTTAATTTATTTTCAATTCTTCACGTCGTCTTTTGTTTATCTTTATGTGTGTGTGTTTTGTATGTGTGTGTGTCTCTTATGACTAAGCGCCGTTGAAATTTGTATTCAGAGCTGAGATCGCTGCCACAGTGCGCTGCTTAATGGCCGGGCCCTGAGCACGTGTATGCATTTAAATAGCCAAGCATGCATTACCTTGTTGTTATATTATAAGCCGGTTTTTTGCATCGCACTCATGTAAAATATAAAAGAAAAAAACGCAACAGTGATGCTTGCTTACGTATTTTACACTTTCCGTATATCGATAGCAATGATAGTTCATTATTGTAACACATCACATCCATCTCTAATGTCGCCCATGCACTGTGAATGTCAAATTCCAAAACAGCTGTTTTCAACCGCATTGCATAGTTATTTTTTTGTATATTTGTAAATAAATTGCACGTAAAAAGGAAAAAAAGGATTCAAAATGCGCATAACACAATATTTAACTAGTAAACTGAAGAACTTTTCGAATCTGCCCAAAGAGTACATCGAGCGCAGCAAGAAGCAGGTAATGGAATTTTGTGTTTTCAACTCATCAAAGTTTTTAGAGCTCACGTAACAGCTGGAGAACCCTTATGGCTTGGGAGTTTTAATTATTTAATGCATTTTAATAATGTGTGAAATCTATTCAGGTCTATTGGAAAACACCACGCGAAATAAATTATTTACCACGCACCGTTGAGCGCAAGCGATTTCGCTATACCACAAACCGTTCATGGACAGGTCAATTTCGGCAACAGAATATGCCGGCCACAATGCGAAAAAAGGTGTTTGTGGAACCAGTTGGTAAGCCTGTTAATGTTTTATATATATTGAAAAAACTTAAACTTATATATATACAAATTGTTATTGCAGAGGACTGGAGCTTCTTCCGTGGCGATCGCATTGAGGTGCTCGTTGGCAAGGACAAGGGCAAGCAGGGCTTAATCACCCAGGTGATACCCGAACGCAATTGGGTTATTGTTGAGGGCATCAATTGGCATTATCGGCGTGTGGGCGCCGATAAAGAGTTTCCCGGCATAACCATTAAATCGGAGGCGCCACTGCATGTAACCAAAGACATACGCCTGGCGGATCCATCCGATCTGCAGGGCACCGAATTCGAGTGGCGCTTCACAGAGGAGGGCGAAAAGGTGCGCGTCTCGTTGCGTTCCGGTCGCATTATACCCATACCGGAGACAAATAATCAAACACACGATTACAAAACGCCCAATGCGTACATTGAGCGCGAAAAGGATACACCAGCTGCCGTCGTCAGCGAGATCACTTTCCAGCCAAAGTTGTCCACGTTCGAAATGGACATCATGGAGGAAATGGACATTAAGGAGGAGCGCACACCGGCCAAGAGCTATTGGTATTAGACATAATTCTATTGCTTGTTTATTAAAAAAAAACACAACAAAAAAAGTGTAATTCGATTTACTGGCAAATTTTTATTTTCAAATATTGGCTACAATTTGTCACAACTAGCAACAATTTTTAATACAATGTACTTCGGTAAATGTTTAAAGCTAAAAAAAAATTAATTACTTGGCTGCCACAAAAATTTGTTCATTTGCGTGCCGCACCAAAAACCTCCTCGCGATGATCTCGCAGTGTTCTGGCCAATCCCCGCACGGTTTCCTCCGCCTTGTCAAAGTCCGAGCGCAGGGTTTTGTGAAAGGTGTCGTGGTGCCATGTGCACGTCTTGGAAATATTCGCCTCATAGCTGCTAAAAACCCGACTCGTGTGCTCATAACTATTAAAGTTAATGTAATTGCATTATTGGTGAATCTAAAAATAGGTCGAGCAATTTACCGTGCTGCATTTGCAATGTCCGTTATTAGATAGGTGTTACAGTGATTGACCGCCAGCACCTGGCGATGGCTCATATACTTCAGCTCCACATGTGGCAGCGACAACTGCGCTGCCTCCAGCGACGTTAGCGATGCATGCAACAAACTGCGACAATCCAGTGCCGATTGCAATTTCTGTTTCGGATCGCTGCACAGGAAAATTATTCGAATTGAAATTGTATGAAATGGCAAAGATTCAAGCTACCGAAAAGTGGTCAGTTCAAGCAATAAAATTTGAAATACGAATTGAACTTATTAATTGTATTTTCTTTCATTTTGTAGTATGTATGACACACTTATAGATATACACATATTACTCACATAAGCCTGCCCAGCTGCTGCCACTGTTTCAATGCCTGCGTTGCCGAGTTGGCTGCGGCGCGTAGTAGAAGACCACAGATGCGCCACTGTTCCAGAGCGCTGCCCAATTTGTCTCGTGTATCGCGTGCCACCTCCAGCTGGGCATCAATGTTCTCCTCGAGCCTGGTCAGATAGGTACCGCCACTGATGTAGGCAATAATGCCATCCTGTTTCACATAGAGCTCGTTTAGCTCCGCATAGCTTTCGGACAGTGTTTTGAGGCGCTGCTTGCTATGCTCCAGGAGTTCACCATAATAACGTATGCTGAGTAAGTAGAGGGCCGATTCGCTTAAATTGGCAAAGAAGTCCTCGTGCGTGGAAGCCTTTTGTGGATCCCCAATCACGGCCAGGTTATGCGCCAGCTTAAGGTTGTTTTGTGTAATTAGGACAAATCGAGGCCACACAATAATTAACATATAATGGCTATTATAGTACAGTGGTCACTCGATAACTAGCATTTCTAAATTTCTCTTATTCTACGGCTAAATATTTTCCATCTTAACTTCAATTCGATTAATAAGGTATTTAAATTTAAATCAAATTCATGTTAAAATTCTGTTCCACATAATCCATTTGGGGTTGTAAAATAATAATATTAAATAATAAATAAATAAATAGTAATAATAATAATATGTAATAAATACTAATAATAAATAGTGATAATAATAATATGTAATAAATACTAATAATAAATAATATATAACTAATAATAAATAATAACTAATAATAAATAACAATTTTGTAATTTGTTTGAAAAATTCTCCATATGGAGTGACCACTGTAGCCTGAGGGGCGTTGAGCACGTGGCAACGCATTAATTGTTCGGCACTCACCTGGGCCAGGTCCTTCGTGGGCGTGTTTGCGACAATTTCGTTGCCACCACGCTCCGCGCCTAATGTCAGCGGGTAGCTAGTTAATTGATGTGCCACCCGCTCAACCCGCACCTCGTTTGCGTTCGGTGTCGCCCCCGTTGTTGTTGTTGTTGTGGATGGGCGCACCGGGTGCTCCATGCCCTCCAAGCCGAGCATCGTATCACGCTTGGCACGCAGATGCTCGATCCATGCCTCGGCGGTGGCCAGTCGCGGACCCGGACTACTTGCCTCCAATTTGCTGATCTGTTCGTCTAGCCGCACATATTGCTGCACAATCGTCTGGATCGGCAAAGGAATGAATCTGTTCAGATTAGCTTCGATGAAATGCGAGTTATTGATTTGGATAATTACCGTTACGCGACCATCAACATTTTGTTGCATCGGACGCATCGGTGTATTTGGCAAGTGGTGGCTAACACTTGACGGTCGCTCCATCGACGAACCACAGCCCATCATTCAACCATGGAATGATGACATTTTCGTCAGACCTTGCAATTGCATATATTTATACTCGAGTGCCCACTCAAATATCCACGTCCGCAACGCTCGCCTGCCACATGCCGAATGGCCCTGTCCAGGGAAAAACAAAAAATGGAAACATTTTCGCGCTACTTGTGCAAGCACAATCCAATCCATGTCTAACCAACCCACCCAACAGCCATTCATATATTATTTTGACCATCCACACTGAACCATTAATGTTTATTAGTGGGTTGCGTCGGGCGCACAGCGAATGAATTTCTGAGTTGGAGGATTCGAGGGGGACACGAGTTGATCCACTTTTGTTTGTGTGTGTCAACAACCAGAGTCCATTGAAAAGGTGCAAGAGGGGTATATTAAAGTTGGACTGCATTTGGTACATGAACATTTGAAAATATAACATTTTTAAGTTTTATATGCGCATAAAAATTTATCAAAATATATATTAATTATTGATTAAAATAGCTCAAAGAATTTATGGACTAGCTTTAGTTGCAAGTAAATCAAATTGAAAGAAAATACATTTATTTTTCGACTTCATATTTGCAGGGTATCTGCTAGTTTGGCAACTGCAAAGTTTACTTCTGCATTGTTGTTTGTTGACTTGCATGTCTGTTCGCTGTGTTGCTTTTGTCAATTGGCGCACATATTCAGCGGCTTACATAGCAAACTTAACAAACAAACAAATAATAAAGAACCACAACAACAACAACAACAACAACAAGAGAAAAAGAACAACAAAACAATAATAATAACAAATTCTAGCAGCTGCTTAAGGCTGACACCAACATTTTGTATGGCTTAGTCCTTTTACTGGATAATAGATGGGTTGTAACCAAATCCGTCAACAGGATAACCATCTAGATTTTGATAAATTAACAGATAATTATATAGTGCAGCATATAGTGTTGTATTCATACATTGTAATTGCGTGTTGGTTTTTGAAAAAAACGATGTTATTTTGATTTAAAATTTATTGAATGCACAACTTAATTTACAACAACAATTTAGGTAAGCTTCATTCAACTCCTTGCCTTTAAGATCGATTATTTGAATTAATGATTGGAGCAATAACTAAGGATGAACTGCATTATGATAAGTGCAAGGATAGCACGCAATATTAAAATTTGATATTTTTACACAAGTGCGTCACGCATTTTATTTTTTCTTTTGCAAATATATCAAACGTCAGCGATAAATGGGAAATTTATTACGTTTTTTTAGCTTTTGGATGAGTCTCATTAAAATTTCCTTTGGTTGGCATATAATTGCTTGATTGACTGGCGACGAGACCTTGGACAATTCTCTGGAGGCGCCACATGTGCCTCTGTTCGATTTGTGTGTAATATGGTACAGTGGAGTCATAATATCATTTATTGTTGTTGCACTGAGTAAGTTTAAAATATCAAAAATATATAGATTTTTAATCATTACAGAACATTTCAAAAGTTTGAAAACAAACCACGCAATATAACTTTAGATGTATTATAATATTATATATATTGTATTATATTATATTTTAATTTTCAATTTTTTAATCAATATCAATATTCAAAATAGAGTAAAGTTCTCCACAAATGTACTTGAAAATAAATATTAATATTTTTAAGACTATCTGCTTAAATGCCGAATCTGTAAATTTGTGTTTTGATGATTCGATATCGATAAATAAAATAAAATAAAATAATAAAACTTGTTATTGTTGAGTTCAGTTAACATATCTGCAAGAACCAAAAATTTATTCTGACGGGATCTTAATTATATCATAATCCGATGAACAATTTCTTAAAGCGTAACGTTAAAAGAGGAAAGTAAACATTTCAAATGAATATTAAATATGTATATCTTTTAAAAAAATAAATAATTCACTTGCTAAATTTTACTTGCATTTGCCATAAAGCTTATTGATTTACCGCTGATGTTGTCATCAATCCTGATCCACAGCAATGGTTATCAAATCTAAACTAAAATAAAGCCGTATTATTTTTAGTGTTTTAGTTTTCATGGACGATATTCTTATTATATTCTTATTATTTAAAACACTTTATAATATTCAAAAACAGCAACAAGTGCGTATAATGTAATAAATACAATGTAATTGTCTAATTTTGAGTAAAATTCAAATCATAATTATTTTCTTTTGTGTGTTTTTTATTGTCAAGTGGCTATATTTTCCAAAAACTTTTCATTAAATTTAATTTTAATATAAAAAAGCCTTTAAAAAAAATTTTAGCGATTGTTAATTGATGACTGTCTTGGGGATTTCGATGTATTCCAGTCTAAAAATAGGACAACGACTGTTGAGCGATTTTTTGCTAGTACTTTAAAATGTTCAAAATGAATGGAACATTGACCATTTGCCCGATAAATCGTCACAAGCGAACTGTATAAATAAGATATAAATCAAACTAACAAATTCAACACTCAAACAGCAACTGTTGATTTTTGACAAGTCATTTTTTCAATTTGTACAGGAGAATTTCTTAAAAAAATCACAATTAGAAAACAAGAATTACATTCACTAATTTAGCATAGATTCAAATTAACATTTCAACACACTTTTGAATTCGTTTTCCTTATTGTACATGCGATATTAACATATCCCATATCAATCCCATATTAACAGAGTTCAATAAAAACTCAATGACAAATTCATTTAAATTTAAGAAAATATCTTTATAAAATGGAAAATCATTGCAGTTTACTAGCTGACAACACTAAGATTTAAAATTTAACAAAAGCTGCATGAAAAATCGAAGCGATTGATTAGATTCTCTCTCAAGGATAGAGATATTCTCTCTCTATATATATATTTCCCAAGATATATATACATTTTTAAATACTTTGCCAGTTTTCCCACACTTTAAGCAATAAACGGGTAGATCAAAAGTTGCTCAAACATTTACCACAAGTTTTCCCATCACTCAACTCGAAATAGACAAGAAAGAAAAGTTTTCAACTTATGTTTTATGCCAGTGTAATGCGATTTGTATTTGAATAGTTATATGTATGTATATTTATATATAATTCAAAGGCGATTTGTCGACTGTTTTTTTTTTGTTTTGCTTAGTTCGTTTAGTCTTCAAGTGCAACGGACTGAGAATGAACAAAAGATACATCATATACATATATAATCTACAGCTGCAAAAGTACAAAATGTCATAACTGGTTAAATATACAAAATGATATGCTTAAATAAATAATAATAAAACCAACAAAAATCACGACAAATGGAAGTGGAGGGGAATAAAAAACAAATTGCATTGCTATTGCAGGATTTTGTAAATCGAGCAGCAAAAGAAAAACTATGGAATTAAATACCGCGCTCAATAGAGCCAGATGTGCTCGAGGATGCCATTGTCCAATTGTGCCGCTGGCAGAGCCTTCAGCGTGCGCAACGTTTCCATGTAGAAGGTCAGCTCGGAGGTGACCACGCCATGCTGGGGCCCACCATTATTATAGATATTGAGCTTGAGCAGCTGTTCCCGCAGCTTATCCTTGAAGTTGCTATGCACCACCCCATAGATCTCATGGATTTGCGTCTCGGGCAGCACACCAGCGATCGCCTCGTGCAGCTTAACCAAATGCCGCGAAATGTGCCGGAATGTTTGCGATGGTATCGGCGGACGGGCATCCCATGCCTCCAACTGCGCCACAATGCGCTCCGAGACGATGCCGTGAATCTTGTGCTCAATCTCCTTAATGTGACCCTGATAGTCCCGTTCGATGGCCTCATACCCGCTCATGCTCTCGAAATGTGCTCGCAGCCGGGGCAGCAAATACAGAACCAATTGCAGGGCACGCGACACCAGCGCCAGATTCGTGCTAGTTATCGTCTTCAGGCCGGCGACACGCATCGCCCCAGCGCCAATGATCAGTTGGCAGCTGCGCGAATTGAAGCAGCGCAACAAATCGATCACATTCCGCGCATGATAGGTGGCGAGGAGTGGCAAGCGTTGCGCACTCGCCCCATACTCGTACAGCATCTGGATGAGGAGCAATGCGACGCTGACCAAAGCAAATGGCTGTTTGCCCTCGACAAGCAGCACGGGATTGCCAATGCCATTAACATTTGCCAGATTGTGACTATCGATGGTGGAGATGGGCTGCTTCTCAAAGTCGCCATCGGCCATGCGTTCGATGATGCGCTGGAATGCATGCGGTATGTCCACTTGCCGCCAACGCTCCTGATCCAACAGCAGGGCCAGCTTCTGTTTGCGCTCGGCATGGAAGCGTTGAGCGTAACGCGACGCTTGCACCTTGAGTGCCAGCTCCAGCGGCACACTGACCGCCCCGCAAATATTCTGTGTGGCAACACTAAAATCGCGTACCAGTTGCGATAATTGCAACAGTTCCTCCTCGCTGGCGGCGCAACGTTCCAGGCTCTGTGGCGAGACAATGTTCGCACAACGCTCGTGGCAATAGTGACAGACGGCCTGCAGCAGTTGCTGCAACTGACCACTGAGCTGCTCATGATGTGTAGCACTGAGGAATGCCTCCGAATCGATTAGGTTGACAGCATGCTGCGGACTACTGCCACCGGCTGCTGCATCCGCTGTCTGTTGCATGATCGAGACAACGGCCCGGATGCGCTCGAGGATGCCGTGGAGCGCATGACTGGCACGCTGCAGCATCGTTAGCCATTCGTTGAGGGTCAAGTCGAGCGATTGCTCACCGGCCCCGGTCAAACAAAGCTCCCGATCTCCGCGCTCGAGCAGCTCGATGAGCAACTGTTTGATGATCGCTCGAATGGTGGCAATCGCCTCCTGCTGATAGCTCTGCACGAAACTGAAGTTCTGTTTGCGCAACAGACCCATCACAATGGCCACCAGTTTGTCCTCCTCGGCACAGACGCTGTCCGTCTCCAGTTCGGCATCGGTGAGGGGTCGATTCAGATCCGTTGCCGCATAGCGTTCAAATTCCGTGGTGAGCATCTTATCGATGAGTTTCTCCATTTCGCCCAGCTGCATGGGCAGATGCTTGAAACAGTGCACGCCCAGCAGCTCCGCAGCGAGTATCTCCTGCGTGGTGCTTATCAAATCTAAGGCTGCCACATAATCCTGTGTGCCCAGGAGCAATTGTAGCATCGGTTGCGTCTTGTGCACTGTGGCCATCAGTCGCAATTTGTCCAGCGTCGCATAGCAATGCTGGCGGCGTTGCGCATAGCGCATCACCCGAAAGCTATCGACAACGGCGCTGCCATGCAACTGGGCGAGGGAGGCGCGCAACTGATGCACTTGCTCGGCGGCTAGCTGCATTTCGGCGAGTATCGCATGCTGTGTGGTCATCGCATGAAAGAATGCCGCCGATTTCTGTGCCACTTGCTGCGCAATGCGCACCTCAACAATGTCCAAATAATGTGAGAGTTGCTCCTGCAGGTGTCGCCCCCTCTGCTGAAGTTCCACTGTGCAACTGGAGCTTTCCGACGATTGCATATAGTTGGGAAAGACTTTGGCAAAGGTCGCCGCATGATGCAGTTGCAGTTGCGATTTCAGAAAGATCTCCGGCACCGGCACGTCAGCCAAATTGTGCTGCTGCTGCTGCTGTGTTGGCGTCGTCGCTGTCAATTGCTGATCCTGCTCCAGTTGCTGCTGCTGCTGTTGGCGTCGCTCATGCCAGCGATAGCGTTTCCCAATGCTGCCCAAATACACCGTGAAATCAGCATGCGTTATATCCGGCAGTCGCGAACTCTGCGGAATTTGGCTGCGCTCGACGAATTGTTCGCCCCATTTCTTGGTGAAGAGATTGCTCTGTTTGCCACGCTGCGGATCATTGAGCACGGCCGGCAGATTCTGGGCCGACGAGTAGACGCCCCATTCTGGCGGTGATTCACGCGTCAGCTGATTCACATGATATTTGGACACATGCGCATCGTAATCCCGATCCGAGACACCGTCCAGCGGCAATGAGGCGCACACACCATTGAAGCCATAGCGGCACACAAAGGAGCCACCCTCCCGTGTGCAGTGGCGACTCCGCAGGTGACTAAAATGAATGACAAAAATATATATTCAATTAATTAAGACAGTCTTTTTTTGTGTCTCTACTCACTTGACAAAGTCGGCGATAGTCTTGAAGTGTTCCCGTGTGCAGTAGTAACACGATTGCCAGCTTGCTGTTGCGGATGTTGTTGCGGATGTGGCTGCGGATGTGCCATTCGCATTCGCATTCGAATTCGTGTACGATGGAAGCGATTGCTTGCGTTCCAGCTTCGCATCGTAGTCCGTTGTTTGTGTTAAATTGTGCTGCGCTGTGGCCATAACCACATTTTTTTCAATTTTATTTTTTATTTATTTATTGTTTTTATTTGTTTTTAGCCAAATTTTGTCGCCGCAAACGTTGACGTGTTATGTCAATATTTGTTTTTTAATTTCGTCTAGCTTCTTCTCGTTCTTGGCTGATTTGTTTACATTTTAACGTGTTGTCCGCTTGTTTTAATCATATTTTGCAGCGACTATAATCCATACAAGTATTTTTATTTGTTAATTTTTGCCGTAATTTAGCGAATGTAAATGGAACAATATTATGATGACGTTCGCCAGTGTTGTGTAATGGTTGTTTGCATACGGTGGCACTGCACGTTCAGACTACCGCCTGCACGATGCAGCTTTGTGGTATTACAAATTATTCATCTCTTTAAAACATTTTCAATGTAATGGCTCTAAGCATTAAATTATTAGTAATTTTACAAATGCAATGGCAAATCTATCATTTAATTTTTTCTTTTATTTTTTACATTGATAGCAGATTTGAAAGATATTGTCACAAATTATACGAAATTGCTTATTACATATATTAAAATAAAGAAATTAGCAAACTTGTCAATTGCGTTTTAATATATTATATCTATATCATCTTTGATAGATATTGGTATGAGCTATACAACTTATTTACCCCCACCTCAATTAAAGTCAACCTTATCAAACAATTTGAATTAATTGTCAAACTGTAAAATATGCAAACGTGCACTGCACAACGATAGTATCGTAACGTGCCGAGTATGCCAAATAAATAGCAGCGTTTAACAACACTGCAAGCGACACTGACAAAAGAAGCAAAACATCAGCGGCATAATTCAACAAACAAAATTATTGTGCGCGCAATTTCGAATTGGGCCATGACCACAGCCCCAACGTGATAAAGAAAACGCAGCGGAAATTAAACAATGCGTTCGTGGCGCAATCGTTGGCTATGGACAGTGCTGGTGTCGATTATCTGGCTGTGCACCATCGCCGTGCTGTATTTGTATTTAACGCGCCGGGAATCGCCAAGGATTCGGAATGCGGTGCATGAGTTGCTCTGGTGGACGGATGATCTTCACTGGAATTACGATGAGATGCGCCACTGTGGCTTCGATACTTGCCGCGTCACCAACAATCACAAACGTCTGCACGAGGCGCGCGTTCGTAGCAAGAAATTTGGCTTGCAACTTCCAAATTTTAAGCATTTTTCCTTTCGCTTTACAGGCAATTCTTTTCTATGGCTCCAATATGAAGGTGGATGAGTTTCCAATGCCACGCAGTGGGCGACATTTGTGGGGTCTGTTGCATGAAGAGTCGCCGCGCAATGTGCCGTTTGTGCCGTACACTGAGTTTTTGCGCCACTTCAATTATACGTCCACATTTAGTCGCTACAGCGACTTGCCACTGACCACCCAATATCTGCCGCATCCCAGCGATTTGACGCAACTCGACTATCAGTCGACGTTCCTGAACAAGCAGCGTCATCAGTTCAATGAGCAGCTCGCATCAGTTGTCTTCCTGCAGACCGATTGCAACACAATGTCCGGCCGTGAGGATTATGTGCGCGAACTGATGAAACACATCCAAGTCGACTCCTATGGCAGTTGTCTGCACAATCGCGATCTGCCAGAGCAGTGAGTGAAGTATATGTACAGTTATATATCTATAATCCGACTTAATTTTTCCATTTTCAGGCTGCAAAATGATTATCTCAACAATCTGTATTCGGATGCATTATTGCGTTTCCTTTCACCCTACAAATTTATGATTGCCATTGAGAACGGCGTTTGTGAGGATTACATTACCGAAAAGTTCTGGCGTCCTCTCATGGCGGGCATTATACCCATCTATTTTGGTTCGCCTAGCATACGCGTATGTCAAATGAATAGCTGACGTATTAATTAAATAATAATCTAATTTTTGTTTGTCGATTAGAATTGGCAGCCGCAAAATCAATCTGCCATTTACATTGATGAGTTTCCCAATGCGTCCGCTTTGGCCGCACATCTGCAACAGGTGGGCGGCAATGAGAGTGCTTACAACGCCTACCTGGGCCACAAGTTCAATCGTCGCCAGCCCATTCAGAATCCGTTGCTGGTTAACCACTTACTGATGCGTGGCTATCAAATGAGACGCAGTGGCGAGCTGAGTAATGAGGATTCACTATTCCATAAATTCGAGTGCTTGATGTGCCGACGCGCCGCTTGGACGGACCAGCGGCGACCGGCCAATAAGCGCCACTATAACTGCCCACTGCCACCGGTGTATGCACCGCTCGAGCAGCAGAAGGAGCCCAAATATGCGGCGGACTGGCGTTCAATGATGGGCGTGGGTCGGTGTCAAGCCCAGTTACTGGATGCATTCTGGCGAGCGAATATCCCATATACCAAAGCAGAATTCGATGCCCGCTTAAGCGAGATGATGGAACAGAACAAGTGCAATTAACTATACAATTTATAACATTTTTGAGCAATATGTACTATTATTAACCTCAGACGATTAATATAATATTTAGTAATAAGTCATTTTGGCAACGAGGAACAGCCTCCGTGATATATTCCACTTTTTATATTCTTATATAAATATTTACGACAGACATAAGATTAAGCTGCTGTTGATTTTTACAATTTATGTTATGAAATAACTTTTATAAAACCAAATATTATTAATATTTGTACCTGTTGTGCATTATTTTAACCTGCACATTGCTCAATTGTAGACAAAACCAAAGCGTTTGAAGAAACAGTTAAATTAGGAACATTATTACATAATAAACTTGTATTGTTCTAAGAGATCTCAAAATTTGGCTGTTGATAATAAGTAAAAATGTAAACAACTAAATGCCTTCAAGGAAGCAATAAATAAAACAATTATATGCAACATTTATTAATAAAATTTGTTTTATTTTATTTAATTTCGACTAAAAACAGTTTACAACTAAAAAATGTTTACAAGAAATTAAAGTATAAAACTATATTTAAAGTTGAAGTTAAAGTAACAAATGAAATGATATAAAACTAAACAGAATAATTAAATTAAAATTTAAAATAAAGTAAAGTATATAATAAATTTGGGGATATTAAAATGACAAACCATGGAAACCAAGATTAGGCCAAATTAAATAAAAATTGTTCAATTTTAGTAGCTTAATAATAATTAAAGTAAAGAGAGAAAGGGTGATACGGAAAAATAAGTAGAGATTGACAAATATCTGAACCTGTGGAGTAAGATAAATTTATCACGCTCAAAAATTCCCGAAGATATGCAAATATTAAAATTTTGATTACGGGAAGCGAGAAAGAGAATATGAAAAAAAACCTTGCAAGATCTTCCCTGAATTTTAAGACCATTGCAAATGTAGAAATGGGATGCATTATAGAATAATCGCGTAAGGCCTTCAAGGGAAGGTCTGATCAAGGAATTTGTAGATATATTCTAAATAATAATTGATTCGCACTATATGAAGCCTTAGTCAGGTCGACTTAGTGAATATAAATCAGATCGTCGAGTCGGAAAAGGAATAAAAAATTTAGCGTTTAAAATTCAGAACCGGAATGGGAACCTAAATTCATTTTTAGTACAATCCCAATTTCATTAAGTACACAGATCTGCATATTTAGTTCAGGCAATATGGCCCTGTCCGTCCGGTCTGTTTTTAGTTTCTAGTTTTAATAATTAAATTTCTTCGGATTTTAATCATGAACTTGCTTGAGACAATTGTTCTTCCTTTTTTTTCTATAGAAAACAAATGCAAAGTAGAATTGTATTTAAGAGCGACTCGTAGCTGGGAGTATTTATTGGTTATCTTTCGAGTAGGCTTCACATTTGCCACTGCATCTGGAGATTAACTTCCTTCAGTTGTCCCATATCGATGATCCACATGCTGCCGTTTTTCATCATTTCGATGGCTTTGATGATTTGGTTGGCCGCCTCCTCGGGCTTCTGACGCTTGGCGCTCTCAATGGCCTCGACCAGGTGCATGGAGTGCTCCCAGGTGACATTGTCGCGAAGGTTCATCATCATCTCAGTGTTGGTTAGACCGGGGCACATCGCCATGAACATGACGCCGGTCTTCTCATAGATATGCCTGTCAGCCATCGAACGTGTGAAGCCGATGACGCCATGCTTGGCTGCCGCATAGACAGCAAAAGCTGGCGCCGGCTCCAGTCCATAGACGGAAGACATGTTCACCACCAAGCCACCATGGCCCATTTGGGTTTTGTCCATGTAGACCATCGCCTTCATAGTCATGTGCATCATGCTAGTCTGTGTGAGAAATTTGTGTAAAAATATGCAACGAATTCAATATGGAATTTATTTTTTGTTTAGCTTACCAAATTGATGGCAATCGTTGTATCCACATCCTTGTCGAGTAGCACATCCTCACAGTTGATCAGCACATCGATGTTGCCCATCAGTTGGCCCATCTTCTGCATGGCCTGCTCAATGGAGGACTTGTCCATCAGGTTGACTTGCATGAAGACCAGTTTAACGCTGGCATTTTCCGCTTGCAGTTTCTGCATCATCTCCACATTCTCCATGCGGTGCATAATGCCAATCATTTTCACCTTCTGGCGCTGCATCAGCTGGTGCAGCAATTGGAATCCAATTCCGGTAAATCCACCCGCAAACACAACATTCTTGCCCGTCCAATCGTACATTTTGTGCTGCTTATTGGCCACTGATTGGGGCTGCACAAGAATCCAGTGTCTTTTATTCATGTTGCACACAGTTGCATTCGCTGATAATTCCGATTGGAGTCATAGGTCAGGGGCCATATGGTTGATTGACGACAAACACACATCTGGATTAGACTCGGACCCGATGCAAGGTGTCTTCAGATAAGACTGCTCGTTAGATCATTGCCACCTGCCTAATTCCTTATCAATATTTATAATTGAACTTGGCTTCAAGTCTTGTACAGTGGAAATGCCAAAATTTACATATGTGTCTTGGATAATGTAATAAATTCAAATATTGCATCACATAATATATCTTGGACTAGTAGATGCATCTTTAATGTCACTGTGTAGTTTTATATAATATCCAAATGGTAAAAATCAGAACTGATTTTAACATTTATTATCTGATACTGAAGTTGGTGCAGAAAGTGTATGAATTGCTTTGTTGGGAATTCGATTAATATCGATAAATGCAAGTTGATAAATATATCTTAGATATATCTTAAAATTTTAAAGATAGAGTCAATCAACCTGAAAGGCATCGACTACAAATAAAGAGCTAAAGTTAACCTCTTCCCGAGCACAAATCGAGTCTGTTTCAGACGATAACCCACCCAATAAACACAAAATAATTAAACAGAAATTTGTTATATAATAATTAAATAATTGTATAATTTATGTACAAGCGTTGAACATTTTGTTGTGTGCTTAAAATCTACTGAAATGTTTTAGACAATCACAGATGTTTATGTTATAATGAAACTAGCCAAATTTTGAGCCACAGAAAATTATAAAATCAAATTGAGCAATTGTTGAGTATTGCCGATTATACAAATACTGGGGAAATTATAATATATATATATGTATAAGAAATATATATGAGATATTCAGTAATTTTGCGAAGTAAAAATATACTTATAATGCATTTTTTAATATTTCTACTACAATACTTGAAACATCAAATTTATTCCGCTTTCTGGGCAGATATTTTGTTTTTTTTTTTTTTGGAAGCAATTGAGTTATTAAATATGTTTATAACATAAGGTTAACCTGAAAGACAACCTATGCCAAAATTCCGATTGGAAATGACTTAAAACTGAACTAGTGTCATGATAGCGTTAGGTTCAAGGCCAATGCGCTCAGCGCAGGCAAATCAAGTGAATCAAACCTAGTAGAAGCAAAATGAGTGGCAAACCCGCTGCACGGATTCGGGTTGATGTGTCTTCTGTGGGCGGTGGCAGGGCTGTCGATGTGCTGGCAGGGTTGTCGTCGGTCATCGTTGTCTCCTCATCCGTTCGGGAATCGGGCACATAGTCACCGCAGGTGGGAAAGTTACGTGGCACCGGCACCATCTCATCATCGTCACCCACCTTGACCACCAGAGCCATTCCGATTTCGGCATGGAACTCGATATGACAGTGGAAGAGCCAGTAGCCAGGATTGTAGGCCTCGAAGCGGATGATCGTGTAGCCACCGTCGGGCACGGTGACAGTGTCCTTTACTGGAGGATTTATGAAATTGCGCTTGAGCAGCTTAAACTGATCCAATTGCTTAATCTGCAAAGGGAAATTTTGAAAATGCTTATCAGAGATTTGTTATAAAGAAATTATAGAAATATATGCATGAAACCCTTTATATATTTGTTAAGATCTCTTAATAATATTCGATATATAGATGTCCATATGCTAAGTTGGCATCTGTCAATAATTTAGCTCATGGATACAAAATCTTAATTATTTGCCAGATAATTTAAATAATCTTAGTAACTACGCAACTTCAAAAGCAACATAAATTAATTGTATTAATTTGAACATTTTGCAATAAGCTTTGTCAGATATACACTCAGAAAATAATAGCCAGGAAATTTAGCAAATCAGCCTAAAAGGAATATCCCTTCAAAAACTAGAAAAGTATCTGGTTTTTTATTATTTTCTAAGTAAACGGAATACAATCTTAAAAGTAGACAACTTTTAGAAATGTCTGTTATTGGGAAATAATTGTCTATAAATTAGAAATAATATCTCTTAAAAATACTTATTAAAATTAAGAATTAATTTTAATTAACGAATTAATTTTAATTAAAGAATTAATGTTAATTAAAGAATTAATAAAGATGATAAGAACTGTTGGAACTCGTAGCTCAGAGAAAGATTGTAGAAAACACAACTTTGAGTTTTAAAAATATACTTTTTGACTATTAAGGCGACAAAAGTAATCTTTTAAGTGTTCTGTTCTGTTTTGTAAACCGGCTTCCATTAATAACTCTCATATCTAAAAATTGACGCATCAGATTTATACCTTTGGATTAATATTAAAGTTTTTAAAGTTGCTCGTTGAATACATTTTGTTATAATAAAAACAAGTGAACTTTTGCTAGCTAGCTTAAGAAATTCTAGAAAATTCTTGACAATATATTAATATATTTATAGATTAGCTGTATGTTTTCAAGGGGATTTTGCATTCCGAATTACACTTACCATTTCAATGGTGACATTCTCGCCCAGGCGCTCGAGTCCGAGGACGCGGAACGCATTGCCGTGCAGATGGAACGGATGATTGGCATAGAAGGTGAATCCCTCGTCGACAATGATTAGCTCGACGACGGCATTGCGGGGCACCTGGAGCACATGATGGCACTTGCAGAACTCCTGGCGACAGTCGATGCCCTGCTGGGCGAGCGTCGTCTCATTGCAGAATAGTTCATCGTTGATCTGATGGCGTTGGGGCAGCAGCGCCAGCGAGGGGAACTTGAGGGAAATGTGATTCAGTTGGGGCGTGTAGAGGATGTTCTCTTTGGTGATGTTCGTGTCCATGCCATAGTAATCGCTGTGATGGAATTCGGGATTGTCCTTGCGATAGAAATCGTAGTACACAAAGAACTTGTAGTCTGCCTCGGGCTGCAGCGTGTCATCATCAATGCCGGAGACCTTATCGTATATGGGCAATGCCCGCATCTCTGCCACGGTTTTCGAATCCGCATAGCCAGGACCACGATTCATTGCGTTCAGCTCAATTCCCTCAGCTTTGTGGGCGTAACCCAGTTCGGCAGTGGGCTCGCGATCGGGTGCACCCTCGTACCGCAATATGGCCACCTGGAAGGCGGAGGTGAATCTCTCGCTGCAGTCCATAAGGCCCTTGAGGCGCAGCCAGTAGTTGTTCACCTCCTGATTGGCGTTCAGCACAAAATCGAAACGTTCCCCCGAATACGTTACAATCGAGCCCACCTGCATCGCCTCAATATCATAACCATCCGAGTTGATGGCGGTCAGTGTATGATTATCCACAGACACCACAATCGGGCAGTTCAGATACTCGGCGTTGATGAAGCGAAACCGATATCGGAATCCTCTCCGCACATTATACACCTGGTGCGGTATCAGCTCCAACGGTATCTCATTCACATTGCCTCGCCGCTGACGCGAATGGACCACAACTGAATCTGGCAAGGATCCGCTACCGTTTCTCAGTAGCCCCGTCGATCCCAGTCGCTCTTCAGGTGCCAACAATTTGATTAGATTCGGTGGCGTTGTTGTGGTTTTGGCAGCTGTTTTGAATGGTTGGACTGAGAATAGGTAGACAATATTAATGATCAGATTTGCTCGGAAAAAAGTCGTCCTGAAATTTGGTTTATTATTAAGAAATTCTATTTCTAAAACGCAAGATTTATTATCTTTCGAAAAACTAAACTTGTTCTTTTCTTAATTCCAGAGCCAAGTTTTTTAGAATGTACCAAAAAATTATTTCTAATTTTGCAGGTTGTTTTCAAAATAGTTTTTCTGTTATTTATATTGTTTTTAAACAACCAGTATATAATAATTCAGGTATATATAAGAAGTAAAATGATATTTTTTGAACTCTTTCTGAATTTAGGAAAGTATTTTTTCTAAAAATAAAGATATGTTTATCTTCATTTTAGAAATTTCTATTATTGAGAAATATATTTCTGAATAATATAATAAAATCGTTCTAATTTTAAGAGATTTTGGTTTATTTTTGTACTTAGAATTATTAGGATTTTTATTATTTTTTTTGTTGTTGTTTAGCTCGATTTTCATATAAAGGTGATTTTTTAATTTTAAAGTTTTTTTTTCCTTTATAAGACAATTTCAACTATTTATTAAAAAAACTCACCTTGATTTACATAGGCAAGTTTTGATGGTTCAACGTTCGTTTGAACGTTTGATGAATGCGGAGTCGTAAGATTTGAACTTGTTGGAACGTTTAGAGGCTTTGGTGGTTCTGTTGGTACTGGCTCTGTTTCCATTCGATGCTGTCTCTTCATGTCGGCCCAGATGCGATTGTAGTAGCGACCACGCCCATTGATGAGAATATTGTGCGGCTTATTGTCGCCGCGTGAATGATGATGATAGGCAAAGATGCTGGCGCCCGGCTCATGGATCCAATCCTGGACAACCAGCACATGTTCGCCAAGATCAAAGTCATAGAGACCGCCATGTGGTTCCGTGCTCTTTGGCCGACGTATAATCAGTGGGCCAAAGACGCCATCGCCGCGCTGCATGCCGGTGTGCGAGTGCCAGAAATGTGTGCCCGAGTTGTCCGCCGGAAAGCTGTAACGAAAGGTGGCATGCGGCGAGATGGGGCACTGTGTTATGTGCGGCACACCATCCATGTAGGGTGTCTTCTTCTGGTGGAGGCCATGCCAGTGTATCGTGGTGCTCTCGCCCAACAGATTGTTCTTCACATCGACGATAATCTGATCGCCCTCGCACACCTCAATCGCCGGGCCGGGCATCATGCGATTGACAACGGTAATGCTGCGCTGCAGTCCATCGCCCATGATGCAGTGCGGCCGAGCGCAGTCCGTCCGATTGAGCGGACAGTCAAAGCAGGCCTTGGAGAAGGTCTGATACCATTCGACGACAAATCTATAGTGACATGTCATCGGCTCGGCACCCGTTTGGCAGCTGCGCACGCAGGGATGCTGCCGATACCAGTCGGCTGTCCAGATGTCCTGCGTCATCTCAGCGTCGTCAATCTCTTCGATTCGCGCTGTGGCCAGCGGACGACAGACAAAGCAACAGCTATTCCGATAAATACGTTCCGCCGGACAGCTGGGATCGATTGGCGGGCAGCTGCGCTTATAGCTATTGATGACAATCTCGCCATCAGTGTCACGGCGAACGCATTCGAGGAGCGTGCAGTCGGCATCATTGTGCCAGGACTCGCCCACTGCATACAGCGTATTGTTGTGCTGGCAATGCGTCCTCACGCACTCCCCACAACAACTGCTGGGGGTTTTCCGCAGCTCGGTGCCCTGCAAAAATTGCATTATTCATTTTATTACATCTTACGGAATTTGATTTAGATAAGCGAGTAAGTTGAGATGTCGTCAAAAATGAATTATGTGCAATTTTTTATTTTAATAGCAACACTTTATATTCAAAATATTCTTAAATATAATCATAATTCCAATGATCATTTAATCAAAAATAGATAAATTCTAATTAATATAATTTATTTCAATTTTTCATTTTTAATTTCAACAGAATTATGATTTTTTTCTATTATTTATTGTCAAATTTTAATTTAATTTTAATGCAAGCACTCATTTTGAATGTTATCCAATTTAATGTTTAATCTTTTTAGTCTTTTAGGTTTAAATTTAGTTTGAAATCTTCTTTTTTTATTTGCGGATTGTTTTTATTACAAAGCAAGTAAATAAACAATTATTGGTATACATAAACATTATTCATACCAAATTCAATCATTTCATTTTATTTTTTCTTTCTGTGTTTTTTTCGGGGCTTCGCCTAATCCATGCAACAAATGTTGCACCAATATTTGCAATTTAAGTTCGCCCAGAAATTTAAAATTTCTCCCTCTAATAAATGATTATTGGAAGATTCATTGAATAATTATACTAACCACATCGCAGTAGAACTCGTTGCAATCAATCCGTGTGGCAACTATGTGCGCCTTTGGCTCGCTTCCCACGCCTGCGGCACACGAGTAAACCATGCAATTGTCCTGTGCATCAAACCAAACGGAGCCCTGCTCCTTCTGGATGGTATTGTTGCGCTCAAGGTACTCACAGTATGTGCTGCCTGCAATTGAAGGGAATGCATGAGATGTTGTTAAATGCCAGAATTTCATATACTCTTGCAATGGGTATTTACAAAACTTAACAGGTTTGAACGAACTAATTTCGAAACTATTTACGATTATTGTAATCAATTAAAGTAAATAAAGATATCTAAATTGCGAAGTATATCAATACTTGGCATATTCAATTAAATTGCATCATAAAGCAACATTTGAATAAACACTATAATCTTGGAATGTGTGAGGGACATATATCTATATTGATTGATTTGATATGGATTTTGTTGCAGCTTCTCAATCGTTGCAACAAATGTTGGACTAATTGAATAATTCAAATAAATGTGTTTGTAAATGTAAATCATAAAAACAATTTTTTTGTTTTAATTTTTTATGAAAATTGATGTTAAGCACAGCTTAAAAAAATTGACATTTTTAATTTTTAAATTAATGTTTCAATGAAAATATTTACAAGGGTATCCAGACTACGTTCAATTCAGTTTATTCGCTTAGTTCAATATGATAATTGTTATTAATAGGAGCTCAGCTGAGTTTACTCAGCCAACCGAAAAGCTTGCAATACTCGAGTTTTTATACCCCTTACACATTAAAATAAATATTTAGGTTGTAATAAATTTGTGAAATTGCATGATCAAATAAAAAACTGCTAAGAATATGGACATATTCGTGATCAACATCAGGGTTCTCAGATATTGGAATAGCTAGAGAGTTTAAATGAAGTGGTTCACAGATTTATGCATTTTTTTTTATTTGTCAAATTTATTTAAATATATTATCATAAGTATCTTTATTCTATTTTGTTTCTTCAGCTTCAGCAAAAATTGATTTCTGCTGCAATTTTGATTTCTGCAAAAACTTATAGAATATCTTCCAGTCGCAGTCTCTCAATGAGCGCACTTTTACTTATCGTGTATTGTTTATTTGAGGAACAGATGTTAAAAATGTTTAATTTCTGTGTACACAGCAAGAAAAAAGGGAAACAAATAAAACCAGACAACAATGTACTTTCGTTATTTGCGTTTGTTGTCTGAGTTGGTGTAATTCACCGGCATAAATGTACTGGTTTATAACTCGAATTATTTAAACATATACTAGGTATAACTCAGACTCGCAGATGAACTTTGTAACGAATCTGAGATATCACCTATACATTAATAATATATATATATATATAATAATATTAATAATTGGTAACTGAGGTGCTTGAACCGAGTCACAAATTCTGAACAATTAAGTACAAATTTATTGACACTTTGAGTAGCTTTCATTGTGACACACACAATAATATAATAAATAATATACAATTAACATATGTCCGTTATTAATGTCAGGATTATAGAGTTTATTCAAATGCTCCGATTTAATTGAATATGCCAGTTAAGTGTACTTCATATTGTCGTAGGTTATTTATTCGACCATAACGCAATTTAGATACCTTTGTTTACATTAATTAATTACAACAATATTTTGCCCTTCGTATTATTCGATATTATGGTAAATTGGTTCGTTCAAAGGTGCCGAAAATTGTAAACTGTTAAGTTCTGTAAATAATTAAGTGGGGAAGTATTTTTGTCGCACAACCTTTACAAAAATGCCGCAGCTGAACCAATAAAAGCTTTGCTATAAAAACCTGCCTAGTTAATCCAAGTAATGTTATCATAATTATTTCAGAAACAAAATTTGGGTTAATTATAAAAGATGTAATGAAAGCTTAACTCTGAAGCACAGTTATTTGATACTCTGTTTCTATTTGACTTTGTTTTTATTGGTAAAACTTGGCTTAAAGTGTATTTAATAGTCAACATTCTGGCGCTATTTTGAGTGCTTAGAAAAGTAATCTGCTAATTGGAAAATTTATTTCGCAAACCTGAAACCTTATAAAATATTTGTTCATTAAAGTCTGTATAAGTTTATGACCGCACACGATTTCTGGACTTAACGATTCCAAATAATGACAATGCAACAATGATAAGCAGGAACCAGCTGGAAATAATCAGATTCTTTAATTTAAACTTTATGTAGGGTATTATAAAGATTGTCAAATTTAATGGCATTATAAATGCTGAAGTGGGAAATCAAATATATATTAGAAGTAGACAAAGATAAGGTCGAGCAGTCCATGCAAAGTTTTTGGTAGTTGGATTCATTTTAGAATGAAATAAATGACTGTAAAACAATGTGTTCAAAATGTGATTATTTCACCTGTGTGCCTAACTTTTTTCTCTCTGTATTAAATAATAATGGTAAATTATGTTTATAAACAATGTTTATAATATATTGTAAACCTTATATGAAGATGCCAAATTTGTAGTATTTTTTGACCTTTGAAAATTCGGTTACAGCTATAAGCGATTTCTGGTTATTTCTTTTCTAACTTTCACTTAAATAGATTTTATATCATTAAAAAAAATCTTTAACTATACGGCTATCACTTACATAACAAAGTGCATAAAAAAAGAAACACATTTTATTGATTTTTTTATCAGAAGAGGTTTGGCATAAGTATAAAGAAAGCACATTCATATGTACATATATAAAATATATATACATAACTGTGTCTTTTATAGCAACTATTTCGAAGTCCGCTAGCCTATTGGCCCAATGGTCGTAAGCGTCATTATTATTGACAGCTAATTTTAACACATTCATTGGCTCGTTATGGCCATTACTATGATTGAAGTTTTAGCACTTATTATACGATATATAAGCAATGTAAGTAATTACGCAAATTCGCATGCCATCGCCAAGTTGGAGCCAAACATTATTTACATTACACATTTGCAATTAACGTTTATGCTAACTCAGACAATATTGGCCAAGGTCAGCAGCAATAAACGGCAATAGCTACTTGATATTTTCACACGCGCAACTATTGTGGCTGTGTTTGTGGCTTCAAATTAACATTTTAATTTACCATTTCTCGTTTGCAGTACACTGTTGACTAGCAGAATTCTGCTGTTATTATTTTAATTTACAGCTGTTAGTTTAATAGCGCTTATTGTCACTTATTGAACTCACCTGTAGATTCATCATTTACGTTTCTTAAGCCGTCGCTCACACGAAATGTTAACAGCACAACTCCGTAAGTTAACAGCAGCTTCGCTGTTGTTCCACAGCCTTGGTTCCTCTGCATGTTATTGCATTTATGTTGTCTCTCTGTTGATTTTGCTATTGTTCTCATGTTGTCATAATTATGATGAATGCTTATTATACTTGATTGGGCTTTTTGCTGGAATCGTTTGATTTTATGCTTCCGCAGGCTTAGACCTTCAGCAGTTCTTCTTTATTTCTAATCGTTTCTATTCAATGGCTGTAAGTTAGACAACAATTTTGCCAATTAGTATTGGTGGAATGAAGAATGTATGTAATTATAGTCGACATAGCATATTTATAGTAATTAAATAATTTACTAACTCCATAAAAACATACATTTGTATGCGTATTATTACTATCGAAACTTAAAAGCTACATAATAAACTCTTGTTTCTTTTTAGTTTGTAAAACAGTACTTAAAATAACGATTATAATAATCATCGAGAAAAAAATTATAAATCTTTTTTTACTGTTTTATCGCTAAAATTTTCGATTAAAATATCTGCAGGCCTTTTTATTTTAAACCCCATTTGTGACGATAAGAAAAGATAAATAAATATAATATTTTTTATTGAGAATAAAAATAGAAAAATAAATAGTGTATTTTTTGTGTTGTAATTCTCTTTCTCTTTAAATATCTATAAATATTTAAGTTCTCGTCCCTTTAATCTGCGCTTAAAGTAATGCCAAAAACTACTTTGGGGCGATAGTGGCGATTCAAGACTTTTGGCCAAATATTTAGTATGGACAGAGGGACGGCAATAGCCACAGGGTAACAGACATAGATTGTATTTTTATTTAAGTATGATTTACGGCTGGCAGTTAATGCTTGTATGGCCCATATGCCTAGTTGGGTCAAAACAGTAAAGATACTAGACTAGGCAATTGCGAGGCTCTATCAGCACATGGCCAGCAAGCCAAGTTGGCCTACACGCAATGCACGTACAAATTTAATTAATTAGCACTCTGTTCTTCAAAAAAAAACATACACAAACAACACACACACACACACACACACACACACACACACATACACACATATAAACACTACAGATTCCAACAGTCACGTCTGTCAATGGGCGTTTATAAGGCCGAGATAAACACGGAAACGGAGACGGAGACGAACTCGCTGCTGTAAAAGGCAACTGGTGGTGGACCAAAGATTGCTCACCGACAGATGCCCAATTTTCTTTACACACACACACACGCATACACACACAGAGCATATCAAGAGAGCTGCGCATAAATTATGAGAGCAAAGCAAACAAAAAAAAAAAGAAAAAAGAAATACTCAAGAAAGAAAATGCGGGTTGGAAAAACAGCTAGTAAATATAAAAATTGGATAAAGAATTTTTTGTGCGCTTCCTTCTTGGCCGACTGGCACATATTTAGTTGCCAACACTTAAAGCGCCCCCAAAGATTTATGTTTTAGCCCGGCTCAGAAGCTAACACAATTGTGTTAATTAGAAATTAGGTGGCACTTCATTAAAAGCCCCAGATAAGTGCATATATTTATATGCTTAGAACAAAATTTCCCAAAATTTAATGGCTTGTAGTTTGTCCAAAAACAGAATTTAAATGAAAATTTGCTTAACTATGCTCATAAAAAAAAATAGTTAAATATATAGAATATTAACGTAAACAAAACCAAAATTCTAGTCGAGAGTAGCTGACTAGACGATATCCTGTAAGCAGCCAAGCATTCATGCGAAACAGAAATCGTAAAATTGGAATTAATAATTAAAATTTTTATAATTTATAGATGTGATTAATATGCGATGGTCATTAAATATTTTTATCATTAAAGATGTAAATATACTTGAGATGACGCTGAGTATCTGTTAATGTTAAGAAGAAAAAAAAAACAATAAATACGTTATAATTATATCTGAGCTTAGTTGATTGAATTTAAAGACTACCACACGTAATTAAAGGTAATCAACTATACATTCTACATTCTACATCAATTTGTACATTACAACTAATTTCCCATATAGTTTTCTACAAATCGAACTCGATCTTATTTGGGAAAATTTCAAGATAAATTCATTAAATTGCATCGATATTTAATATACCCTGTATCAGCTACATTAGAAGTAAGATTAATATGTAATTAATTTGTAATATTCATGATGCCTTTTTACCTATGCCTGACACTTCTACTTCGAAAGGTAGGGTATCAGAAGTCTATATTTATCTGCAATCATTTGTGTGAACTGCTTGTGATTTTTCTATGGAGCCATGACTAAACATTCAATCAAGCGTCTGTCTGCAATTGTTTAGTGAAGTGACAGACAATCATTTGATTAGCATGACTACAAAAAAAAAAAATTCCCGTGAAAGTTACCACAAAAGTCACGTTGGCTACTTGCTACCCATTGTTTAAGGTTGAAAGTTCTAGGTAAAAATCACACAACTTTATTTAGCCGATATGAATAATATGGGTATTACCTGTAATTTACACCTTTTTGGTTGTGCTAAATTACATTTTGGAATTATCACATTGACGCTATAGCTATTTTAATCTAATAACACGTTAATTGGATGAAGTTTTGGTTGACTGCTCATGCGAATTCCCTTCATGACGCTGGGATAAGATAATTAATGATTGCTAACAACTAATGCGGATCTAATAAATTTATTATAATGATTGCACTTGCTGACAGACAGATCAAATGCAAATCGATTACTTGAATAGACTAGCTGATGAATCATATGAGATCATCGGTCCTCAAGTCTTTGAGAGCATGAGACTTCATATTATCATATTCCGATCTGCGTATAATTTAATGCAGTGCAAATTTGCTTTGACATTGTCATTAGTCTTTCGTTGTATGTATATCTATATATATACAAATATTTGTGTATACTTCAGCTGAATACAGCATAGCTTAAAAAAAACCTGGTATACTTAACATTTTTTTAAATAATTTATATACTCATAATATCACGTACATGTGTATATATAATTTATTTTTATTATTTTTTGTTTACAAACTCAAGTTGACTAATTACAGTTTTTAAGATCGAAATGCTTAATTATACAGCTCAAATTCTATGAAAATATTAATATTTTCTGGGTTACGTACTTTCTTTATATATATTTTTTATGGCGGTAGCTTATGCAAATTTCGGTTTTTAGAGCTATTTACTTCACTTCACTTCCGGAAAGTCAGACAATAAGTCGGATGGACTTGCATAACACAATTTGTGAGCATCGTTAAGTTGTTATGTGGCTCATTGTGTTGAGTGCAAGTTTAATTTTGATTTATTGGTGATTTTTTTTTTTTTTATATCTATTTTTGTATCGTTAATTTGTACAAGACGGCATTTCAATTATTCAGATGCGACAGTTGGCCGCATTTTTTATTGGCCAGCGAGTTGTGTTGAGCCAGGTTGAGAAACAAAAACGGTACGCATGGAGTGGAAGTTTTTAAGCTGCTTAACGATGTGAAGAAAAAAAACGGCGTATTTATATATATATATATATATATACATTTATATATATATATTTGTTTTATGTACGCATGTAAGTGAGTATATGAGATGGCAAAGTTTGTTTTTTAGGAGCTAGCTCGCCTGTCCGGGTTGGGAAACCCCAGTTTACGCATTCTTTCTGTTGCATACCCTGTAAATCTCTTTTACTTACATGCAGACTGATAATGTCTCTGCTCTTTGGGAAAACTTTTAAAATAATTAAATTGTTCGTCAACTTGGCTAAAATTTTTAAAGCAACTGATTTCGTGACTGAGGCTTTATGCATTTTTTTAATGTTAATTACCAAATCACAATAATGATTGTCGTAACAACTTAAAATTAAACTAGTAACTTTTGCTGTCTAAGTTACACTTGTCATAATAAAATTTTTTATTATGCTGCATAAACCAAAAATGTGCATATAGATATTATGTGTAGGGTAACAGGTAGTCGACTAGTCATCAAGCAGCTTTATAAAGTTACACATTTTAGTTCAGCTTATAAATTATTAAATGATAAATAATAAATAACAAAAGATCAGCGTGTAAATTCTTGGGAATTCCGCGTTCATCGTTGTCCAATTAAATGCTGTGTCATTTAGGTTGATGCTCTGGAAAACAAAGTTTTTCGAATCCGGTTGTGGCAACACATTCGTATAATCAAAACAAATCTATAGCTGCGATCAACGGAAATTCAAGAGCAACACAAACATTAAATCATAACTCGAACTTTAACATAATGTTGTTGGACCTCGACTACTGCTGCCTACTGGCTACTGGCTACTGGCCACTGGCTACTGGTTGCTGGCCACCAATTCACCAATTGAAGCCAAGTTACGTGCCAACCTGCATTCGTCTTATCTGTCACCTATATTACTGGTTTTTGTGGCGTCGGAATTTTTAGTATATTTTTTTTTTTATTTTTTTGGAATTTGTATTCATTTTGGAATTGAACTTTGATTTTTCACTGGTTTTGGAAAAATACCTGTTTACACCAGAAGGCGTAATTTTAAAGAAATAAATACTTGAATATTCTCTTATTTGAATGATAAACAAGACAAGAGGAGTTTTTAGGACAATTGGAGTTTGCTGAATATCCTTACAATATCTTGCCGTGCACCAGAATTTCTCCTTTTAAATGGGTAATCATTTTAACTATTTCAGTATTATCAATCGATAAATAAAGGCATTTAACATATACCTTAAATTATGCAGACATCCAACTTCAGAAAATTAATACATTTTGCACTCATAACTTTAATATTAACAGTTGTATTATTTTTAGTGATCGAAAATATAAAATGTTTACTATTTAGCAATATAAGATTAAGCTTTTTATCCCATAAATGTTACTTCAAAGTTCTTTGGCTCTCATTGTTGAAGAAAACTATTATTATCTTTAAGTGACAAAGCCAATTTTTTTTTAAACTAATTCCATACCACAAAATTATAAAGTGATGAAATCGCTTTGGGAGTAATGAAATTGACTAGCGTTAGAATTCTTTGTTTAAGTTGTTAGTTTTAACTCTTAAACAAAATGAATTGCAAATTTGGAAGAATTATATACGCATATACTATATGCATATACTATATATGTATGTGTTTACTATATATATATTTTAGTAATTTGTAAATTTTTATGATCTATTTGAATATATTTCACACGCAATTAGCATTTCCTTACTTATTCCTTTGAACGTTTCGACGGCATATGAAAATTTTACGTGTCACAGATTATTGTTATATATTGCACGCCAGAAATTATAGTACAACTTTTACTTATCACTTTAAATAATAATTAGATATCGTTAGTTTTTTTTTTGGCCCAGTCGTCGACAAGTTTTATTGTATTCAGATTAGAACTGTGCGAATGACAAATAAACGATCTTCCACAAGTTGATGTTCGTATAAAAAATGGTGCCCTTAAAAAGTTTGACACGCACTGAGTGGCACAGAGCAACAAGGGAGCTATATACTCTATATATATATATATATATATATACGGGCCAACTTTTGGGTAGCCGTTGTGGATGCGCGCGAACCGCCGTTGAAATCGCAACTAACTCAATTTGAATGCGACAAAGGCGTTTTTGAAGATTCCGAAACTCGCTAAAAAACTACAAAAATTGTTTTTAGCCTTTTTTTATGGCTACCGCCAAGCGTTCAGACTGCTGCAGTCGCAGCTGACGTCGCTGCCGCTGCTGATAACAGTTCAAGTTACGACGTTCGCTTGTCTCGATCGTGTTGCGTGAGAGCGAGAGAGCGAGAGAGAGAGAGTCTGTTGCTTTTAATTACGTGCACTTGTTTCGCCTCCACGACTGTTGACATTTGACTGCGAGCAATGTTAACGCTTAACAGAGCTCTGTTTATCTTCACTGATTGGCCGCATGTTAAACAGTTTGTGAGAAAACAGCCGCAGATATTTGATTAGAATCGCATATTTTGTCGACAGACCGTGTCTATGACAACTAACGTCTATGACTGTCTGTCAACATTTATTAAAAGTTGTCACATCGCTAATAAAACCCAGCTGCAAATCACATTGTATAAGTTTTGCGTACTGTTCTTTTTGATTGGTTTCCCAGTTTACAGATCTATGTAAATAGAATCAGGTTGTTTACATATATACATATTTGTATCCTTCATTGGCTTGGATAATTTATTGTGATCTACATTTTCAATTGTATTGCTTTTGTCACTACCTAATTGGATTCTTACATCAATGAGAATATTTTTTAGTTCACCCCTTGCCCAAATTGGAACTGTTCGTTTTGGAAAACGATTGAAAATCGCAGTTCTTTTATATGTGAACAATTTTGTACATACAAAACGAGTATATTTTACATACAAGTTACATGCCAAAAAATATATTTTTAATACGTATTGTTGTGTTCAAATTAGAAAAGGCATCCAAAGTATTTCATTTTGATCAATAATTATTTACACCAAATCACAATTTATTATTGCCTTTAAATAAATATTAATTAATAAGTACAAATTATATACATATAAGAATTATAGAGTATTGTTGTGGTGAAACTGTTCAATAATCTTGTATTTATATTATTGCTTATTTCCTGTTTGGCAATTAAATTCAAAATTTAATTGTAGGTTTTTTGTGCTTTTAATTTGGGATATTTGATCATTAAAAATTCAAAACTTGTTGCATCAATTGCAAAAAATCCAGAACACCATGAAATGATTCACAAAGTTGCTTTAAAAAATGGATTGCTTTTCTACTTGGCGAGGCTGCTGATTTCTTAATTTAAGAAAAAAGAGAGAACAACAAAGTATTTATTTGTTATTAAAAGTCTTATGAGCTTTGGTTATAAGTTAAATTTGACCGTTGGCTAAGCGTCCAATTGTTTGTTTTTTAACTCTTTATTTATGTAATTTTTAATGTTTCAATTCTTGTCATCATTTGCATTCGCAATTTGACTTGCAAAAATTCTCAGTGTATCATTCAGCGTTATTCACCACACACGCACACAAATACCAATACACAGATGTTAAAGCTTTCAAGCGCTCTCTCACGCGCTCTCTCTCTCGCTCTCTCTCGCTGTATCAGCAACTTTAAGTTGCAGCATCCCGTTAGTCGGCTGGAGTAATGCGGCACAGCGACAAAGACAGCAGCAGCGACCGCGCCAGCGGCAGCAGCAGCAGAGGTAGTTAATGTCATGTCCTTTTCGCAGGCAGCGTTCACAATTCAGTTCGTATTTAGACGTGCGTGCGGCAACAACAACAACGACTCGCCACTTGACACCGGAACGTTCACGCTGGCCACAAACACAAGCAAGCCCACTGGCAGCGCTGCGGCCCTCGACGAAGTGGCCAAGAAGTGGCCAAGAAGTGGAAAAGTGCTAATAAGCCAGTGAGTGTGTCTCGGAGTGTAACCGGTCGTGGTGTGGTGCGGTGTAATTTTGGCTTGGACAACTGGACGACAGGTTGCCGCGTTGAGTGTCCTGGTGTGTGTCTGTGTGTGTCTCTCTCTGTGTGTGTGTCTCTGTGTGTGTGTGTGTGTGTGTGTGTACTAAAGTGTAACCAACAAATTATTACCGTAATACTAAGGAGTGCGGCAAGCATTAAGGATTTCCCATGGACTACTGCCAACCACAAAGTTTGCTTAAAGGATTAAAGCATCTGGCATTGGCCGAGGTGAGCAGTCTATTTATCTATAGATTCTGTTTAGCAAACTTTACAACTTGATTTGGGGTTCGGCTTGGCAAAACTTTAATGCGCCTAACTGGGTTTCATTCGGTTTTCATGTTTAGTTTATTTTTTGTTGTACATGTTTATATTTGTGTGGCGCTGCCAAGGGAGCTATAAAATAAAGCTGCCCAACGGTAAGATATCCTCCCCGTATGTCAGCGTCAATTTATATGGGCGCTTTCCTTCTAACCGGGAGTCAAGAGAAGTAAATTTGAATTGGTACCGACACAGATAACATATGGCTAGAAACGACTCGGAATGTCTTTAAGGGATATCAGTAATTCATTTGCACTTTGGGTATGATAAACGAGTTGGAACCCAAAACTTATCGCTCTCTTTATTTTAATATTTACACAAAATCAATTTCGAAAGATCGTACGCATTTGTGTTATATATTTATTGGTAGATGCCTAAGAAGTATTTGAAAACTATTTACCAACGTTAGTATTTAAATTAATCCATATTTAAAGAGAGAAATTTGTTTAAGTCGTATGAGTAATATAACCCATTTGATAGATGATTCCAAAAAATATAATAAATATTTAAAACTGCTATTAATCGATCGATTAGTATAATTAAAACTATCATTATTTAAAGTAAAACAAATAATAATAATTAAATACAGTAATTTCTGGTTTGTTTTGTAGAAATAAAACGGAAGAAGTTTTTCTTAAGCCCACAAAAGTTAAAAATTGTTTTATTTATTTTTCTCAATCTAACTTTGAACACTTTTAGGTGAAAAATGATTTCTTTCAGTTTTCCTACTTTATCTTCATTATTGTTGATGACCAAAAATTCGCAACTTTCTTGAAAAGTGAAGTCAAGCTAGATTTAAGTTTGGCTGCATTGTTCTTTAAAGTTTAGAAAGCGTATTTATGCCTCGCATTTTACTGTTTGCCAAATGTTGTTTTATTAGTTTGCCGTTTGTTAGTAAAAAACAAAGTTTGCTCTTAATGCGCTCAGATATTTTGTGTTGCTTATGGTGCGGGACAAAAAGGTTTAATTTATGGTGCCTCAGATTGGCCGGGGAATTCACCTAAAACACATACATTCCCAAGCACAACCCAATGGGACACACACACACATACATACACACACACACTCGCAAAAAACTTTTTGGTGTTGTCAACTTTTGTCACTTTTTATGTGGCACTAAGACATAAACACAACATAGTCCAAGTGCCAACTGCTAAAGGACTCGCTAGCTAAACAAGTCAGTTGGTTCAGACACGGTCCTTATGCATTTATCAAATTTTTTTATGGTCGACTCGATGTGCGCGATTCGAAAACGGGCCGAAATCCGCTTTGTGCTGCTATCCCGTAATTGAGTTACGGGCCGTATTCCAAGGTTGGCAGTAAGCTAAACAGACCCATAGAAACCTAGAAACTTTGCGACTCCGATGCACCTCTGCAGTCCGCATAGAGTCGAGCAAAGTGACTGATTGAGATGGCGCTGTGACGAATGTAATTAAGGGTTCAACTCTGCTTTCGCTTGGCCATAAAACATGCTGCCAACTTTGGAACCAATGCTGAAAAACAACAGAAATTGAGAAGCACCAACTGCAATTGTGCACGTTGTAAGGTTTACGACCGAGGACAATTTGAAAAGTGTGTGTGTAGTGTGTATGTCCCTAATGGTGTTCACTTGATGTCGGCTGTGTAGTTGAAGTCGAAGAAATTCTTCATAGTCAAAGTGTATTATGAAATTGCTGCCAGTTGCAATGGGTAATCAAATTGCGAATGCAACGAGTCGTATGCGCAATATGCATATCTAATATGATAATTCCGAAATGACTGGCAACAATAATAAAATTTTATTGTTCGCCATTTACGCAGCAATTTTAATAAAGAGATCTGGCAAATTGCTTTCCACCAGACACCATGAAAATATAATTGGACCGGATAGTTCTTTATGTGTGTGTCTTGGTGTGCTGAAAGACCATTTATTTAAACAAAGTATGCTCTTAATGTAAATGAGCATTTCACATAAAGAAAAAAACAAGCGATTTCCTTAGCACTGCTTTTAGTGTAAGAGATTCCAACAATAAAGAAAAAAGCAACTAAAAAAAAACCCAAAGAAACTGTGAAAAGCGCCTGAGTTTTTTTTTTTATGTATTACGATTTGTGTCGATACGATTTAAAATGATGTACTACGAACGAAATAATTATGTCGTAAAATTGTTTTTCGCATTTTTTCTATACAGATATATAATCTGTCAAAAAATAAGACACATGACTTTTCTTGCGATTTGCTTTATTTTATTATAAATTGACATAAAAATGACAGGCAATCAATCTGTTTGCTTTGCGCTCCTTGCCAGTGCCGAAGAAATTTACATAAATCACAGAGCCTATATGTTGGACAAATCATATTGGCGACCAATATTTCAGATTTAAAGCGTTAAGCGTAGTCATTCCTTCAATTTTTATCATTTAGATTTGTTTGTCAAAAAGTAGAAACTATAACATTTGAGTGCTTTTTATGTTTTATGTGAATTTTAGAGCTATTGCTGCTTCATCAACCATGATTCTTGCACGAACTAAAAACATTTTTTTTCGGGTTGAGGGTTTCTATGTCTTCAAGACAAGATACTGCATCTTCTTCTGTCTAAGGCGATTATAGCTACCGATTTTACATAGTCTTTAGCTAGGTGAATTCACAGTCTAGAGAGTATACTATTTTTGTCCGTCCCAATGGATATTACTTGCTTAAATCGTGTCTGATTGCAACTGCCTAAAATACATTTGGCTAGTTGGATTGTTGCAGATGACAGCTGATAGAAATTCAGCATATCTCTGACTAAGGACAATGGAAAAGTTTCTGCGAAAATTATATTATGAAAAATAGAAAAGTTTTCAAATTAATTTAATAAAATTAAAGTTGCCGATGTAAATTAACTTAACCATCCTTGTTCTTACTTCAACTATTCAAAACTCATATATTATTGATTTAGAAAATTTAATACTTACAAGAATCAACTTTCGATGCGGATCACGAACTTGTTTACCTTCTGGGGGAGAGACGTGCTCCCCTCTGCCTGCTGCATACTTTTGCCCAACTTCAGTATACCCTTTTTGGCCATTTTCGATGGGTTCGGGGTATAAAGAGACAATTCCCCGCAAATATGCAGCCAAGTTGAAATCCTGTTTCACATAATTACGAATAATTAATAAAGTTGTTCAAAAAGTTATTTTTGGAAGAGCTTTGGCATCCGTGCGCCAAACATAAAACAAAATATTTAATCAACATTTTTAGCTTACTTGCCAAAAAGGTGAAGCCTTGAAAAATGCGATGTGAAGATTTGAAGAAAACTCGAGGACTACAATATTTCGACAAAAATGAAAAGAAAACCCATTAAATAAAAAACGAACAGTTGAACGCCTATGGCAACAAGCTTTGGCAGTTGTTGAGTGCAAGCATTCTCCTGGGTGTTGCCAGTGCTACGGATGCGGATGCGGGAAGGAACATTCTGTTTTGTTCTGTTCCGTTCCAAGTTGAGCTGAGCTGAGATGAGCTTCAGCTATAGCTCGAGGCATATGGCGCTACTCGTTGACAGCAAACTATCTGCTCTCAGGCCGGTGACCTACTGACTTGGGAGTGTAGCCCACTTTCCGGCGCCAGCAGGTAGCGGCTCAGCTTCTGGCCACCTCCTGCTTGCTGTTGGCATTTATCCACCAAACTCCAACCCCATTCCCATTCACATACACATCTCCATCCCCATTCCCATCCCCATTCCCATTCCCATCCCCATCGTGCATCGTCGTGCGATGCAGTTGTGAGAATTAACTGCAAGAAAAATACTTTGCAAATTTAATTAAGCAAGCTGTGTGCCTGCAGCAGATGCAGCACATGACGTCAACGTCCCACATGCTCACTGGCGGCAACTGATATGTTATCCATATGGGCATGACTTGATTGGTGAATATTATACCCTTTCAAAGGATATACATATTTTCACAGCCAGTGTGTAACTTCTTAGTTTGGAAAGTGCAATTTGTAAATGCTATAAAAAAAGAAGAAAACTTATATGAATTGTAGCGAATTTGTTTCAAATAATATGCGATATATCTTATTATATTGTACTCTTTTATAATATAAATCAGTCATTTATAATATAAACATAAATTGTTTGTTTGAAGTGAACAAATTACTGAAAAATAGAAAGTTTTAATTTGGCAAATAATTATTAACGTAAATATTCAAATTGTAGTTTGCTTAAAATCAGACGGGTATAATAATCGAATGACACTCATTATAAGCATTAAAAACAAATAAACCAAAATGATATTTTTTTATTCACAATCAGCTATTTTTAAAAATAAAATTATAGGTTAAATTATTAGGCATTGACTAATGGCATATAACAATTGCAGTATGAAAATGATTGTATATATATTTATATTTGAATTTGTATTAAGTGATAGGGATGATCGTGGAATAACATTGAATATAGTATATGTTTGCAGAGTATTTGATTGTCGACACAGCTGTTCTTAATGTTCTTAATGTCTGATTTTATGAACATCTTCGAAGCGATGTTGTTTGATTACTACTGCAATGACTCAATTCCTATTGATGGATATTATCACGACGATAAAATTGACGTAGGCAGGTGTTCGAGCTCTTTTGTCAAAGACTAACTGATACCAAATTAAAACTTATCTCACACATTTTGTTATCGCATACTGAACACGACAATTATCGAACTACAATTTAGGGTATATACTAAAAAAACCAACAGAACAAATATTGAATGCCAGCAAAATAGTTGCCAAATTGAGTTTTGGTTCCGATAAGTTTAAGATTTTACTCTTAAACTCTTGACCATTTCACGCACTGTTCAATAAAGGAAAAAAATTCCCCATTGTCTGGCTTATAAATCCATTGGTAGTTACGGCAATACGCAGGCTCATCGAATACTTTAACCAAATCCATCTATCACATT